CCCTACCCTACCCTACCCTACCCTACCCTACCCTACCCTACCCTACCCTACCCTACCTTACCTTACCCTCCCCTCCCCTCTTCATCCACTCGTGGAATCTCGAGTGAACGTTTTGACGTGAGACCAGCACTGTAGTCGGAGGGGATAAACGGTGCGGATTACGTAATCGTTGCGATGCGGAAGACGTGTGGAGCACTCGTACGTACATCTATGCACGCGTTCCCCAGCTGGTCCGATGCCGTTCCTTCACGTCTGGAGGGGAATCCCCTGATCGACGTCTCTCCGCTCCTTTGCCGATTAGCTACCGGTTCAAGTGGGGTGGTGAACCATGCATTAAGGGTTGCTCGATGAATATGTATGAGTATGTCTTCTTGCTGTACAGAGTAGAGAAAGTGAGAAAAAAGCAGTAAGGTCTTCTGAAATCTGGAGCCTAGTATGTTAAATTCACTTTTTTTGAAAAGTGGCATTTTACTTGGTTCTCTTAGAAAATTTTTCACCCTTTCTGATGGGCGATATTATTTCGCTCCAAGTTGTTCAGTTTTCAATACAATGGTGTAAAAATAATATTAAGTTAGTATCTTAATTGTATAGTCTTTCACATGGTGTTCGTAATAATGTTCGTAACACTTAATGTTTCTCGTCGATATCTTACCAACGGTTCCAAAGTTACAAGGCCTTCGCACATTTGATTTACTTTTGTGTAAAGTTAGTCAATTAATATCTTAAATTAGACCAGAAATAAGGGTAGTTCCATGAATACTAATTACAATGCAACTACATTTCTGAAGATACGAATAATTCCAGTTCGATTTGTTAAAAAGTAAAAATAATTTAAAAACCATTTATAGTGTTCGCAGTTTGATGAATTATAGAAAGTAGTCCAGACTAAACTTTGACCTCTACATCCACTAAAAATAAGGCCTGTCAAAGTGTTTTTTTTTTTCTATTTCAGCAACCACTATTGTTATACCTCCAAGATCATACTCAAGGATAGTCCAGTCTATTCATTAATCAAGTTCGTATACTCGTGTCGTTTTCATCTTCAGAAGGACCCAAGTGAGTCAATATTTTGACCTTTACTGTTTCAGAAACGTATTCAACAATCGGATTACGACCCAGGAATGACACTTCAATTTCATGCTTTCCAGATCATCTGCTTCCTACACGAAAACGAAAGCAAAGGTGAAGGCGGCGACCCATGCAACGACGTGAACAAAAAAAAAACACCATTTACCGGGGCACTTACGAAAACGATGATGTGACGTAATATCGAACGATGCGTCTGCACGTGGTCCGATCAACATATAGGATGAATTGCCCGTTTAATCGATGTCAGAACAGTTTGAAAGTGCTTTCCTTCGCGAGATCGTCTACTCCTCGCGCTCCATTTAAAAGATAATTTCCTTGGCTTCGTTTAAACGGATAGCAAACGGTCGCCTGACAAATCCAGAAGTCGTTCTTACCATCAAGGAGGCGTCGAATTAGTGGTCCTGATTAAGACAGTGGGACTAATTGCAGTCTCAGACTTGTCTGAAAGGAATCTTGTTCAGCTTTCTGCTATTAGAATTACTGCGAAAACTTTTCAGATGTATTATGGAATAGAAAAGAGTGCTTAAGGGTAGCTTTCAATTAACAACTGGAATTTTGTGACACTGACAGAAGTGTAATTGTAATTGAAGATATTTTGAAAAAAAAAGTTCGAATATTCAACCATGAAATTTTTTAATAGAATATCGAGTATTTCTTTGTCGTAGTTGTATATTAGTAATGATTAGTATAATAAAATTATATTTAGTGTAACAGTACATTAGTCAAGTATAGTGTTTAGTATTCTATTATTTAGTGTAGGAGTATATTAGTGAAGTATAATCATTACTATTATAGTATATTAGTAAAGTATACAGTGTTTAGTATTGTGGCTCATAAACGGTCTGATCGTTCAGTGGATCATTCCTCAATTAAGAAACTCAACAATTCCTATTTTAATGCAAAACCAAAAAGATACATTACTATTTTTTAATTATTAGGTGTACCAATAATTAATTCTAAATCTACTGTGACAAACAAAATGGCAGGGGATGATGGCAAGAAATAATGAATATATTGTTAAAATAGGATGTGTATTTGAAGAATTCCGAAACGAACAGAAATTTTCATGAAAAATAATGGACTACTTATTGGCACACCTGGCATATTTTACAAAGAGCTTGGATCATTACTATTATTATTCAACAATACAGAAGTATTCAAGTGAATGTTGATTGCTGGGTAATATAGCTCACAACAAATGGTAACGGACAATTCTGTAACGGTAATGACACCCGGATATGCCTATTCATACGCGTTTTATTGCGAGGGTGAGCATCGCGGCACGGTGTAAGGTTGCGAAAAAGGTTTCGTAGAAGGATTTCATAACTGGTAATGCGTCCAGATGAGCGTACGCGCGTCTTGGTCATAGTTCGACACGAGTAGACGTCAGCGCGGTTGCAGAAGAACGGGACTAATGATGGGAAGAACTCGAACGGATCCGTCGTCCATGTTGGAAAAGTTGGATGAAACACTGTACATCTGGACCACAGAGCCAGAATTTATTAAGTCCACTGTTTAAAAAAAAAAAAAGGAACATTTTACATGTTTCCTGTATACGAATATTTCACTCTTTGCAATAGTAAAAATGATTACGTCCTAAGTCGTCTAGACATTTACAAAATATATTTTTATAACAAAAAAATCAATAATTCTTAACAGACTCTTTAGGTGTAAGGCGCCTTTAGGGTTATGTCAGGAATACTTAATTTCATTCTTAATTGCACTATAAAATCGACAATAAAATTTATTTTCTTATGGTATAATAAATGTTAAATTTATATATATTCTCCACAGCCGCCATGACAGTGCGATGTGCTGCCACTTATAGTCGCTTCAGTTCCCGAATATATGCACGTCCATATAAAATTTAAAAGGCTGAGGCTGCGCAAACCTTGTACCAGTTTTGTCCTCAATGTGACATAGGTTATGTTGCAAGACTTTCTGCCAATTGGCTTTACCATTTTGTCAGCTGGCGTTGCCTGCAAAACCCAAATCAAATGCGGCAACAGATGGCTATGGTTTTTTTTAGACAACTTTTGCCATTTATTGCTGGCAATTTGCTCGAAAAATGTACACAACTGGTAATCAGGGTACTACTGTCTGGAAGCTATAGATGCTGGAACTGATGCCCCTCAACTTAAATACAGCGATTTCAATACAGTGATTATTTAGTAAATGTGTTAATTGTTAATCTTTATTTTTCCGGCATAGAAATTCAAATGAATATTCTCTGGTCCTCTGGTAACTAATATTCATCCACTCTAACACCATTCTCCTCTCTTTCCAGATGTAAATGAGAAAGGTGTAACACGCACGTCAGTCATCGTGGTCGTTGTTTTTCTCGATATTTTTGATGCGAACATGACGTCCAAGCGAATATAATTTAGATGTTACAGTATCAGAGAAAGCGTCCGTCTGCACCGTGAAAGTGTAATCTTACTTGATGATATAATGAAATTAACATCGAATTGAAACATCGTCACGCCTACTATTAGCGTTTTATATACACGTACACTGGCTGAAATTTCTATAAAGTCACCATATCTTTTTATTAATTATAATTATTTCATACAAATGAAAAATTCATATTTGGTAGCTACCAAACGTCTTGAAGACGGCTTAATGACGCCTTAGACCTAAAATAGGCGTCCTTAAGGCGTCATGTGCTATCTGGGAAAATTGTTCATTGGTATGGAATAATTGTAAGAATTCATAAAAAAAAATATGGTGATTTTATAGAAATTTCGGCCAGTGCATACAAATGAATCGAAACACTTTTCCATCTTCCGGCACGATTGGGACCAAGCGACGAACCGAGCCTCATTAATAGTCCCGATTTCACTTACTGTGTGAGAACACCTGTAATTATATAGCACAGACGCGATAAATTACGATTATTTATGTAACGAACGGATTTATGGGATACGTGGAACCCATTTGTACCGATAAAATCAGTGTGTACCGTTTTTTGTTAGGGGATATTCTTCTTGGTACTTTCAGGCAAGAAACGTTGGAACACATCTTGCACCAATCGGCCACTATAGTGGTTCGTTACTAGACGGGATTTTATGCAATTTATAGCCTGTAAATAAAATAAAAGGCAATACTTGCATCAGATGCAATGAGTTTTCTGTGCTCTTCTTTAGCCTAAGAAGATACTTAAAAGAAGGAATCATCCATAATCCAATAATTATAATTTTAAACCTTGAAATCTTTTCACATTTTTCATTTAGTTTTTAGGGTATCAATGGAGTTTTGTTGAATTGCCATTGGTAGGAAAGTAAGATAAAAATCTACAGTCTAATCATTACAATTTTAAGCCTTGAAATCTTCAAATTTTTCATTTAGTTTTTAAGGTATCAATGGAGTTCTGTTGAGATGTCATTGACAGACAGATGAGGAGATTTAAGACACTAGTGGAAAGTAAAAAAACATTTGTTTATTGTAAATGGAGCTAGTCTTACAGGACGCCTCTTATCCTAAGCCAATTAAAATTCTACTATGGTCAACGGAAGGCCGGCCCATACGTGGGCGATGGAACCCTAGGATTGTAGCCGTTTCGAGCGCCGAAGTTGTTGTAACCGTTGTCCAGAGCATTGGAACCGAACTGATAGTTGTTGCCGTTGTTGTAGTTGTTGTTACCGTTGTTGTAATTGCCTGAGGGCTGTTGGTAGTTGTATCCTCCGTTGTTTCCTTCAGCAACAATGAAATAACCAGATATAACACAACGCATATTAATTGGATTCACAGCGAATAATTGTGAGAGAAAGTATTGAGAATCATTTTCAATTAATTTTCATACGGCCAATTTGAAAGTGTCCATACTTTTGAAGATATGCCCATAAAGAGGACAAACAGGGCTATATCCTCATTTATTCTTCCAATTTTTAAATTTTTCCCCGGTATAAAAACAGGGCATTTAATAAAAACAATTGCAAAATAAATGGTTAGAAAATATTTTTTTTTAACTGAAATAATTTTTATTTGGTACTCTTATATCTCCGCTGTAAGTACCCAGAAAGCTCATTTTGATCAGTTTATTAGTTCAATAGTTATGATTTATTGAAAAAGAGTCTATAAAATAAATGGTCCTCCAAAAAGTGTTCGATTTCACGAGGAATGACCCAATACCTTCCTGATCTTTAATGGTGAAAACAAATAACGAATACCGTCAAGATTAGGTTCCAAATAAAACAAATACCTTATAAAAATTCATTAAATATTTTTCTACACTATGATTTAAATAATCATATTCGCCATAAATGCAATAGAATTACATTTTATGCAATACTTTCAATCAGATGCAACAAGTTTTCTATTTTATTCGTCATACAATAAGATCCTTAAGGGAACCAAGATGAGATTCCTACCCTTATTGCTGCCTTTTTGAACTACTTTATAAAATGTGATTTTGCATAAAAATCCGCAATCTATTTATCATAGATTGTTTTATTCACCTCCGTTGTATCCTCCAGCGTTATTACCCTGGTAACCAAATCCAGAACCACCCTGGTTGTTGTTGTTGTTGTTGTTGTTATTATTATTGTAACCGTTGTTCTGGGTGTTGTACTGATCAGGGTAGGTGGCCGTGCCCTCGTATCTCACATCCGCGTGGAAACCCGTCCTCCAATCCGCGGTATAAGTGACTATTTGCGTCCTGCCATCGGGTAGTTGCACTCTATACTCCCCCCGTACTGTCTCACCGTCGCTGGTCTCGCGTCTGCCGAAATCGTTTCCGGTCGCCTGGTCCTTTACCGCGTACCCAAACTCGTAGGACATCGGCTGCGAACAGAGAATCCACGTTTCATACACAATTACACCTTGTGTGCGCCCTTCGCAGTGAAAGTTTTCCATTGATTTGTTTTTGTTTTTTTTGTTCATCAGGAATAAGAGAAGGTCAATCGGGTCAATGGTTGTACTTTGATTCTCTGTGGACTTTTGGAGGATCTTCATGTCTGGTGAATAAGATATTTGTGCAGTATGTTTGAGGGTTGTTTTGATGGGAACCATCGATGTAGATTCAAAATGGGAGATCCTAAGAGGTTGTACAGTTTCAAATAGTATTTTATATTGATATAGTGTTAGATATATTTATGTAGATTGTAAATATACATACACTGATATTTATGAACAAATGTACAGTGGTTGAAATGAAGCATAAATTTATTTAATCTACCGACAGCTCTATGAGGTTCTTAATATAGTGAAAACAGCACTGAACTTTCTATAGATAACAGTACCACCAGAACCAAAGGGTCATCCGACTGAACGAAAATTGATCTGAACCTGAACCGACTGGAATTTCATTTTTGGTGAATGTTTATAGAATACTGCAGAACCTATTGCACCATTAGGTTATAATTGAAAGTTCTGTTTATTGTAATGGCACCAATTGCCCCGAACAATGGCGCCTTGTATTCCATCATCTCTATTGTATCACGAGCACACATATGATCCTCATTTGCATGCTGTCAAGCCTTCTATTAAAGTCGACTTTTCAAACGCGCCATCAGGTTGTTTCCACAACCTAATTTAATCATTTCGTTATTGGCTGGTTCGCGATACATAAGGCTCCGTATCCCATTGGAACATACCAAGGACCATAAAAGCGGAGCTCTGAAAGTGTCTTCTCTCTGGAAAGGAAGGACAAACAATCACCTTTGTAACATTGTGAACGAGCAAGGTAAACGCACACGGTGTACTACAGGTAAAAAAAAAAAAGAAAAAAACACTCCCCCGGTGTATCATTATCATCAGCATGATTTCCTTCACTTTGCGCACTGACCCAGATAATGAGCCTAACGGGTTTCGTCATCACTTTCCTCTTCGTCTTTCAGGCAATTTTTCTGATTGATGCAGAGCAACGCAACACACACCGAGGGCGCACGTGGTGCTGTTTGAGAAATCTCATGTCTTCATTCCTGAAGAAATCCACTGGAATTATTATCCGATGAGTCTGCGTTCAATAGTGACCCTTAACTTTAGAAGAATGCAGAGGATCCTCCAGACTTTGATGGATGAACGACAGTACTTCAGTCTTATTTCTGAAAATATTTCAAGCCAAATCCCATTTTGGTAAATACAGATGATTCTCCAGAATTTGACAGATGATCTACATTACTGGAGTCCTATTTCTGGGACCATTTTTAGGCAAATCCCATTTTGGTGAATGCAGAGGATCCTCCAGAATTTGACAGATGAACTACATTACTGGAGTTCTATTTCTGGGACCATTTTTAGGCAAATTCCATTTTGGTAAATGCAGAGAATCCTCCAGAGTTTGATAGAAGAACTACATTACTGGAGTCCTATTTAAATGTTATTTTCTTTTAAGATTAACCTATCTAGCTCCGATTCCTACGAACCCTTTAGGCTTCCTATCAAGTGACCAAAGCACTCTTCCCACAAATGCTGAACATCTCGACGCCTGGTGTATTATTTTCCTATTGTTACACAATATTTCACAAATAATCTCCATTGCCAACAATTACCAAGAGAACGTACGTATTTCAGAAGCCCAGACGCATCAGTTCGTGGGGTAATCTATCACCCAGCTAGATCCATCCAGGATGATTAAACGGGCTTTTATCCCCGAGTTACTAAAAAAAAACAGACGAAAAAATGATACTTCTTGTGTTACGTGGTCCAGCAGACTTTCTTCCGCGAACGAAGTGGAGCAGACGAGCCGAAGACGGTGATTTAATCTGGCTCGCGCCAGGGCCCCCAGGCTCACGTTCCACGCGCATAACGCACATAACCGGACCGTTTAGATTCACCGGGACCGATTAGCTAATCCGCGCAATAACGATTTACCTGTAGATTACGCCTGCGGTCGCGGTTCACCCTATTAATATTCTTGCGTCATCGCGCACATTCGCGGCCTGACGCGTGTTCAATGTGTAGCATCTTGGAATTCCGGCGCCCACGTGGTTTCCGGCTCCTTGGATGACCGATGCAAGTGTCTTTCCATTGAATTTCACTCATTTTTCTTCCAATCTGTATCAATACTTTCAGAACATCTGCCTGACAGATTTTTCGTCTCAAAGGTTCACAGTAATACAATTGTCTGTTATGTGTAATCAAAATCTATATCTATCTTGCATCTATTTTTCATCTATCTTTGCATCTACCTTGTATCTATTGTTCATCTATATTTGCATCTGTGTTGCACCTGTATTCGGTCTATCTTGTATCTGCCTTGCATCTATCTTGAATCTACCTTGAATCTGCCTTGCATCTATCTTGAATCTCCCTTGCATCTACCGTACATGCATCTTACATTTATCTTGTATCTATCTTGCATCTATATTTCATCTATCTCACATCTGTCTTGCATCTGTCTCGTATACATCTCATTTGCAAAAAAGTCGAAAATGTAGAATAGAATTAATTTACCTTCTACCATCTAGATATCTATTCATGATGACAATAAGTAGAAACGGAATGCAATGCACAGACACGGTAGCCAAACCCTATTCGAGTGCACATCTGTCCAGTAAACTTTCAAATTGGATTATCTCAGAAACGAAGCGTCGTATGAAAAATTTCATTCCACATATTCGATTCATTTTTCTATACAGAATAACTTCTACCCGCTTGTACTATAATTTAAGCCTTGTATATTTACACGTGAATATTTTTCTAATAACGCTAATATATTTCTACATCCAGTTTTCAACGTGCTTTTGGAACTGATGTTTCAAATCTGATTCCGTACACTGAATCTTTGTTGAAACTCAGAGTTCACTGTTGCGACCGTAAGATTTGTTCTGCACTCACGTATCCGCGCATCCAGCACCTCTATTAAGGTTCAGCTGAAAGTTGCATTCCTGATTTCATACGTGATGGACTCGTTTTGCGGCTTGTGTGCGTAGAGCAATAGCTTCTTAATCCGCGTGTTGCTCGTACGAGGAGCCCTCTAGAAAATCGAGCTACTTAGTGGCAACTTGTAATGGTATTTCATCTATGCGCGCACATCATCTTCCTAAATCATCAATCTTGTTGTTGAAAAATTGCTTCTTGAAGGCGTTAGTATTACACGGTAGCTTAGATAACTATGGAACAATATTGCAGAATGACTTCAGGCCCATTAGGTAAATTGTTTGACGTTGAACAAACCATGTAAAGTCATTTCATTTTCCGTTGATCACCAAAAATAGATCAGGGATTTCAGATTTCATGTTACCAATTCCTTCGAACGTTTTAGTGAAAATACTATAATATAGTAATATATGTACCTAATAGTCTTACTTTTTTTACATACATACTTCGATCAAAATACCAGTCATTAGAATTAATTACAATCTTGTAATATACACAAAAATACAAGAAAATATTTCTTTGGTAATTTTTCAATAATTTGAGAATAAAAAGGTTAACACTTAGATATTATGATTTAAGGATCCTAATTGTTACTGTCTGCACTTGGAAAACGGGTGTTTACTCGTTTGGTAATTCATAATCGGCCGGATCTTTCATAATTGCTCGCGTCTTTCATAATTGCTCATCTCAAATGGAGCAAGAGAATGAGGCAGAGAGGAGCGTCCTTTAAACGAGAACATTTCAGAGAATTAACTGCTCGTTTCGCACTGTTATTAAGAAAATTTATGTGGGGCTTAAGTACTTCACCCCAACTCGATTGCGACAGACTACAATAACCACTCCTTTAGTGAACAGTTATGAAACGTGGAAACGCGCACCTACAATGTTGCGAATGCTGATGGGAAGCTGGAAATCGTCTCCGTTAAATCGTTCGACTCTCCTTTCCCAAATGGGTCTCTGTCTGCAATTAATCATACGCCAAACTTTATTAATAACGAAATATTCATAGTATTACGTTAGTGAACAAATTGTTGGTTACTGATGACCATCCGTACACACTATTACTCATAAGTATTTGCTCATCTATATTAGGCTCATTATACTAAAAATGTTTGAATCTTTCAATCTTCGAGTTTGTGAATCTTCGAATCTTTGAGTATTTCAGTCTTCGAATCTGTAAGTCTTTGAGTCTTTCAAATATTTGAGTCTTCGAATCGTTGAGTCTTTGAGCCTTCGAATCTTTAGGTATTTGAGTCTTTGAATATTTAAATCTTTGAGTCTTCGAATCTTTGAATCCTTGAATCTTTGAGGCAGTAACTTCCTTCGTTTTGAAATTCGAGTTTCAAATTTTGGAAACATATTTTTGGAATGTTTTGCCTTTGATTTGTGTAAAAAAAGTTTTTGATGTTTTTGAACCTGTTACAAGAAAATCCCCCAATTAAGAACAACGCTTAGCGAACAAAGGAAGGGGAATCGAGGGGCAGAGTCGGTGATCGATAGATCCATTGTCGATTTACGTAACGAGATCATGCTTTGCTGCACAAAGTTCAATGTTACCTGTAGCATCGTCATCTTTAACCCAGATCTACTCGTCTCTTGCAACCCTTGGACCGTCTGTGAAACACTTTCGGGGAGTAGACAAATGAAGAAATGTCTGAGAAAGGTCGCATGGATCAAGGGAACCTCGTGATCTAATACAATCTTTTCAGTTCACACCTTCTACAGTTGTTTCTACAAATTAACTATTTGTTTCTTCTCTTTCTTCCTGATTCTTTTTGGTACTTCAGAGTATCTTTGGTTTATTATTTATTTCATAGTCAATACAGACTTTGAGTACTTAAATACATGAGAATGTACGAGTCTAAAAGTTTTGAGTCCTTGGGTCTTTGAATCTTTGAATTTGTGAATCTTCGAGTCATTGAATCTGAGTCTTTAAAATTTTTAAACTTTAATACTTTGTATTTATGAATCTCCGAGTCCTCGAATCTTTAAGATTTTGAAACTTAGAGACTTGGAAACTTTGAGTTTGTGATTATGTGAGTCTTTGAATCTCTGAAGCTTTCAAAATTTAATTTTAAATATTTCTTGAGACTTTAAGGCTTCGAGTCATTACGTCATTGAATAATACGAGTCACTACTTGACTGTTTGAATATCCGAGTATTTTAATCTTTGACCACTTGCAGGCTGAGCGCATCGTTAAAGAGAACGTGTCTGTGATTCAGTTTCTGTTGCAACAGGGAATTGTTCGTGGCTCTCAAACGGCCCAAATAATAGCAATTAAGTTTAAGCAATCTCAATCATTAGACGCACAAAAGAAGAACACTTGAATAAGCAGCTAACGAAGTCCCCATCGTGTTGCAAATTTTCAAATCTGATCAACCGTATATTGTACGAGATCTTAATCCTCTAATAATTTATTTACCAGTGGCAACATTAAATAATCGATTTGAAAAAAAAAATATTTATTTATTTCAGATCACTCACTTGGTCGGCGTAGTCGTGGTCGTTACCACTGTCGTAATGATGGTTACCAAAGTCGTTTCCAGCACCTGAGGATCCCTGATTACCATATCCGTTTCCACCACCTGAGGATACCTGGTTGTTGTTGTTGTTGTTGTTGTTCCCAGCATAATTCCCTGGGACACCGTATTGAGTGTTCAACGGTGGCTCACAATGGACGATACCTATGCTCACCATCAGGGCGATGAATAACTGAAAATTTAAGTATTTTTTTTATGTACTTATCAGTGAAATAATTCGATAAAGTTTTATTATAATATAAATACTAGTTCAGTATTGAATATAGTATAGAAGGTGTTCCACCAAACGTGAGCACCTTCACTTGTTTTTGAAAACACAAAAAATATGAGGGGACGTTATTTTGGTTAAAAGGGCCAAGTACTGTGATAAACGAAACAATTTTCTCAAGGTCATATTTTTCGAATTTTCTAGGTCGTCAGAGTTCTTTTTTAATGGGACCACATATTTTGTAATAGTTGAGGTCAAGACCAATCCAATGAGCTAAAGTAGTGTGACCTTTATTTAACCTTGAATAGGAAAAATACACAGATGCAATGGAAGTAGATTTAAATAGTAAAGCAACTACTTGGTTGAACGCAAAATGTTTCTAACGTAACATACAATAAAATACATAAGTCTTCAAAAATTGAAATTTATTCGAAGTAAAATGAAATATCATTTAATCCTATTTTGATATCATATAATCCAACGGACGCTAGATTATAACGAACAAAGTTTTTAAAAACTTAACGAAACAATTTTTAATTATTTACAAAGGGAAACAGTAAACAAAATATAATTGAATTATTTTTTTGTTATAGGCCCCTCTAGCCCCCTCCTCCTTAATCGGGCGCTGAGCAAAATGTATGGAATAGATTCCCAGGCGTGAGTCGGAGATACGTCTCGAAAGCAAGATGATCAACCAGGGCTCCTAGGCGTTGCGTACCCGAGGAATTAGTGTTTTCCTCGCGTGTCGTGAGAACGTGACGCGTGTTGCGTCATTCAGGGACCGTTTAAAACCGGCGCAACATTAAACGTAATTACGCAGAAAGAGAGAGAGAGAGAGAGAGAGAGAGAGGGAAGAAAGAAAATAATGAAAATCGGGAGCACCAAACAACCAGTTCCCATTAAAAGATTTTGTAAACAGCGTGTGTGTTCCTGGTTCTGGGTAACAGGATTTTTAAGGTACACATATCGAGGAGGAAGACACGCTTTCACACATTGTATACATACGAGTGGAAACAAGGGGAACTTTCATTCATGAATAAATCATCAAATTCATGCGGATATTTGAGAAGATTTTCAGTCCATGATCGATATTCTGTATTCATAATTAGGATTGAAGAGACATTTGAATATTTGAATACTTGAATACTTGAATCTTTGAATTTTTTAACGTTTGAATACTCGAATATCCGAATGTTGGAATATTTGAATACTCGAATATCCGAATGTTTGAATATATGAATACTCAAATACTTGAATGTTTGAATACGTAAATACATGAATATTTAGGTACTTGAATATTAGAGTACTTAAATATTTGAATGTTTCAGTATTTGTTTATTTTCTATTTATAGATATAAAATTCTATTTAGAGGAAAATAGATACCACTGGAAATTGCAAGAATTCCTGACAGTTAAGATGAAACGTGGCTTAATATCTAATTCGACGAATTTTCACAACTATTCTCCGGTTGGAAGGAATTGAACAAATCTAAACCATGAAATTGGTAATTCCATCGACTTCTTTTTATTTTTTGTTTATCTATCTAACGATCAAGACGGAGAGATAGATTGTTATAATTATTTCTAATCTGTCTGTAACACGGATGAAGGAAGAAGATATCTTCGATAAGTATACACAAAGAGGTATTTGGAACAGGAACAAAACGTAAAATTAATTTGTATAGAAAGTAGAGACACGAGTGGATCGAAAGAAAGCGCTAATTGAAATTAAGAGATTCGAGATTGACAATGATTTATGCGGCAAAAATGATACCATTGTTTACCTATGTGGTAGGAAGACAGAAGACACTGAGAGCCATCTTTTTTTTACGCCTGGTAATTATGAGAGCTGATTATCCAGCGTGTATTCAGACGGTAGAAGCAGTTATTAGATATTAATTGTTGGAAAATTAACCCAGATATACTGGTACATCGTGGAAGTATCTGACTCTAAAAAGAGAGATGTTCACGAAATTTTCAGAGTCACAAATTATGATACAGTAAAATACAAATGTTAAGCTTTTAGACAGGAAGAACTTCTTCAGTCTTTATTTAAGTCAGAATAATACTTATTCCTCAGTAATGAATACTCTAAACAAACTTATTTAGTATAGCACTGTTAAATTTTTTAAGGGAAACATCAGCACTTGGATGCTCAAGAAATTAGTAAAAATTTTCGTGAGTAACTTAGTACGTAATTGAATTCTTGAATAGTTGAATGTTAAAATATTTGATTGTTTGAATATTTGAATACTTGAGTATTTGAGTACTTGAAAAATCGATTATGTATTTAACTATTAGGGTACTCGAATACAAGAGTACAATATTACAAGACTGCTGAAATATTTGTAAGTGGATCCTAAGTTAATATGGAATGTAACATTATGTAATAATGATATAACAGTAAAACACATAATAATTTAAGTTAATCTTATATGGCAAGATGCTTCAGTTATTCGACAATTTTTATCAAGTCCGGGAAAATCATACAGAGAACAGAAAGGCAGAAGTAGCCCGAAGGTACCAAAGTGCGCGCGCGCGCGCGCAGAGCAACAAACCCCGTGGTCTCGTCGAAATATGTATACAACGCGGTAATTTTCGTAACATGCGAATACCAAAGCGTGTGCATTATGTCATTTAACACGAGGATGTTAGGAATAGTTGCACGTGCTGCCTGTACCGGTTGCGAAATGCTTATGTTGTTATTTATATTCCCGTGTAAACCGCGGCGGCGGTTCACCCTCCCCCCTTTCTTGTAGCATCCCATCAACGGAGACGATTACAGGCGACCAAGTGCACTTACATAATGAAACGCAACGGCTCCACTGTGCACCGTGTTGTGCCGACAAATGAACCGTGGCGTCGTCAAGAGAACACCTGGAAGGCACCAGTGAATATACACACTGCCGCCCGTAACTATACATGTAGCACGGTTATTAAATGCCCAGTGAACATGGGAACGTGATTGCGAAATTGGCGGAGTTCTGGAAGAAGCGCTGTTTCGAGGATATTAAGTATAGCGGCATAGAAATATAGTAGTATAGCAATATAACTGTAGATTAATAGAACAATATAGCAATATAACAGTAGAGTAATAGAAAAATATAGCAATGTAAAAGTAGAGCAATAGAACAATATAGTAATGTAGCAATACAGCAATAGAACCATATAGCTGTTTATGTAGCAATATATCGATATAGTAATATGGTAATATGGCAATATAGCAGTAAAGCAATAGAGCAATAGAATAATAGGGCAATATAACAATATCACAATATAGCAATATTGCAGTAGAGCAATAGATCAATATAGTTATAGAGAAATAGAGCAGCAGAACAATGCAGCAATAGACCAATATAGCAGTAGAGCAATGGAACAATATAGTAATATAGCAATACAGCAATAGAGCCATACAGCTGTTTGTATAGCAATATATCGATATAGCAACATGGTAATATAGCAATATAGCAATATAAGATTAGAACAGTAGAGTAATAGAGCAATATAGTAGCATAGTACTATGGACTTGTTTTGCTAATACAAAAATATCAATATAAAGTAATAAATATGAGCCAAAACATACAATTCGTTTGAAACAATTACAGTTTCTTAAAGTATCAAGTCTTCCTAATTTATAGTTTCATCAAGAACCAGACGGCCTAATGTTAGTTATGGAGGACAGTGTACTCGATGGAGGGGAGGACACATTTCACGTGTACAATGTTCTGTTGATTCACCGTTGTAAGACAATTTCCTCTGATTCTGTTACCAGTTCGCGGGCAGTATCAGCCCACTTGGGAATTGTAAAAGGGGGGTTTGCAACGTCTGCGGTTAGGCAGATGATGGAAGAGACCTTAGGGGAATGATCCTGGGACATTGCAACTTGCACTTCCATCCTGAATCACAAGTAGAGCAAGCAACTGAAATTGTACGGTTTAGTGATGAGTAAAGTGAACTTTAAGGTATTCTGTATGGAAGCTAGAAGCGAATAGAAATTTCTTCAATACATCTATCAGTGCCCAGATAGAAAATAAATATAAAATTTATGAAACTTTTATATATATATATATATATTGAATTTGAAATAATGACACAATGATTCTTCATTTTTGGTGGTAATAACGGAAGTTATGTAATTGTGTTTCAAATAGATTGATGAAGAAAACGTGGTAACTTTTTGGTATGTTTCGAGTAACTAAGAATGAGTTTTCAGAATTACATTTCATCGCTTAAAACAAGTATGACTTCAAGAAATAATATAATATTCGATGTCTCAGGTAGATAATTCTGCAGGGTGGCCCAAAAATCACAAGACCACTTTAAAATATAATAACTTTTAGAAAGGGCCTGCCACTGACGAGAACAAAATGGTGGCCATTTAAAGGGCATAATCTACAACACTAATTAAAAATAATTTCCAAGAAGTATATTTATTGTTTATAAAAGCATAAATGTGAATTTTTAATACATAAACAAGTTATTCTATTTTTAAATAGTGTCGTGACTTTTGGGCCACCCCAGTACTTGATGACAGATGGACAGTGTATTTTAGTCACCTTATTCTGATGAATTTCGGGACTATAGGAAATGTCAATTAGTCTGTTTGACCTTTGTCATTTTTCAGGCCTCCAAGGATGGCATAAAAACGTTGAAAACGCAGAGGGAACCGCGTGAAAGTGAGGCTCGGTTGATAATGAGTGCAAACAGAGAGATTATAATGCACAGTCGAGCTGAAGGGAATGATTAGTGCCCAGGAGGATGTATCGTTACGTCTGGAAAGATGTGCTTACACTCTAATAGCAATCACTATAAACAATTTCAGACATAAGTGAACAAGGGGGAAGCCTGAGATAATATTATAGAAATTCCGAGATAATGGAGATTGTTCGAGCGGTCTACAAGCTATTCGTATCTGAACAGTAATGTTAGCTTTACATGCAATCGTATAATTGCCCAGGAAGTCGTTCTAATTAATACCCTCGTTAATTCTTTATCAACCCCGATTAGAGCTGTTCTGTTGTATTAATGTCCAATCAGGCTGAACTAAATATCTACTAGGTAATTTCACAAACTTGAATTCAATTAGTTTTCATTACAAAATTAAAAATATTACTAAATATTTATATAGCATAATATGTAAGAAAAAATATAATTAACTTTTCTTCATTTATTTCAAAAATTACTAAAGAATCTGACTCAGATAGATTCAAGTCTTCCTAATTTATACACATTCTCTACGTTTATAGCTCAACTGATTTTTTAAAGAAATTTAACAAAATTGAAAGAGGCAAGTCTCAGTTATTTTTCTTCATCTATTTTTCTTTTTGTTCAATTATCAAATAACTCAATCCCTCAAATTTTACTAACATGGATCAGTCCAAAATCTATGATAGAATTAATAAAAACTAGATGACAAACTATATTAACAGTGTATATTTTTACATTCAAACATCAACGTCTCCAAACGACGTTTGGAAATAAATAATTAAACAATAACTAAATTTTGAAAGTAAATTGTCACTATGAGCAATACCAAAAACTAGTCTCTTCCTGGGCAATCCAAACCAACTCTTCATCCAAAAAGCAATTCTCATCAGAGTCCACCACCAAGCAGTCGAGATACGAAATTCATTGATCACTGACTCACAAACCAACAACTAGCACCGGCTGAGCAAGCGAATGGAAGAAGCGTCCATAGCACAAAAAAAAAATCAGTAGACATCATCGGCACACTTGTTCTCCAGCTCCCGTATTACCTGTCGCACTATTCTGTCCATACTCGATTTTTGAACTGAGGGAATCCCCGTGAGCACTGGTTCTCTACGAAATGCTGAATTATGGTGACGTTTTGAACCGCATACCTGGTTTATATAGGTAGTATTGGAGGTGTACGCCTACAAAGATTCATTTCCTGTCGGGCCACGGATTCGCCGGCACGGGAGAGACCGATCCAGCCGGAGGAGGATCCTCCGCGGGATCTCCCCGGCTCTCCCCGGATCTCCCCGGCTCTCCCTCGAATAAAACGGTTCCCCATCGGTCTTTCTCCTTGTTCTGCCTCGGTTACTCCAGTTCACATAGGTATGTAGACGCTAGAGGCGTGAGTAAAGCCCGCGCTTTATTTCCCATTGTTTGAACGGTAGGAGGCATGCCCGCGATTTTGGGGACAACGACGGCGTGCGCGTATGAGAGGAGACGCGTCTTCCAGAGCAGAGAAAGCTGATTACTTCACCGCGTGGGACAGTGGGACGCGGTTGAGGCTAACAGCCACCAACACTCGCTAGCGTTTTCGAGTCTACTAATTAGCCGATTGGAGCCTTAATTAGAACCAGGACCATTGTCCAGCCCTCGTGGGTGGCGTAACCCTGGCTGGATTACTGCTGTCTACCTTCAGGAAAATAAATATATGTAGCAACAAGCAGAACGTGAAGAGCACTTTGGGGTGCGGCATTTTGTCCAGAAACAAACAGTTTGTATTGTATTGTAAGTGATTGTATTATATTGTATATTAGTATTCTATTAGACTCGTACCAGTTGCAAATTGTATGCCAAAGACTGTGAGGTGTCTCCATGTAGCCCCATGGCGGCCTACTTGGATACAATTTATATATCATCTATAATTTGTTAAAAAATACATGGTATAATAAGTAGTATTACGTGAGCTTGAGTGGGTCACGTTTCTCCGACTGGTATCTCTGCGGTACCTAAATTTCAGATCCTAAAACCGTAAAGATAAGGATCCTTTTGTGATTCTGTTTCCTAGGAAGCTTCGATGCGCAACGTCGCGTGACAAGTAATGGCACGAGCTTAGCATTATGCGTAATGCAAATGAGCACTTGAATCTGACGAGATTGGCACGCAGTCTGATTTAGAAAGTAACGTATGTGTGCATGTGTGTGTTTGAATAGCGCGAAAATTGCGGTTTAGCTTTGTCATTGCGCTCAAACGGTGTTCTTGTTATATTATTACAATCATCTTTCGCAATTCAACACTTCTCTGCCTCTCTAATTGTACAGATACCCATTGGCATATTCTCGTACCTCTTGATGTACCTCTCAAATCACTACAAATCACAACAATGGATCCAATGATTACATCACAAATTGAGAAATTAATCCAAATTGATATATTGAACATTAAAGTATATAGAACATGATAATAATAGTTTTACAAAAATAAGAACCTGGTTTACTGTAATCAGTTATAATCACCTAGAAACTACTGTTGAACTTCCAGTGAACCTGGAGAACATTATTTGTCAGTTGAGACCATTCTTCCTTTGACAATCAAGATGAAATGTTAAACAGGTGTCCACAAATCCCAAAAATCTATGTTTGACTTTGAAAGCTTTAGATTTTCATTTATAGTAACTGGTTTTTAATATTCCAGGAGCTATTATTGATCAAATGGTAAATTTAGAGAACACCGACTTAAGTTCAGATGAAGTTCAGAATCCATGTTCTTCTTAATGAGAAGACAAAGAAGTAATAAACCTAAAATTCCGTGTGCATAACTCACCAAGTAAGTCACTCCAACTAATTAGCTTACAGATTCGTCCCAGAAAGAGTTTGTTCCCCAGGACGAGTCTTCCCTAGGACTTGTCCTAGGACTTGTCTCCGGTTACGAGGTGCAACAAGATTAATAACCGTTGATCTCGTTTACGACAATGGACCTAATCGCAGCATCGATCTAATCTCCCCGATCAATGAGCCAAACGGAACCTAATCAAGACAGGTTTATTGTTTATTTACTGTGCGAATTTCTCACTTTCGATTCCTTTCGTAACCTTTCCCCCCTGGCGTGTTGTTCGCCGTTACGTCAACGGGAAGGAAGGCATTGCGTTTGCAATAAATACGTGCTCCACGCAGGGCGATCAACTTAATTACCTATGCCACGTTGTTGCTTACGTTTTTTGGATGAACCATTATTCAGCTGAAAATATAATCATAGCGAGGAAATATAATCATTGAGGCTATGTCTCAACCCATGTTGCTTGAAATATTCTTAATATTACAAGACACATTAAAAGTTTTAATTATTATTACAATGTGGACTTTATACGATTATACCTTCCAACTGGATTTTTGATAGTTAGAGGTTTGGAAGTTCTGTAGAAGATGTTCATACAAATTTAAGTTTCATAGATTAATGTACAGAAGCTGAACTGAAACTCAAAAATGATTTCCTTTGTTACAGGTCTCTTAGATTCAGTATAAATTCTATAGTTATAATAGTTAAGTGTGGACTTTATACGATTATACCTTCCAATTGGATTTTTGATAGTTAGAGGTTTGGAAGTTATGTAAAAGATGTTCATACAAATTTAAAGTTTCATAGATTAATGTACAGAAGCTGAACTGAAACTGAAAAATGATTTCCTTTGTTACAGGTCTCTTAGATTCGGTATAAATTCTATAGTTATAATAGTTAATGAAATTGTTTGTTGTACTGTGTTTTATGTACTCGAGTTTACAGTGAACGCATAAATTCCATGGTCCAACAATTGTCACCAATGGACAGAGACAATAGGATAGAAATCAAATGGATTTCCTTTATTATGGGTCTCTTAGTAGATTCAGTACAAATTCTATAGTTACACCCTTATAGTTCTATCTATAGTTATAATCTTCATGAAATTGTTGTCCTGTGTTTCCTACATTCAAATTTGCAAAGAACGCATACATTCTATGGTCCTAATACTCACCACTAGTGGACCGAGACAATGGGATAGAAATTAGGAACCAGATCCAGCGAGACGAAAAGAAAAAACTGCTAATTGAGAGATGAAATTTATAGCAGTAGGTATTGCACAATGAATCTTACTCTATTTTCTTGGTGGCAGAACAGAATCCTGAAAGCAATCTTTCTTGATAATCTACCACGAGCGAGCATGACAGACAAGGTCATTACGGTTTCAAAGGAGGATGCTCTAAATTCATTTCAATGTTACGTAATCACCATTCAGACAATTTCAGTGATCTTTCCTCTTCGTACGCACCGTTCGTTCGACGTGCTTATTCTCGTTATGAAACATCACACGGTGAATAATGAATTAAGAAAGGCATCGCCTAACGGGCGCCTAACAAAATGTTCAATTATTTCGCCATCCTTTTGACACGAATATTTAACGCAATTTACCGTTGTCTGCCTGATGATCGCAATCGAAAGTGAATCAAGGATTTTGAGATCGTTCGATACAATAGATTATGTAACGATTCTGCGCGCGGGAAGATTTAAATGATGATTGCTTGGTGAAGGGGGATAAACAGATTCAACCGAGGGAAGAGAATAAAAAATTTAATGAAGAAATCAGAACATTTAGTATACTGTTGAGGCTTTACTACTTGTCAAATTTTCTATATTCATGGAACAAGAATTATGTTTCGTACAAGAGTATATTGGGAATTTTTGTCAGATCATGATTGAAATTACCAGCATTGAAGAAGAAGAAAATGAAAGTTCTGTAATAACTTGCAAATTGAAAAGTGACAATAACTTTCTTACATTTTGGTAACTGACTGCTCGTCCCTAGGAACCGAATGACTCGAGTACTTTTCCTCATTAGAAATGATGAAAACAATTATGATACGTGGCTGTCTCGAGGAATTTGTATTACCTGTGATCTCTTCCGTGATACAGATTTTTTCACGATGACACCGTGTTCATCTTCGTGGTAATAACACGTACGAAATCGTTCGTAATAATAAGGAAACTCGGGCCCGAGGTTGTTCGCTTCGGTTCCACGGTGAGTGTCAGAGTGTCAATAATAGCTGTTACGATGGAATGAGCATGGAACAGAGCAAAAAGAAACAATAGTAATGTCAATATCACGTCTGCTGTAAGGTGTGATTAATTCTCTAATTATGCAATGTTGTGTGACTTCGAAGTCACTTGTAATTTTGTATGATTTTACCTGTTAAAGAGTATGTGATAACTGCTTGATATCAAATTATAAAAGTATAGTCTTCAGTGTCATTGAAGTATATGGGAAATATTATATATATTGTCTTGTAATATTATCTTCTTCGATTTTGTAGAATTTACTAGTGCAATTAGCATCTTTAATATCTAATCAAATGTAACTATACATACATAGTTATGTAACTATACAAATTCAAAGAATATATGCTCAGACACAACTGAAGTATATATGGGTGTACAGGTTAACATTATATAAACATTAGCCAATCAATGAAATAACGGTAATTGAAATTGAATATATTAACATCCTATTAACCGTTGATGTGAAGATCCAATTGTTTTGTACTATAGTCTATCATTACAGTGATGGTATTAATGCACATGCAAATCGCTTCTCCAGGAAATGTTCATACAAGAGAATTGCTTCCCCTTTTAAATTCTTCAGGTGTGTCACGCCGAAAACCAGAACAGAATAGAAACGTATATTTTACTAGAAAACATTTTTTATTTAAAAGAAAGTGGTTTTAAACCACAATCCATTATTTCTTCAGCTGGCGATCGCGTTTAAATCTACTAACTGGCCGAGTTTCTTTGTCCTTATTTGAAACGTTCTGTATTTCCGACGATGTATCTCTTTCCTTGATATCTTTCACTACCTAGAAGTTATGAAACACCGTTTATATTTAAAAAAATGTAATTTATTGTATTCTAAACATAATGTCAAGACACAAACGGTTCTGAATTCTTACTGTTTCATATGTAGAAGGCTTAATAGATTCTTCTTCCTCTTCGTCTTCTTCTGTACTGTAATCTGGTGGAGGAGCCTGAATAGGTGGGATATCATTTGACGATCTCTTTAAGATCGATTTAGGCTTGGAAAATATCCTATAAATATCTGCTGGCGTTTTTATTGAATCCTCTTCCGACATTCTGACTGGATTGCATTCAGAATGTCTAAATTCTATCCGAATAATACTTTCTTCAGAGTCTTCAATTTCTTCGTTCGTTTGCTTTATTTCTGTTGACTCCTCAACTTTCTGTTTATTTACAGTGTTACCTGGCTCAACGAATGAAACTGACTTTTTTATTTTACGACTTTCAACTTCTTCCACAGACTGTGTGTCCATCACTTCTTCCTTCTCTTCTTCCTTTTTGTCCTCATTGAAACTGTCCTTTTCACTTTCAGACGAACTTTCTGAATCGTAGGAATAATCTTCTGGCTCATCTCCAAAGAGTTCATATTGTTCATCTTTCAATCTACAAAGAGAATACATTTTATTTGAAAATGATAAATGACAGTAATAACAATACCGAAGTAATATACCTATTAAATTCGTCGGCTAACTCTTCCTCTAATTCAAGCTGATCAAGTCTCTCAAACAGATCTTCTTCCGTTTCAATTTTCTTTTTTTCTTCTTGCTTAAATTTAGCTAATTTCTGGTGATACTCTCTCTCTTTTTCCCTATGTTTTACTGCGAAAGAAAGTTTAGTTCTTACCAATTTAGATTAAACTTGAAAAGAATATAGGAATTACCTTTCCATTCTTCAATTTGATCATTGTTCCAATGTTCCACAATTTCTTTACCAGCACAATTTTCAAAAAGATTACTGTTTGCAAATAACATCCTTGTTTCATATAAATCCCTCTCAGTGCCCAACTTCTTTAACATTTCTTCAGCATCTATTAGGAAACATATATTTAGAACCTAATTAATTTATCATATCAAATTTTACTTTATTCATCACATTCTGCTATCTATTAAACTTACGTTGTATTCTTCTTGCACAAAGTGCTGCTGCACCTTCAGCACTATATTTTACAAAATATCCATCACCCAAACAAGCAAGTACTTCATTCGTGTGAATTAATTTTCCCTTCAGCAATGCTCTCTTCCCTACAGGTACCATACAATTTACATACACATTTTTTTGAAAAGTATGCAGTGCCTGTGCAACTTTCTCATGACCTTTTTTGTAGTCTGTCCATATTTTGCATTGTTGTTCATTTCGTTGTATTGCCTTCAAAAAGTTAATTTATATTATACATAGAAAATATTCTCAAAATTCAAAAACTTACAGAAAATTAAATACGATATATGTATTGATGGACTGAATCCTTGAAACGTTATTCAAATTTCCGTTCCGCCATTGATAATAAAAAAAGTACTGTTTTAAGGAAAATAATATTTATTTGACTATCTTATATTTTATTGAACTATCTACCTTTGAAAAAACCTCATCCAGAAGTACGCGTTGAAAGTTTCGTGCTTCGCCTTCAGGATTCATTATTTTAATAATAATATTAAACTATTAACGTAACAAATACGACAGTATAATTAGAGAGATTTAATAATGAGTTTATTTACAAATAACGGCATTTATTTCTTTCTTGTACATTGAAATTTCTTAACGAAGATTGCTTAGTTTATATATATACATATGTATATATTACATATTGACAAATTGTATTAAACTTCTTATATAACTGCATACATTATTTAATTGGTTTCATCATACTTCCAACTGACATTATAATTTCAATAACTATTTACAAGATTTTTTTTTAATTATAACCCCAAAATCAACGTTCAAAATTGAATGCCGTTTGCAGGACTACATGAAAACAATACCAAAAACAAAGAATACATAATCTATAGTGTGGTAACTGTGACAAAATATTTTCAATATTATTTTAAGTTATAAATAGAAAGTAACTTGCAAAAATAAAATTTATCACGATTCCTCTATCTTTAAATACAATAATGGAAAGAAAAGTTTATCATGTAATTAGAAATTAATAACTAATAATAAAGGGTGTTAGATATATAAATATATCTTTAAATTCAGTTCATTTACACTTCAATGCACATATCTTCTATATGTACACATATATGAACCTCCACAATCAAATATTAACACCATATAAATCTTTTCATTATCTTGAAAATATTTTATTAGTTTGTTTTGAAATTCGCGGTTAAATTTAAGAAACACACGGTGTTTTTACTTTGTCCGTTAGATGGAGCTACTTCAAACATCTGAGAGATGCGTATCTATCCGTCCCGTTGATTCGTGATTTTCTTCCCTGTTTCTTTTTCCATCGAAGAGGAATTGCCGCAAGATGGTTAGTGAACGAGTGAAAATCTGTTTCTGCTTAAAACATCCTCATCGATCGCCCTTTATCAATTTGATTATCATTTTCTTCAATGCAATGCGATTCCAAATATGTATACATTTTTTCCCCTCAAATGGCATTCAACAATACATTCTAATACATAACCTCAACCCTTACGGCCACAACAAAATCCTAAAATCATTACTTGTTAACGTTCCTTGTTTGAGTTACTTACTTCCGGTTACATTAATTATACTTTAATTGCATTAAAAAATCGTCGTGAAATGAGTCAGTTGCTTTTCAAACGTAACATTAGATAGAAGTCCGAAGACAATGTTTTCATTGACAGTAACATAGAAGAAAACATGTGTTACTAATTGTTGGGGTTTTCGAAAGTGTTTAGAAGTGGTTATTTACTGAAAAGTGTTGTGATTATTGTTTTTAGGGTAAGGTTAAGTGCACGGAGCTGAGGACGAAAGACAAGGAGGAGCTGCTCAAGCAGCTGCTGGGCCTCAAAACAGAGTTGACCAACCTGCGTGTGGCTAAAGTCACTGGAGGAGCTGCTTCTAAACTTTCAAAGATGTATGTATAAACTCTGAATATATTATCATTATTTTATTACATTTCTGTGTGCTTGAAATAAAGTTTTAAAATCTTGAAGTGACTTAACAATTTAAATTTAAAGAACAACGTTGAAGTTTCTACAGTTTTTTAACCCTAAGTAGGTGAAATCACCTTTAAAAATTAATTTAAATTGTGTAACTTAACAAATGCAGATAAGAGTAATGTAAAAACTAGAATAATCTTTATTGATATTAAAGACAATAAAATACATGAAATCGCTTTGTCGAAGGTATTCAATTCCTTACAATAAGAGATTTTGATAACGCTATATGAAATTCAGCATTAAACTTAAATACAAATATATATTATTGAATACTGTTTATCCGTATAAGGTTATTTGATTTTCTTTGTATTTCAGCCGTGTTGTAAGGAAGGCAATAGCTAGAGTGTACATTATTATGCATCAAAAGCAAAAGGAAAACTTGCGTCTGTTGTATAAAAACAAAAAGTACAAGCCTCTGGACTTGAGACCAAAGAAAACTAGAGCACTCAGAAGGGCATTGACACCTTTCCAGGCCAACAAAAAGACTCTGAAAGAAGTACGCAAACAATCCGCCTTCCCTCCAAGAAAATATGCTTTAAAGGTGTAAACTACAAGGTACTAATAAGGGACAAAATAAAGTTTTTTTAAAAATCAACATTGTGTTACTCTGCGGAAACAAACAAAATGAATAGTCACACGAAAGTATCGATGAATGCTTTTTATTTTCTATAGAAAAAGAAAGAGTACAAAAGTTACAATTAGACGGACAGCTTCTACCAGCTAAGAAGTCTATCGCGATCCTTGATTGTTCAACGTCTAACGCAACATTTAAATTAATCGTAGAGAAATGATTAAGGAGAAAAGCGAGAATTAATTTAGAACAATGATACAATGACGCTATGATACAAAAGCTGTTGCCTGAGGTGTTTTTCACTTCCGTTGAATGCTCTCAGACGTTGAACGGTTCAAGAATCAAACGAAAGCTGTTTAATGTGAACTTTAAAGGCGAATGCCAGGATTTCTGGAGACCACGAAGTTTAGAAGCTCGTCGCTGTCCTCGCAGACGAACGGTTTTCGATGGTGGCAGGCGACGTCGTGCCATTTCACCCCGTCGTTGTAGAAGTTGTTCAGAATCGACAGGCAGGACTCGTCGTTGCCCTGTAACATAAACACTCCATTTATGTACCGAATATATTTTAAGATACAATAGAATCTAAGTAGATTTAACGTTAAATACTTGGGCAGCCTCGCGGTTGTCGGGTTGCGCCTGTCCGTATCCACCGGTGTGACTCCAGTCGCCGGAATTCCGTTGCGTGGTGGCGCCGATTTTGGCTCCTGAACCAGACCAGAACCATCCGTTGACATTTTGCGGTTGAAGGTCTGGTCGGTCGCAGCCGTTGAAGTTACATTTACGTCCAGACGTCCAAATGTATCTCACGTTTCCTAGACAATTGAATAATCGAACACGTAAGCAATGGAAGGAACGAAGTACGACGGGCAAACTCGGCTTCCTCTAGGAAAATATCAATGTAGGGGTAAGGGGTCTCCTATTGCTTGATAAATTTATTTCAAATACTAAAATAAATATTAATTTGGCATAAATTTCAGTAACTCTGAGACCAAGTGGTAGGAAGTCTTTTCCTTACATAACTTTTTCCCCTGGCGGAAGTCGAGGGTGCAATGAACTCTGACTATATTGCCATGGTCAGAACTGCAGGGGAGTAAAATGGCAATGAGTTCAGAGCCCCCTCCATGCCAAATTCTATCGTCATAGCCTCAGCGTTGCGCAACAGTTGGGTCCTAGTGGGAGAGTGAATTTCTTTGCCCGAAAGTACGTGTGAAGGGGAAGTGCCTCACGTGGCAATATAGTAAGAGTCCACTGTATACGTAGAATCTGTTTTGTGAAATAATATTCTTCCGTGTCGTAGCTCACCACGAACAAGTCTCTGTTTAATAAACTCATTTTCTTGCGGCGTCTCAAGTGAAACTGCATCCATACAATGTCTTCTGCAGATGTTACGCGAGTCGAGCCAGTCCACCTCAAGATTTCTGGTCGGTTGATGCTCCCAGCTGAAGAAGTACGAATGAGCGACGCCTCTACCGTCTCTATATGTGGCGTGCCGTACTCCTGTAATGGAACATCGTTTCAGTACACCGTGGTTGTGTAAAAAAGAAGGAAAAACAGTGGAACGAAGAAAGCAATTCATAATTGAAATTATGCTCACGATTGGCACAACTGCGTGGATCAGGAAGAGCAAGTCGACGTTGGGCGTTCACTGCGACGCCAGCGAGGAGCACCATCAGCCATAACGTCTTCATCTTTGTGATTCTTAACAAAAAAAAAAGAATAATTGGTTTTCCATTTGTGAAACAACACTTGTCGTTGGTTACACTTTGTCATATATTCATAAAAAGAGTGAAAATAATTAAAAAGATTGTTAATACTCTCAGTAATTTTTCTGGTCCTAATGGACACACGTGATACGAAGACAAGAATTTAAAAAAAAAAAAAAGAAGAATGCACGAAAAGTTTATCCACAGATCAAGAGGTTCTCGAACTCCGTTGGAAGGTCGTTGATCTGCGTTCAATTTCAAGAGGATGCGCTGTGAGAAGATTCTTTTCCGTGCTGAATATCCAGTAGGTAAAAGTTCCCTGGGAATGAATCTTTGTTGAGGGTGAAAGGAGACATTTCAGAAGTGAATTATGATCCGAGAAGGAAAAGGAGACGATCCTCTCGGTCTATCCCTGCCAGCCGGCACGACAGTGAAAAATGTGAGGGGATTTTGCAACTGGTCTGCGTCTTTTTTTTTTTATAACACACGACGCTAACTTTCCTCGCTGGCTCCGTGGACTTGCAACTTTCTAAATCGTCTCCGCGACACCCGGTGGACGACTGGCGATGAATTCCTCGAGCAGTGGCCACTCAATTCTCGATCATTATCTAAATAATTCTCTCTGGTGCAATGCAACTGAATGTCTTTAACAATGAAACTGGAGCAGAAAATGATACATGGCTTAGCAATGTATAATTGCAATATGGACTGTTCAGCGAAGTGCGATCGGAGATTAAGAAACGTGGCTAAAGTCTGGAGCAGAAATTGATGGAAAGGAAACCGTGCCCCTTGTACCTTAGACTGTAATTAATAGAATGCAAAGATTTATACAGGGTAGCCCAAAAGTCACTAGACCATTTAAAAAGAAAATAACTCTCTATGCTTTTTATAAACAGTAAATATATTTGGAATTTATTTTTAATTCAGTTTTGTAGATTATGACCTTCAAATGGCCATCATTTTGTTTTTGATAGTAGTGAGGGCTCTTTCTAAAAAGTTATATTTCAAAATGGTCTATTGACTTCTGGGCCACCCTGTGCAAATTCAGAAAAATCTGACGTTAAATAATAACTGTGGTTTCTATTGCAGGTTTTAATGGGCATTGACAGAAGTGTAGAAGTTTTTGAAGTTTGTTTTATGAACCAAAGTAATTATTCTGCAATCTCGACACTGCTTTCTAGATATTTGGATAATTCCCCAGTGTTCTACTGCATTACTCTTTCTGTGCACGTGTTCGATTACCGCATAGAATAACAATGACCCGCATTTGGGATTCCGCGTCGTTGGGGAAGTTAATGAAGTCCTGCTCTTAATGAGACTGCTTTCGCTAAAAATTAGATTGTTGCCGGGTCGTTCACCTGGATCGAACGAAGTACGCTTCGCCGTCCAGGAAGAGTCCGAAGTTACAAAACGAATCGTTTGAAAATTGTATGGAAGACTTTTTATCTGTTCAACTGATTCTTGATTACGGTCGAGGATAGATTTAAATCGTCCAACCGTGTCGTTTGTCGGCACGGTATTTCTGTAGTCGTAACGTTGATTGTTATTACAGTGGCGGAAGGTTGTTTCAATTATCGGTTGACGTAACGGTTCTTCAGACCGTTTCACTGACCCAAACCGCAAATTTAATTGGGACAGATTTGAACATTATCGTTTACTTTTTCAGGAAATATTTTGTCTAACCTTTACAGTCTCTACTACGTTCAAAATCAATATTAGTTGATAGTATTGAGAAATTGTTATTGGTTTGAATGATGGGTCGGAATTCGTGTGTTCAAGAGTGGTAGGAATAAGTACATAGAATATGTTGCAACACGTAATTCGGGCGGAAGGTGTTAGGAAGATTTCTAAAACGGATGGCCCTACACCGGATGAGGATTTCGTCATGATTATTCTATTAACAACCTCTATTGCATAATAATTATTGTCCTGTTATGAGTGCTTAAGAAACCACGCTCGACAAAAAGAGTACATATTTTCCGGTTGGTCAACACGGAAATTCTGATTAAGGTTCTTCGTAATTAGAAATCTTATAATAATTAAAGAAATCATAGAATGAAAGAACTGACTAAACTACAATATTATTAACATACAAGGAATTATCAGTAGGTACATTAAATTACATATTTATAATTTAAAATAACAATAGTACACCTGGCTCTTTAATTTGAATCTTTCATAACTAGACTGTGGATTTTATGCATTTATAGCCTATAGAGGTATGTAAAATACAATAAAGGACAAAACTTTCTTGAGATCCAATAAGTTATTTGGTTTATTCAAAACCGAATATGATGCTTGAGAAAAGAAAGGAATTCCTACATTTGCTCTTCTCTCTATGAATGCTTTAGAAAATATCATTTTGCATAAAAATCCGCAGCCTATTCATAACATATAAAAGTGATATTCTTAAATCTTCAGCTGTTATTGAATAAGCCTTTCGAAATCAAGGAACTTTTCATTCCCAGTGGCAAATGTAAGAACAATATCTTTTGTAACTATGATACTTGAGAAAAGAAAGGAATTCCTACATTTGCTCTTCTCTCTATGGATGCTTTAGAAAATATAATTTTGCATAAAAATCCACAGCCTATTCGTAACATATATCCCATTAAGATCGATTCCACTACAAAGTGATATTTATTCTTAAACCTTCAACTGTTATTGAATAAGCTTTTAAAAATCAAATCTTGACTCAAACAATTTCTTTTATAACTCTTATAATAAACTTTCCAGGTGAAAGAGGTGTGTTCAAGCTTGCGGGTAGTGATCCGTGTTTTGTCAAGCTTGGCGTGCCCCACTTGGAAACTGTCCTATGTGGGATTTAGATAAATTTCCTGACATTCTCCGATATTGTTTCCAGGGTTAAGTGGGGTTCAAAGGAGAGGGAAACAGGGAGAGATCTCGGTGGGTTTAGTTTGTATCCGCGTGTGCGCCCGTGGAACCGTTATCTGGCCGGCTTTATATCGCCCGGTTTACGAAGTTGGCCTCTGTCCGTGTGTCTCTGTCCTGTCTGGCTCTGTCCTCTCTGCGTGTGCCTCTTAACGGCTCTCGTGTAAGCCCGCCTGCATACACGCGGCGCTCTCGAGTATTCGGGACGAGTACGCCGGCACAAAAACCGAGCAGGAGCGTGCCGATGACATCGTCGAATGGAAAAAGAAAAATCAGAGCCTGTTCATTTTCGACTTTCGCTCGATCCGGATCGATCCATTATTCCTCTGTGTTCTAATTTTCGGCGACGTGCCTCGAAACAAGCCTCTTGGCACTGGTCTTTTCCAAATGACGCCTTGAAGACGCCCATTTATACGTCTAAGGCGTCTTTAAGCCGTCTTCAGGGCGTCATTAGGCGTCATGTGCTATCTGGGTTATAAATATGGAAAGTTTGAAAAATTAGATAGGGTGAATGCACCAGTAATATTATATATGAAAGCTAGTAAATTAAGTTATTAAAATAAGCAAACGGGTAAATAGTTAAAAAATCATATTCAAACAATTTTCGCGCGATTAGTTAGTAATTATTAACTGGTGAAATTTGTATATTGTGTCTTTTTAATTTAATTAAGTATATTTTTACGATTTTTCGAATTGAAATCTATATCTTATAAAAAGGTACAGATATATTTAAAAATCTGTACCTTTTTCTTTTCAATTTAATTAATTATATTTTTACAATTTTCCGAATTGAAAACTGTACGGTACAAAAAGGTATAGATATTTGAAAATCTAATTTTCATATGCCGGATATTTATTAATATTATTATCATTTAAAATTCGTCTTTAATAATTAGAAAATTTTATTGGTGTGTTTACTCGAATTCTCGGCGAAAATAATTTTCATTCGAATGTCTGTTGCCGGAGGCAATTTGGGTCATTGGCGACACCTACCGTAACGGACATTTTTTTGAAATTCTGTAATACCTTGTACGGTTAAATGTTCCGAAAATGTCCTTCGTTAATCGATCGTCTGTATCGATTACATTGTTACATTACAATGGGTTCTTTTATTTTCTTATTACAGGAAATGTAGTCTTTACTAGCTCCAGTTACACTGTAATGGTGTACCTATCGAGAATAGGTCGACATTGTGGTTACACCTGCATCTGTCTTTAGTACTCGTTTTGGAATTATAAATTAGGTTAAAACGAATGAATCCCCACGGTCGATCGAACTCGCACGTTATCCAAGGTGCATTATCATATGTTTTTCGACACTGGTATTAAAACAAGACAAAGAAATAGTTTCGATCTCGTCAAAGTAACCGTTAAGTAGCATTTGAAATTACCGATGAAAAATTCGGAGGGGGAATTCGACCCACTTTCTGCGCAAGGTGTACACTCGGTTCGAACTCTTTTTTTCGATCACGTGTTTTCTTCATCTTTTTTTTTTCGGAACATCGCGGCACGATCGACGAAGGGGAACAGTATTCCTCTGCAATACCATCGGCAGGTGAATTTTATGCGGCAACAGCCAAGCAGCAAAGCGGGTTTTCTTCGTTTTTTACCATTTACAGGTGGATATCGTAAGATCTCGTCGATTCTAATGAATTCCCCACTCGAAGTAATACTTCACGTGCGTTACATACATCAGTTGCGTACAGCTCTTCGTACCGATCGTTACGCAAGGAAAGTACCATTAGCGAAGATGGAACCCTCTCCGTGCAAATCGAAGGAGAGAAAGTGAACGATCTTCAAAACAAGGATGTTTACTTTTAATGGGATGCTGGGAACACGACTGAACAGCGTTTGAACCGCGCGGAAACATTTTTTCTTCTTCTTTTTTTTTTTTCATACGAACAGATCCAGATAGAACACGGACGGCTTAAAGGCGCATCAGACCTAAAATGGACGTCTTCAAGGCGTCATGTGCTGTCTGGGGAGAAATGACTATCAACGGAGGGATAATTTCAGATAGCACATGACGTCTATTTTAGGCCTAAGGCGCCTTTAAGCCGTCTTAAAGGCGTCATGTGCTATCTGAGGTAGGATCGTAATAATATTCGATTCGCTTTTTTCACGATCGTTATTCGATCCGTTATATTTTAAACTTTAGAACAGAATGGTCGTTTCGTAATTACAGGTATACAGGTGCCGCAGTTGGTTAAACATGTTGAATATGGAAAGCGTGGGAACGGACCGATGGATTCTCATGGTGTGAATTTGGCAAAACAAGGGTGACGGGCTGGAAGAACAATCACGGTGAACACGGACGTTGAAAAAAAAAAAAAAGAAAAAGTGGTAAAAACCCGGCGATCGAGCGTGAGCCGTTTAATTAAAGGTAACTCGAGGTAGACGTCGTTAATTATGAGAGGATATCAATTACCCTTTGTTCAACCGAAACAAAAGGCTTTAATCTGTTGGCCGAAGGGAAAACAGAGTTACTGACTTGGCACAAGTTTAAACGATGTCACACAACTGTACACGATAGTTTCGGTAGATTTCTGATTTACTGAAACAATTTTATTGATTTTTCGTTACTTTTCCACAGGATGGATGGAGGGAACGAAATTTTCCTGCAAGATGCCTTTTACCCCAGTATCATATACCTCGGATAGCACATGAATCCTTGAAGACACCTTCTTTACGGCTATTTTAGGTCTAAGGCGCCTTTAAGACGTCTATTTTACGGCTATTTTAGGTCTAAGGCATCTTTAAGCCGTCTTCAAAGCGGCATGTGCTAGCTAGGACTCAACTCGCTGGAAGGACTACCAATAATCGTTCCACACCACGGTATAACGTCTATTAGAAGCCTGCTAATGACCGCTAAAACGCAACTTTGTGCATACGGTGGAACCTCGATTATCCTTCAGACAGAACAACGAGACCATAACGGATACTAGACAGTTAATCCTAGATCCTGACAGTGAACCAAAGCCGAACGAAATAACCGTGGTTCCATAATTTCCCAGATAACACACGACGCCTTGGAGACGGCTTAAAGACGTCTCAGATCTAAAACAGCCGTGAAATGGGCGTCTGCAAGGCGTCATGTGTGCTATCGGGGTTTTGAATCGGTTTGGGACGCGGTGGTGCGCAAGATCCACGCGAAGGAAGGCGCGAAAATGGTTAAGGATCGGTAAAGAGAAAGCTCCGTAGAGTTCCTGCCGGGTCACGCGACGGGACCGTTCGATCGAGTCAGGTCGCCGCTTTCGATTTCTCCTGGTTGCACTTACCTACTGAAAAACTTCCCTGGTTCCTGGCTCTAAGATGATCCTTGGGGATCGTAGAACTTTATAAAATTATACGGAAGGATGTATGGCCTCTGGTCGTGCGTGTCCTGGGATAGCTACCAGTTTCGTATGGTTTTTCGGTGGGTCCAAGTGACGCGGAAAGCTCTCGTCCACACGGGAGTTGTCGATCGCGACGAGAAAGAAGAATGAACTGCGGCGTACGAGCAGGCAACCGGTATATAGCCGGCCCACATTCCCTTCTGGCTCGAGTAACCCAGATTCTTCCCACCCGTGTCCGTCTGGGGAACATCTTCGGGGGCCTGAAAGGAGCCCTGGATAATTCCCGGCTTGCCCCAGCCGCGCACACCTCTCACTGATCCGTTCCCCCGCGTCGCCACTCGTCACCTTCGAGCTTCCTCGAAGTCGTAGTCTTTCGGAGGTGGAATTTAGTTTTTTTTCTACTTTTTTTTTTTTTTCTTTAGCGTTGGAATCCACCGTGGCGTTTGTAATTGATTCTGAAAAAGGAATTGTCCTTCCGCGATCCGATAGAATCACCCGGCTTCCTTGGTGATTGTCCACACGCTTCGTTAATCAGGAACCTATAAGAATGCTTTCATGTGATGGTAGTATATATCGTTTGGAATACGAGATTTCGTTTACTTTGCGCTAGTGTGCTAGGGAAGATGAGTCATTCTGGGATTAGGAATGAGGGAATGGATGCTTATTAACGGTTAGATTTAGTTTTGGTTATGGTAGTATACTTTGAATTTAATTATAAGATAGCGTAGTGTCTGATGGGACTGATGATTGACTGGTTCGAGAAATTTGAAGACGTTTATATCAATAATTTATTAGTGGTTAAATAGAATCGTTTTTAATACATTGCCGGCGAATCGTACGCGGATTTGTACTTTCGTGGCTGACGCGTTTTCTGTGTTATTGCTATGCCAATAAGGGAATAATTGTACTAAATTGGTCGAGAACTCAAGGTTTTGGAACATCATTGTAAAAATATGATGACAATTTTATGGATGAATGTGTTTTACTTTCTAGAAATTGTTTCTAATACCATTCACTTTGTGATGGAAAAAGGGTCCTAGGACCATGTAAGCTTAACAGTCCAGAAATCAGAGCAGTTCACATTTAAAAAGTTCTTTCTATGCTGCAAAACCATTTGCAACATCTTCTAATCATTTATCATACAAAAATATCCCGGACACTACAGTTTAGTAGTGTCAAGTCTATTGAAACCCATGCACCATAAAATCCATTTAGGTTTTCATTCCTCTTCCTGGATGCATTTTTCCACCAGCTCCTTCAAATTCGGATTCTCCATAGCAGCTGCTATTCGTTCTTTGTCATTTATTTGTTTATTTACTAAAATTTGAAGTTTCAATCAATGAATTGTAACATTTCGCTTGTATTATATAACAGATTCCACTTACTCTCTTGTTCTGTAGAGTGAGCACCTTTTTTAATGTATATATCTAGCTTAAAAAGAGCCACCAAATGACGTTCCAATTTAATCCTGATGCAAAGACCAATCAGCGTTGCTAATGAACAATGCGGAACTGTAGGATTAAATTCAATGCGTATAACAGAGACTCCTTTAGGGGTCTGCTTGCAGATTTCAACACAGTCTTCGTAAACAACGTCCAGCTGCTCCAATGTCTGAGGCTTCTCTGGATCTTTGATAGTTCTAAGTAGATCTGTAATAGTTTCAATCATCGTGAGCCATGTGTGAACAGAACTTATAAGTGCAATATATACTTGCATCCTTAACTTTAGAAATAAATCTCAAAAATCTAACCGTTAGTCGTCGATTAGCAATTTGTGAATACACTTCATAGTATTTTTGAAAATTCATTATCTAACATGTGGACTGAACAAAGTAGTATTGTAAGCAATCGATAGAATCTTATCAACTGTTAAACAAACGGAAAATTTCCATTGCAACTTTGTGTTAATCGGTGGTAGGATTTTTAATTAATTTTACAATTTTTAAGCATGAACTTGCCGTAAACGGATTCCTTCAGTTCGGTGTCGGATCGCGAGACCAGAGCTCGGTTCTTCGCGTCCGGATAGCCTTCTGTAACCTCCATTTCGTCCCCAGTCGGAAGACCATCTCTTATCTTCCCTCCGATTGAGATTTTTCGAAAAAACGACAACATTCTTGCCCCGTGCCCCCCTTGCCTTTTCTAGCGATCAACGATACATCATTAAAATTTGTTTATATTATGGCTGGTGGACTTCGACGGACATAACCTCTCAATGGGCCCCTTGCGATAGGCCGCACAAGTTACGTCACAGCAGCGCGGAAGTTCAATGCCGATTGAATTTTTCTATTCGAATTTTATTATTGACCGCAAAAGGATCGAGCCTCGAGCCATCGTATGGAATATTTAATTTTTTCATTCTTATGTTCGACAAATATTTGTTAAACGCAAACACTTTAAGAACAATTAACCTGATCTCGTCATTTTTGTGGGACTCTACGGGACCAAAATTTTCATACATTTATTTCACAAATTATTATATTATAATTTGGCAAAAAATTTATGTTTCAGAGTGAAAAGACAATTCTTTGAATTAGAATATTCGATAAAGCTATCGAAGCATTTGATATATTCATAACGATTTCCGTTACAATTCATAATTTGGTGCCATTTTCGTACGCTATCTGTTGACATTTCGTGTAATTAAAGTCAGTACATATGTAATTTCCCGTTATGCGAGTCGCTCTCGTTTGAAACGATAAAGTAATTATAGGTTACTCGTGTACATTCATTGTTTTTTCTTCTCTTTCAGGTGAATTGTATAATTACTCAAATGTTTAGTGCACTTAAGTGTCAGATCTAAAAAGGAATACGGTTTCTGCCAAGCTCTAAAACATGGAACACGTAAATTCACACTTACTTTCACTCAAGAGGTAATTACCGGGCAAACATACCTTATATTAAATCCTTTATAATAAATTCAACTCACGCGAACGAATCTCATTCCAAAGTGCAGTATTCCCCACGACAGTTCATTCACTTTCATTTTTTATATTTATAGATATTTGCATAAATTAACTTTTCGGCGAACCTTGCGTGCACGGTCGTGTTTGCCGTTTTATTTATGCAAAAAGATATCCAGAAATCTACATAAAACGTTCCCATGAACTATAAGCAACCGGACAAGTTCCAAACAACTGTGATGTGCAAATAAAAAGAAGGTGAGAAATTTCACTTTCCATTAGCACACTATTCGCGCTGTCATCAAATATCAAAGGATGACGCCATATACAGGGTGATTCGTAAGTAAAGAGCCAAATGAAATAAGGATTATTTTTATTCGTAGACGATGCACCAACCAAATGTTTTTACATTCGTGTATATACGGTGCATTCTTCCGTGACAAATTCACAGGTGAAAATTCATTCCGCCATGGGTGGTGTCTGGCGGGAAATGGTTCGGATTCCGTTGGAAAAAATTCGATAGATGGCGCGTCGGGCAAGTTTTTCAAGGTTCGAATTCTAAACGACCCTGTTACACTTCTGATTGTAGACCAAGAAGCATTTTTCGGGGCCAGTTCGGTGACCCGCAAGGCCATTCAAGGTTACGAACAAGTAACAAAACCTCCTACAAAAAAACTAGTTCTGGTATCCATTATGACAGACGGTTATTGCTTCCATTTTCAGGTAGGTTCATTCTGTTTCTAACCTTGACCGAGTTTGCGTGTCCGGTCGTTAAACCGATCTTGGAAACAAGCAACGTAAGAATAAATAGCATAGATCAAGCGATTAATAATTATCGTACAGGTACGAAACACTTTCTACTAAATATAAAATGACCGTTTTCAACCCTGAAACGTTACAGGGTGACCTTGAACGGTTTAATCGCGAACACCGATTAAATGATCGATCGCCTGCGGTGAACCAGCTATACAGTGGCAAAAAAGGGATCATACAATTTTTTCCAAGAGAGCTGTATCTGGCGAGAGATAATTAGGAGACCGAAAGGCGACAGGAGAAACATGGTTAACAGGTTGCAGAATAATTATTTATATTAACCCTCGCGAGGCGGGCATTTTTGATGACTTTTAATGGACCAGATAAGCTCCTACTCAACTATCTTTACATCTACAGTAAATCCTCGATGAGTGTTCGAAGGCTCCTCGGCACGGAACATAAAATATTTTATAAACTAATAACCATATGAGGCTGAAACAAATATTATTGGCTTCAAAATTCCAAGCTCTATCAGTATGATAAACATCATTGAAAAATCAGCGTTACACCTAGAAACCTTCCCTTGTCAGCGCCGAGGAGCGTCCGAACACTCACCGACGATTTAATGTATCTCAAAATGAATTTCTTTAAAATATACCGGTCCACCTGTCTAATATAAACAACTATACGTTTGAATTAGTCATCGTAAACTCGAATGCCGTGTGAAGTTTCTGGGTCGTAGTGGACCCAGACACCTGCAACCGAGGATGGACGCCTGTCCCTCCAGAAGGTCGCTTCCCAACGAAGGTTGACGGCTGCGTCAAGTGCAATTTCCTGCTTCTCGACACTGGCTCCTTCATTCACGGCGTCCGACACGATGAAAACAAAACGCATAACCGCGTCATCAGCCTTTCACCTCGCGCCGTAACCCCGGGAGTAGGCGAGACGTGGGTCCATAGTACGGAGATCGCGACCCCGTGTGCAGACCATTGCTGACATCGATTTACGTCGGGAGGAAGAGACTGTCTGAAAAGGCAGTTGCATCTTGCACGCCCACCGTTCCGCAACGTGTGTGTTGCGCGCTGCACGGGCCCACAAGGAGGGCCCTAACGCTGCTCCAAGGAAGAACCGTCGAATTCGTGGAAGGTAACGGCAGCCAAGGGGGGGGCCTGGCTGGTTTGATTGTACATACATACGTATATACTCCGTGAAACTGATGAACGTATTCGTTTCACACATACACACATACACCGCGCGCGCGCGAATGAGGTTTTAAGGTGAGAGAACGGTGCAGCCCCGGCGGCCCCAAAGAATGCGAAAGCTTTCTAGAGGGGACCTACGCCGGTTTAATCTACTACTCGGTGACGGATCGTGAAATTTAAACCGCCTGGCGTCACGCATTCAAAGGCGTCGGAATTGCGGGAGGGATCCCAGAAGTCTTCCTTGGGGGGGGGGGGGGAGTATTTTGTCAGCCATATTTTACCAGTAGAAGTGACATAATATTTTTATCTTTTAGTATTCTTGGGAGAGCGGTAAGGCGAACGCCCCCCTTCTCGATCCGCCACTGGGAAGGTCTGGCTCTGTCTCTCCGCTGTCTCGTTGGGCGCGTCGATTAGGCGGAGCCCCTTACCCTTCCCCACCTGTACACCGACCCCTAACTGTATGTTGCAACGGCCAGACTAGACGCGTTTCGTGACACCGGCCGGGTCGTGCTCCGTAGGTAAGACGCTATTGGAATTTTTACCGTAAAACACGAGGGACGACCAGCTGGACCGGTCTCTTTCTCTTTCTTTGTCCGTGCCCACTGGCCACTGTCGTATTGTGACCCAATGTGCTGCTGAATATAGATCATTGTGCGAGCAAGATCCAGCGGTAGTCGTGTTGAGAACGGGGGAGAGGAATTGGGTAGTGTCTCGAGGCTTTTACACAGGGATTGGTGTAAATCTCCGGTGGCAGAGACGTCTTTAAGGTTGGGGAGAACCTTTTGGGATAAACCTTGTCGGTATAGCTTCTCGAGCGCAGGGTGAGTCTTGCTCGCTTGACACCTTATCGGGTAGTGTAAATTGAACGTTATTTTGTATAGTCTGTACAGTTCATGACCTACAAACTCGATACTCATTATCATTTTCTGATATGTTACAGTCGTGTTATAGATCAAGATTCTTTTTTTTAACAATTCTCTGAACTGACTCACTTTTTATATCAAGCCTTAGATGGTAATTGGAAGACTCTAGGTGCCTACATATTTTTTTAAATCGTTCTTTCAGTTATGTCTAGAAAAGGGTATTCTATAATATCAAGTCTTAGATGGTAATTTGAAGTTTCTATACACCTACATATTTTTTTAATTCGTTTGTTCAGTGATTTCTAGAAATGGGTATTCTGTATCAGTTGCCTGTCACAATTGGAATGCAAAGGTGATTAACGTAACAATTTTAACGACACCAGTAGTCCATTAAGGATTATGTCCCGGGTCCTGCTGACTAATAAAGCAATCGCGGTTCTTTGGACGTCACTTAAGACTTTTCCTTTCTGTTCATATTGCGACCAGAACTGCCGGAAGTATAAATAGAAAGTACACTAAATAGATCGTCGTCCGAAACGCGTTGTAACCATGGGTATATGTTGGTCAGTGTTTTCGTCTTAGTCATCGGGCACCTAAAGTGTACGCAGATAACGAGGGAAAATGGCCCAAGCAAGGATCGGTCCCCTGAGAGACTGGATCGAGGCTGTCGGTTAACTAAGTCACGGTGAAACATTTAGATTTTTCCCCGTCGAGGTCGATCACTCGCGGTATCTGTATAATTAATCGCGATGATACGTCGTGTTGCAAAATTTAAATAAATTGGCGTTGCGTTCATTCCGAGAGTGACTCTCTCCGTATCCTTGAAATCCAGTTCCAGATCGTTCGTTCCGATTATTGCTACTGTATTTCGTACTTTCGAAAGATAGCATCGGTGGAAGTGTGTAGATGGCAATAAACGACGTGTACCTAACGGATATCCCAGTTTCTCGGAGATACGAGTCGATTCGAACTGTGCCAGAGATTATTGATCGTCTCGGTGTTACGTAACGCGTGAAAGTTGAAAAAAAACCTTTGGTCAAAGTGCCCCGAGACGCCAGTCACGTTTAACAGGCGTCTTGGAAATTTTTGTCCCGGTCCGATCGATAAAACAGCGCTCCAGTAAAATATTCTAGCGCTCTTATCGGGCGAACGTGTCGCGGAGAACAAATAAAGAAACACATGACAGCCTGATAACCGATATCTTTCAGACTACGTTGCTTAATTGTTTTGTCCCGAATTATGTAAACTGCTTGCACCGTTGTAACGCACATTATAACATAATATTTATTTTATAGATTTTTGAGGGATCGGTGCACTGTGTCGGGAAGAAATAATTATATACAGTTAATCCTTGATGAGTGTTCGAAGGCTCCTGGCATTGAACATAAAATATTTCATAAACTAATGGCCATATGTGGCTTCAATGAACGAATATTTAGTTCTATAATGATATTATACTTTACTATCCTTGACAGTGCCGAACAGCCTTCAAACACTTAAGTAAAGTGTAATTAGTACGAATAATGAAATTTTAATATAATAATTGTCTGGAAGTATCGAAATCTCAAGGATGTTTCTGGACACTTTAGGACGCTCTGGGCTCTAGTAAAATTATATCATAATATTTATGGCTCAAGGTCACTTGCCCACTCTGAATTAAGCAAAGTACCCACTCCTAGATAGCACATGACGCCTTAAAAACGGCTTAAAGGCGCCTTAGACGTAAAATATCCATAAAATGAGCGTCTTCAAGGCGTCATGTGTTATCCGGGAACAGAAAGCCCTTGAATCCTAACCGCTATTTAAACAGATGTCCCGCAGCCCCCGTAAGTACAGACTCCTCTCGATTATCGTCTGGTTTGTTCTACTCGATTATTGTCCAGGCGTTATCTTCACCACTGGAGGGGGGGGGGGGAGGCCGTGGAACCTGTCAAGTGCATACTTTGTTGCCCCTCTGTTTTTGTTACCAAGGCTCGGGCTTCGGGAAAAAAACGAATTTACGAGGGTCTGAAGCATTTCTCCCTGTATGATTATTGTCCCGACGCTGACCCGCGTTTGGGACGATAATCGAGAGGAGTCTGTACCACATATTGAAAGTAAACAATCATCCAGAGTAGATCCTCGGTATCAGTTCATCGAAGAATCCCTAATTACGTAATGCATATCGCGGTAGAACATATGTGTATATGCAGAGACCCCGTTGACAGAGACGGTCAGGTATATCGTCTTTCCGGCAGCTATATACGTGCCACTCTCTTTCAGGTTAGGACACGCATGCGTGGAAACCTCTTCCCCCTTCCTTACCCCGCTCGTGACGCGAGTGGAGCGAATTACCGGAACCGGCCGCGCGCGAACTGATTGAACTGGAGAAGTGAAGAGAGAGGACCTTTACGGGTGTGTGTGTGTGCAACGATGCCGCAGGCACGCTGGTGGAACGCTGTTATCGCGAGCGGCCGGACTAGGACGTGGGAACAATTGCCTGTCACCGCTGTCGGGTGGTCAGGGACGCCAGGAGGCAGAGGATCCGTCGTAGCTGCTGCAACACGACTGACGTCCACCGCCGCCGCGACGGGGACGGTAGTCCAGCGGCCGGCCGCCGTCAGAACAACATTACGTCGCGGTATGGCGAGCGTCACGTCCGGCGGCAAGGTCCTCACCGAGGACAATGTGTTCACGAACCTCCGGAAAATGGAGTACGCGGTACGGGGGCCGCTTCTCATACGCGCCCTCGAGATCGAGAAGGAGCTCCAGAAGGTAAGAGCCTCGTTGGTTGTGCGGTTTTTTGTGCGGGTACGAACAGTATCACAAATGTCAGTGCACTCCTTTAGAGACAGATATACACTGACGTGCAAACTCGGCTTTCGCTAGGGGAAAAAGTGGAAGGGCCTCCCACCAATTGATAAATTTATTTCAACTAGTGATATAAATGTTAAATCGAATGTTAGTTTGGCATGAATTTCAATAATTCCCAACACCAAGTAGTAGGAGGCTCTTTAGGAAGCCGAGTTTGCTCGTCGGTGTATGGATACTTATGGGCTTGCGTGTGCGAGCAGTGATGTGGAACGATTCTGGTCGAGGTTGGTGTATTATATGGGACGTGCACTGGTGGAATTGGAGATCGATGGTGAACGTATTTAGAGAGTTCGCTGACTTCTGTGGTGAATAGAATGTGAATGGTTGTGATTATATTGTTGTCGGGAGTAATGATGGTGCGAGGAGCCGTAACGTCAGTTTTAAAATTAGGTGCACAGCGTGTGCAGTGTAGTAACCCTCGAACTGCCAGGTCGATTTACGCATATTGAAGTTGTTGATATTAACCCCTTGCCTTGGTAAACAATTATTTAATCTCATTAACTGTTTAAAAGTCAGAATGACGATCTTAGCATTATTAGAAATAAACTTATGCCCAATTCCGCTAGTATTGGCAATCATATTTTACTTTAGGTAATTGTTATAAATTGTGTTTCATTATAATCCACATTGGAGAAGGACTAAATTATCACTATTATACATTTTGTTCACTTTGAATCAGTCTGTATTGTAATCTTAATGCGATCATTAATCTTAGTGACACTAAAGGATTCGTTAAGGGGCTTTGTGCTCATTAAATAGGTAGAGGGCTTAAAGTTTAATCTACACTGTGTAAAGTAATATGGAACATCTTTGGTGAGCGTGATGTTAAGAAATTTGAATGGACATGCAAGGCGGAACTGATGATTGATGTTGGTGAAAGGATTTGCGAATTGTTGAAACATGAATTATTACATTACAACATCAGGATGAATATAAGAGTAGGGAAGTTCTATTTAGTGAAAAGAGGTTATGTCTCGTTGGATATCTATGTCGCGAAATAGTCTATTTAGACAAACATTAGGAATTCTATAATTGCCAAAGTTAGATATACCTTGCGTCATATCGTGACATTTGGAACATATTTCAAAAATCGATTATGTACGTTTATATTTTATTACCTTGGGTCGAGTCCGTGACCGATAAGTAGAGATAAGAACATTTCACGTGATAACTGCAAACGATACATACACGTAATATTTTTTATTTTATCGACCCACTAGTAAAATAATTTAAATTGAATTTTTTTATCTCCAATCACTGAAATCGATCGTCTGCAACTCGTTATTCGCCGAGCACTTAAAACAGGCATATTCAAAAGCACGTTCAATCATTCTTAGTATTATTACACTACGGATATTTATGCAAATTTATATTTTTTATTACAAATTTTATATATCCACTTAAAAGTACGATAAACATTTAACCTTCATTAACAATTAAAATTTGTAAAATTACTGCTAAAAATATTAATTTTATACCATACGGCAACATTTATTATCGAGTCATAAATTTTCGTCCTTGAAGTAATTTGTACAAGTATTGCAATTGTGCGTTTCTATTTCAACAGAATTGACATTTCCGTTATCATTTAAATTGTTTCAAGTATTGTTAGAAAACAGCTGTTTGTTTCTCCGCTACGAAATGCGATAATCAAAACTTAAAATCTCTTTTTGCAAAACATATGCATTTCTTACGTTTTAAATTTTGTTCTGTTGAGTTTTGATTGATTTTAATCGATCATCGAAACCACCTGTCGCGGAGGCGAGCGCCAAGGTGACTAAAAATAGGGTGGGTTTACATTGACGTGTAATATCAGGTGCACCTGAAAGTTATCTACAAATTCTTTTGACGACTTGCCTTGTGATGATGAGTCACATACAATGGCAGAAAATAGTATTCATACTTTCCCTGGTTACTGCAAACCAGTATATGCATTATCTCTACTCATTTATATAAAAATTACGTGTAACAGGCTACAGCAGGAAACGAAATTCTCACAGAAAAGTATTGCCCCTCAAGCAAGTAAAAAATGAACGAACGATGTTTCTTCATTTAACCCTTTTTCGCGTCTGTAATGGATGTTAAATTGAGATAAATTTTTACTCGAGTACTCAAGTGGCACATATACATTCCACTGATCGCGAAAGGGTTAAATGAAGCGAACAGAAAGTATGGAAAACAACATGACAAAGAAGGCAAATGTTTTCAAGGTCGCCCTTGTAAATATTCTTGTAAAATAACTTCATAGAAACAAGTGTTAAGTTTTATTTTTGTATAGACTTATTAATGAATGGAAGAAGTAAATATTTTGTTCTGTTACTTACTACATTCGCAATTTGTACGGATCATCGCGGCTTGGTAACAAGAGTCGTTCGAGCGGCTCGTTGTTTGCGCGCGTAATTTGAAACCACGAGGCGGCGTTAAAACGGATAAATATTTCGCAAACTTGCGGACAACCTTCGGTGCAGCGAACGACGGTCATATAACGCACAAATTATGATGCTTATTCGCGGTAGTTCTTGCGGAGGACTCGAAAAGAGTCAAGGCCCCTGCCACAAAGAAACTTCATTCATATTGCTGGTCTATTATTAAGGTACTGTTTTCATTGAACTTTGTGGTTGCGAAAAGTCTTGTTAGGGAATAATTTTCTTGAGAATGTAGCTTAAAAAAAAGTATATTTGCATAAAAAAAACCCGTGCAATATTCAATGTAGATAAATACTAACCTGACATCACCTTGTAATATTCTTTGGTGAAGTACTGTTTTTGTACGTGTCCATAATTAAAGATCTTGAATGATTGCCTGATAAAAATTGATAACGCACTGTAACGTATAGTAACTTGGTAATGCTTCAATATTTGCTTGAGTTCGGCGGCGATTTCAAGGTTGCGGATTCGGTTTGTTGGATTAGTATGGAATGAATCTGAGTCACGAGAAGTGCACAGTGCCAACAGCGGTTGTTAATGTGCTAGCTGCACTTAAACAGCAATCGTAAATTAAACATATGGCCGCAGCACACATTCCAGACTGAGATCTCTCTGGAATAATAATAAAGCAGTATAATTTCGCTTGAAAAACAAATTACTATATCTGAATGCAATTAGAAACGGGATTTAATGGAAATAGTCTGTAAAAGGCGATTTACAATTGGGCAGTTGAGATCTAATTTCTGAATTTCTTGATCAGTCATATACTAGTTCAATTACTGATTAAGTGTAAAAAGCTATTCAATTTTATCAGGCCTTGTTTTATCTAGTCAGTTCTGGAGAAACTAATTGTGCGATGTATGGGAGATTATGACGTGAATCACGATTGTTACGTAATTGTTTGCTCATTGTTTCGACGTGAATTGAATAAAAAAAAACTGGAAGATACAGAGTGAATGAATCAGTGCATTCATAGAATTAAAAAATTAAGGAAATTCTTGCATACATCAACATTCGAAATTGTTATCAAACAGTAAGCTATGTTGACTTATGCTGTCAGCACTCTAGGCTGTTATCAGTGTTAGCACTATCAGTAAATCAACTTAAGATAGCGTAATATGACCTGTAAAGATTATAATTAATTTCTACACAACAGTGATAACTATTTCAAGTAGTATGTTAACGATGTTTTCAGGTTCAAACAAAATTGTTGTATATTTAAGTAATAGTTCAAACGTTATTCAGCTACTAAGTCGATTTAATTTGCTATGGGCAGTTGTATGCTGCAGATATTTTAATTTTTCAATTAGAATAATTGCAACCAGTCTTCTTGGTATCAGCGGCATTGCATATATTACCGTCACTACGTATTACTTATAGATATGCAAGGTGGGGCACATAAAAACGGCCCCAAAAGCAAACCATAATTTTACAGCATTATTTTGTAACAATATACTGTACATTTGGTATGGTAAACAAAGGGTATTTTTAACGTAAAAAGGCTTTAATTCTAACAATGTACACGGTTACTTCACTGAACTGATATGCATTACTTTAAAAATTTATTTTGTGTTTAGGGCTAGCTTTATGGGCGCCACACCGTATGAATACATTTATAAAATCGATATTTAGTCATTTTCGTTAAAAGCGTATCAGTTAAATCGAAAAATTATTCAAATCACTTTCAATTAATTTTCTATTTAATTATCGTTTTTTGTAGGGGGCCAAGAAGCCATTCAAGGAGGTGATAAAAGCCAATGTGGGAGATGCACATGCTATGGGTCAGCAGCCAATCACCTTCCTGAGGCAAGTGCTGACCCTGACAGTGTCGCCGAATCTCCTCGATGATCCCAGTTACCCTGAGGACGCGAAGGAACGAGCTAGGAGGATCCTGTGTGGCTGCAAAGGAGGCAGTGTTGGCTCGTATTCGGAATCAGCAGGGATCGAGGTCATCCGCAAGCATGTAGCCCAGTACATAGAGGATCGTGATGGGATTCCTTCTGACTATCGCAACATCATCCTCTCAAATGGCGCTTCCGATGGAATCAAAGTGTGCAGATTATTTCTTTTATATTATTTCCTTGATAGATAATTACGTTAGCTTCCTAAAGATCACACAAGCAGCATTCTTTTGAGAAAAATTTCGCAGGACTCCTCCAGTGTGGGGGTCCCCAAACGTTTTGAGAAGAAGATTATGTAAATAATTGTTTTCAAAGGTATGCAATATATTTGCAAGTATTTATTCAGCACCTAAGTAAAACTTTCTTATGTACCATAGTTTGGGAACCCCCTGCTCTAATACAATCTATACATTGCTGGAGTCACAAATGTGTTATTTAAGAATTGTAAAAAGTTACGCTGTATGTAGTCACACCTGTATTGTATGTTGTTACAGTCGTTCCTGAAGCTGTTCAATGAAAGATTAGATGGAAAACCATCCGGCGTGATGATCCCTATACCTCAGTATCCTCTCTACTCTGCTACATTAGCAGAATTTGGCCTCGCTCAGATTGGCTACTATCTAAACGAGGAGAACAAGTGGGCGCTGGATATCTCTGAATTAGAAAGATCTTTAAATGCGTCGCACAGAGCCTGCAATCCACGGGTATTAGTGGTAATTAATCCTGGTAACCCAACCGGCCAAGTTCTGACGCGCAGCAATATCGAGGATATCATTCGATTCGCGCACAAGAACCGGCTGTTCCTATTGGCCGACGAGGTTTACCAGGACAATGTCTACGACAAGGACAGTGCATTCCACTCGTTCAAGAAAGTCATGACGGAGATGGGAGAGCCATACTCTAAAATGGAACTAGCATCGTTTATGTCTGTGTCTAAAGGTGTGTGTGTGTGTGTCTCAATGTAAAGCTTGTCTAATCGTTTACTGTCACTTTTTTTATGGAGATACATGTTGTCTTCTTGATTTTAGGTTATATGGGCGAATGTGGAATCCGCGGTGGATACGGGGAAATCATTAACATGGATCCCAAAGTGATGGCGATTCTGTTGAAATCTATCTCAGCTATGCTGTGCCCCACTGTCCTTGGTCAGGTCGTAATGGATGTCGTGGTAAATCCACCGAAACCGAACGAACTATCTTATAAATTATTTGTGAAGGAGAAAGAAGATACTCTTCGATCACTGGCAGAAAGGTCGCAACTGGTGGTTGATACGTTGAACAGCATTCCAGGCTTCAAGGTACTGCGAAACTACTCTATGAACCTGAACTGTTTCTTATTTTAACAGTTCAGTGTTTCGAATTAATAGTTTCTGTTGAATTACAGGTGAACCCAGCCATGGGTGCTATGTATGTGTTCCCACGAATCGACTTGCCAAAGAAAGCCATACAAGCAGCTGAGGCGGATGGTCAACATCCTGACGTGTTCTATGCCTTCAAACTGTTAGAAACGACCGGCATATGCGTGATACCTGGCTCTGGTTTTGGGCAACGACCCGGAACGTATCACTTTAGGACCACAATTTTACCGCAAAAGGAGAAAATCAAAACGATGCTCGAGAGCTTGAAACAGTTCCATCTGAAGTTCCTGGAAGAGTACAAATAATCGTAAAATTGTAACACCGTTGCATTTGAATTAGTACTTGAAATGCCAGGATAACGATAATGCAGATTCTCGAAATTTATACACACGAGGAGAAGCGGTGTACCTAGTACGCTCGTGCAAACTTAAAAAGAATTTCTTTATACTTATGGAACTTTTTTCGAAAAAGTATTTACTGCATTTTGTAACAAAGAATCACAGAAAAGATTTACGGGATTGTTGAAGAATTTATTGGCACAAGTTTCTGGCATGGATAGATGAATAGATTATTGTCTACACGAATGACATTCACGATTCGACGAACACACTGTATATAGTATGAATTTGTAATTGTGTTGAGAAGCTGATGAACTTATTTTTGTTTTTCAGGATCGTGGAGTGCGTGGTGGGGTGTCTGAGAGTATGCGTGTAGTAATTCGTGGATGATGTCGCGCGATTATACGATATGTTTTTATAATACTCACAACGATTTTATCAAATCAAGTACATTCAGTCAGCTTCTACCTGCTATTAGAAATCCACGTACTGTTTATGTTGCTAAAAGTACTCTGTTCGCGAGAAGTAATAAACCTGTTCACCGTTACCGATCTAAGTGGAACAAGTATGTGAACATAAAGGTTTTCACAGTGATCAGGATAATCACAGTTCATTATAGATGCAAGAAAATTGACCGACTCCAAGGTATGCGTGTCCACAGTTGTTCAAGATCCTCGATGTTTTGTAATGAATTCCACCCACTCATTGTTTGTTCATGAAACAATTTATCAATTACAATTTTTAATAATACTTGCCAATCAAGCTTTCTCCAATTTGTGCAATATACCTTGAAATTTCGTTTAATCTTTTTTGCTAGTAAATTTAGTGCAATTATATAGTAATATATATATTTTTAATGTTTTGTTTATGGTACTTTATAATCATGTAGAGATCACGTTGATGTTCTTGATTAAATGTGGACCTGTTGATGTTTAAACGGTTCGCGCAGTCACATGAGCTTTAAGTGTTCATTCGAACACGATCCTATATGGCAAGACAATATTGCAATTCGACTGTCTTTTTTTTTGAACATGCATACTGCTTGTATGCTTCTTTTAAATGTCTAACTTACACCTCGATGTAAAAATCTGTTAACACGTTGGGGAACAAGAACACGCTCATTGTAAGAGACCAACGAATAAACAATATAAAACAATTTACCGAAAAGAAACTAACGGAAGAATAAAGGAATTACTGTGCTCTGGACATTAATCTGTACGTGTTTTATGAAAAACTTTTTTATTCTTAGCTTCCATTATTTTTACAGTATTTAAACGTTTTCTACATCCTAACCTAACTTGAACATTGTTTTCTATCTGGTGTACGATAATTAATTCGGTGATCTTACATATCTCCGATTTGAATTTAAACATTTTTCTGCTCATTTGTGATTTTAAAGTGTCGACCTTAACTGTTTCGAAACGCAATCTACCTTGGTGAAACAAACGATATAAGATACAAGTATAAAACTTGTAAATGGTATCACAGGTTTCAGAGTGAATCTGTTCTGAGAGAACATTCGTTAGTTGCCCATTAAATGGTGCGATTATTTTGTGAAAATGCACTGAATTAGTCTGTACACCTGATAAATAGCCAAGATGCACATCATCACACAATTCTCATCTACAAATCACTGCCAAGCCTCTCGATCTCCTCTACAAAGAATCTCATATCACCCTCCGTCAGTCCAGAATTCTGCAGAACAAGCCTGAAGAAGTTCGGTAGCTCCCTCAGCGGTTGATAAGTGATCAGCATCGATCCCTTCTTCACCATTCGTTCCTTCACCGTCGGCCCAATTTTCTGAAGCGCCTTCGACAGCTCTTCGCCGTTCAAGTGGCGTTTCGAAGGTGGCACATACCAGAAGCAGACATTGGTGCACTCCGGTTCAAGAAGAAGCTCGAAACCGTCCCTGTGTTTCATGTGATCAGTGAAATACCTGGCCAACTGGAACACGCGATCCACGTGGCTCTCAAGACCCTGAGTGCCCTTCGCTTTCCACATGAACCAAAATTTCAGCACGTCCGCCCTTCGACCGCACTGCACGTGTTTATCCCCACTGTCGTACGAGGTGTCATAAAATTTGTCCGGCTGGAACAGGTAGCTGGCATTGGAGCCATGCGCAGCCTGCAGAAGACCCTCATGGCGTACCAGTAAGGTTGAGCACTGTTGTGGCGCAGCTAGTAGCTTGTGAGGATTCCACGTGACAGAGTCTGCCAGTTCGACACCATCCAACAGGTATCTGTGTCTTCTAGACACTAGTGCTCCACCACCCCAAGCTGCATCAACATGGAACCACAGGTTATACTTCCCACAGATGGCTGCAATGTCTGTCAGTGGATCGTAAGCACCCAGAACAGTTGTTCCAGCTGTGGCGGAGACCATCAATGGTGTAGCACCTTCGCTGACAGCTCTTTGGATCTGAGCCTCCAAGTCTGCAACGGACATCTTCCCCTTGGCATCTGTCTTCACCTCATAGACATTGCTGTTCCCGATTCCTAAGAACGCACTGAGTTTCTTCACAGAATAATGGGAATCCTGAGACGTGAAGACTATCAGCCTGCCAGCGTTGGACAGACCTGACTCCTTTAACTGAGGAAACCTATGGATAATGATCATTTCAACTATGGATAAGGATCAACTCCAATGGGATAGGATAGATTAACATCATTTCTTGGAGCAGACCTGTAGTGACGAGCAAGATTGATGGCGTAACCATTTGCGATGGAACCACCTGGACAGAATATGCCATCACCTCTGCCGTCCTTCCAACCGACCAACTTTCTCATCTCCCTAAGCAGCTCTTCCTCCATCAAAGAGAACACCGGGGAGACCTCATATGTGTACACAGAAGGATTCAGAGAGTCTGTCAGCCATTGTCCCAGGAGACCGTACGGGTCCACGCTGGAATAAAGCTGGTTGACGAATCGTGGATGACCCGTTTTAACGCTGTACTTGATCACGTTGCTGGCCAACGTGAAGAGTTTCTCGTGAGAGCATCCTTGATCGGTGAGCGTCAGGTCGATGGCTGAATGGAGGGAGGCTGGGTCCATCCACTCCACCACTCGATTCTCTCTAGAGGTACCCTGAGGAATTACAAGAACAGTAGTAGGTTTACCAATAAATTGTGTCACAATTTATTGGACGATAAGATCCATCCACAATTAATTGGAAATTCTTTGCCCAAAAAGTTATACGCTCTTCAATGCTTTCTGGAATTTTTTTAAAACAATGAAAGGATTCAAAATTCTTCTGTTTAATGTTAGAGAATCCCACATCTTCCCCAAGAATGAAAAAAGGAATATTATCGAAGGACGGTTTCAAAGTAATTCAGCGAATGAAATATAATTGGAGCACTTCACGGAAGAAAAGGAATCAAGGCTCTGTTCTGCTTCGTTGACGTCACTTCCGTTCTGTTCTTCCGGGTAGTTCTTTTACTCTGTCCTCCATCAAATAATCGCGGCAAGGCAATGATCATTGAATCTAATTGCCTGAAATAGAATTTCATACGGTTTAACTGATTTTTTTGTAGAAATGAGGAAAAACGTCACCGGGAAAACTTTTCCAATTTCTCAATCGCCTGGCACACACTTTCCTGTTGCCGAAGCTTCTGGGATTTACTGTTACTGAGATTTCTAGAGAATTGACGCATGCAAATCCCCGATTCTCTGGCTCCGTGACGTAGGTTCTTTAACGGAGCTGCGCCCTAGGCGATTCGTAACACCTAACTTGCGTTCGAACGCGGCGTAATTCCCCTGACCGTGAATCGACGAAGTTTCATTAACGCAAAAAAAAAAAGCGCATAACGAACGTTTGAGTCATATCCAGAAGGTGAACCGAATAGAAATCGAACTTTCGAAGTCTTGACCGTCAATGAAATTTGTTTTATATTGATAAAAAATCAGTGTTTAACCGAATGTTCTATTGGGTTGAGTCATAATCTACAGTAGAGAGTGAAATTTTATTAAATAATATTGTCAATAATTCGACTGTAGATATTTAGGAAAATGTCCTTCCTCAGCCAAAATCTGCAGCCTGGACGAATACTAACAATTATTAAATTTAGCAATAGTGGAGAATATATAATAGTTAAATTCTAATTTTATAATGATCTGGTGAAAACATGTAAGTTATGAAAAGAAACTTTAATTAAGAGCCTAGAGAAGTGATTTATATTTCCTTCTTTCAATTCAATCTAGGATGCTCGGTTTAAGGAAATTATATGTTTATTCTTAGAATTGTTTGTGCTCAGTTAGTGAAAAAATGCTACGTTTCAAGACTATTCACCTTGATACAAAATGGTAATTACTGGTATCAGTGTGAAACCTGTCAGAGTTAATCTTTTGTCATTCAGTTACAGAGTACATGTTGCTCCATGATCTAATATAAAGTTATTGTATTTCAAAAATGAAACATGTGTACTAATTAATTTACCACCACGAATAAAAAGATAATAGGATTTTTTTTAAAGTGGAACTACCATTGTTTCCCTTATAATGCCATTGCCATTATTATTAGAGCATATCACCTTAATTTTCTCAATTTAAGCAATTGTGTAAAACAGTTGCAATCTGTTAATAGAAACACAAAATATTTTCTCTCAAAAATTAGGAAGTTGTTTGTATAATAGAAGTGCAAATAATATTTTCCTGATTCGTTGAACATAGACAGAAAATATTTAAAATACTCAGAGTATATTAGTGATTAAAAAGGAGCCCGAATTTACTTTTTCTTTTCAGTTCTCCACCGGAATTCAACCACCCAACTGTAAACCCCCTTCAACTGCAGATGCTATCCAACCCCAGAGGAACTTAAACAAGGCGAACAAATTTCCATTTGACTCGAATCTTCACAGATTGCCAATTCTCCCACAAAAATCTGTATCAGCGTGAACTACCACAGTTCAACGATCACCCATTTCTCCGGATAACTGTCTCACCTTGAAAATCGCTTCTTCCAGGAGCAGATCAACGAAACTCCTCATGAACTTCTCGTGCAGCTGACGTACAGGTAGGCTCTTGTAGCAGCAATCCTCGGTGTCAATGAACCCTGGACCATCCTTTCGAGTGTCATCCAAAGACGTACCAGCAAGATTGTTCTGGAGGATGGTCACCGAATTCCCAGAGACTTTTTCCAGTAAGTTGTCACCCATTTGTCCCATCGTGGTCCCAGCATCCTGTCCAAGGAAGTTCTCCACTGTTTGAGGCACCGACTCGCCAATGGTTTCCTCGTTCGCGGGCATGATTAATGCATCGAGGCTTTCTTCGATCTGATCCCGATCTGCTCGAACAGTTTCTTTTATACGTGTTAATGCTCGGGGAGATCCAAGGACGGGATAATGTGCGACTGCTACGTCTTTCATGCCTCTTTTTCTGACTCTCGGTACAACGTAGGAAAACCTTGATGAATTGGGAGCTTTCTGCGGTGATGTCGACTAACAGGAAACCCGACGTCTCAGTTTGCTCTGTCTTTCCAAGATGCACCTCTGTGCATATCCTGGTCATTATCTAGCTGATGCAACTGACCAATTCGGTGATCCAAAAATGACTTTTTTTTTTAGAACTTTGTAAAGGATCTCTATAGAAGCATCGGGCAATATTTTTATATTCCTTCTTTTTGGTTTTTCGGAGTGAAAACACCCCGTAAGTGTTAATGCGTGTTTTTTGGTATATCTTGAAAATTATAGGTAGATATTTAAAAACTTGCTAGGATAAAAATTTAGTAGCTTTTTGGGCTCTGTAAAACTGATGAAGTTGTTTAAATAAATAAGCAAACCTTTGACTATTTCATCGCATAGTTTTCTAGGGCTTAAAAAGCTGTCAAATTTTCATCGTAACAATTTTTTTATATCTATTATAGTTTCAAAGATATACAGAAAAATAGGAGAACTAACTTATAGTCTTCCAATCATTGACCTATCCTTCGTGTGCACAGCATCATTGTAGAACTATGTGCAGATTTCAAAATAAAAAAAGATTCGTGCTTACGTGACACAGAAAAAAACTGTCTCGTTAAGGACATATGAATGATCGTACATTATAATGAAGCCAGTTATATACTTTTCAAGTTACAAAGTATTCGTTATCATTACCGTAACTGATTTGCAGTTCTAATAGAAGTGTGTACTACTTAAATACATTTCATTATATAATTTTATCACGCTGACAAGTTGTAGGAATGTAATTATAATTGTCGATGGATTGCAAACAGTTAATTTCGCTGAATGTATACAATTGATCGATAAACATTCTTCTAAGAGATTCCAAGTGGAGATTCCTTAGAAAAGGATACAACAAAAATGTAAAAAATTACAGAGTCACCTGTAAACATATTAACTGTACATTACTGAACGAATTATTGAAGGAGTTTTAGAATCTCATATTTAAACAACTTAAAATTAATTATAATTACAGTGCAAGATTAGTAATTTACTGAATTACACATAATTGGCGATAGAGTTCGTCAGAAATTGTTGGGTTGAAAATTATAATTATATTGTTTTGCATTTAAGATCGTATAATTTCATTTCATCGGTTGCAAGCTTTAGATATGCAGATAGTACGGTGTCCAACAATGATTCTGCAAGATTACGCAGATTTTATTAACACAAAAAAAAAGTAATACAATGCATATATGCATGAGTATGCGTGCACAAGATTGCAAAAATGGTAATTTGCCATTCACGTATCGCGTGTACAGTGTCAGAAACTATTAAGCTGAAACATGCATCAATTACAGATGAATTATTTATCAACATCAATTATGAACAGAAATTAGAACTTACAGTCATTTCATTCGATTGTTTCTGAGAAAACAATTAAAAGAAATCATGTTTTGCTTTCAATGGTAATATAACCTGGTATGAGTGTTTGGTATTGTTCATGTTAAAGGTTCCAAAAATTAATGAGAATCGCTAACAATGACAATTTAACAAATTTTAATATCAAATACCATTCCTTACAGAAATATGCTTCTAGATATTATACCTCTACGGACAAATCGTTAACATATTCAGTTAAAAAAATATGTTACTTTATCAGGTACTTAGTATTTTACAATTCTCGAATTCGCCCTGCGTATTAAAATATGCTTTAAAATATTTCTCAATACTTTTATTGCTCTCGTTTGAATCTGGGTAGCGGTAAAAGAAACTAGTTTTCAGAGGTTTTACTGTTAAAAGCTTAAACAGCATAGAACTATTTTCACCGGACGAAATTATTTCGAAGTTCACCGTATAGTTCACACATTTGATTAAATGTTAGCGAATGTTTTGTATACATAATCTAATAAGTTTTACAAATATAACAGCGGTAAAGTGATCTCCTCGTCTTTAAATACTGTATCATCTATTATAATATACATTACGATACGAGCATTCAACAAATTCTAGTTGCTAACATTTACATTCGCACTGTGACGTAATCACAAAAATATCAGGCCTTCCGCTTATTAGATTTTGGCACAAGGAAAACGACAGGTGAACGCTTCCCTTGAGATTCAAACGTTTCGAACAAACTTCAAAATGTTAAACAATCAGTTACACGACAGAAAGTATTGTTACCGAGAAGACCAGTAATGATATCAGTCGCAAACTTCATTGAATCACTTCAATAGATTTTTAATGCTTTAATAAGAGAGTTCTTCCTAAAGTTTCAGTGAACTTTGTTCCAGCGATCTCTGTATCCTTTTTTTTTGCATTTTCTGTGCATTGAATAAGTGCATTACTCGAAAGAATTTTATAGCTTCAAATCCTTAAGAAATGCACTAAAACAGAACACTAAATCTATCAGAATATTAATACAATATATTTATTATTAATAAAATATTCGTTGATAATGTGCAACAATGTTAATCAAAACTTCTCGTAGAAGGCTTAGAAAAAATAGTTGAAAAAAACGTTTCTGAGACTATATCTTGGATTATCATGGTTGCACGTTAGAAGTTCCTTTAACATATCTGTTCTTATATTTCACTATCTGTGTGGATATCAGCTTAATAATGTATTTATTCTCAGCTTTATAACTATTATATTACTCTAATCACATTGTATCAACCGAAGTAGGCACCGCAGTTCGAGCAACGTCGTGATTTTAACATCATGCAGCAAATTAGCCCGAGTGGAAAGAACAAAATCGCACATAGTAGTCCAAGGCACGTATAATCGTCTTCCAATATGCCCACCTATATTTTAAAATGTAATTTTAAATATTCTAGCTTAATTCGTAATTACTTACTGGACTGTGAAAACTTAAGCAAATTCGTATCTATATTATATTTCGAAAAACAAGAATGACACAGAATTAGTTTTCTGCTGTTTTAGTTCTATCAGCTTTATTGGAAAATAGTATTGCTACTGAATATTGCATTAAGATCTTCCCACAGTTTAGTAAGTAATTTATACAGAGCATTCCAAACATTTGTACGCTTAAACAAACTGAATTGCAAATAAATTTATCTTCGATTCCAATTTCTGTGAATTTGTCTAATCATAATACAGCCATTCAATAAAATACCATTAACCCTTTGCACTCGACTGTCGCCTCTGAAGCAACAAAATGTATGGAAAATTAGAAATTCTGAGTGCAAAGGGTTAATAGCATAATATAAACATAAAAGGCATAAATGAAAATTCATATTTTAATGAATTATTAATTGTACTCACTCTACAAGCTGGACAAGTGCCAACTAAAATGATATCAGGTACAAGTATTGTAGTCGACTGTGTAGAACCATAAGATGGTATGTTGTTGCAACTATTACTTGCACCTGTATTTGGATAGTACCCTGGAGGTGGAGGCCATGAAGCGGATGATCCACACTGTGTGGAATTGTACCCAGGAGGTGGTTGCCACGAAGGGTTTACTAATAAAATATAATTCTTATTAACTGTTTGCTTTATGATATTTGAAATACAAAGCAGACGTTAGAAGAAAATAAACATCGCAGAAGAACTCTGTATATTCAAACTTGTCAGAGATGGCCATTGACCTTTAATAAAGTATATAAACAATGGTTTAGCAAATAGTCGTCACTGCGAACAAAGTAAACAGTTACACATATAGAAATTAGTACAAAACACGCTAGTAAAATTTTATAATTTTTAAAACTGTTAAGAATATCTTCAAGAAAATAAAACGTACTGTTTGTTTGGACAATGTTTATAAGACAGTAGTTCTCAAAGGAAAAGTGTTTTCCTAAACGATCGGACAAAATAATGTTACCAAAAACAAATGAGAAACGCAACAAAGACTGTCATATTGTTAAATCATTGTTTTAATTTATTTTCAAGTGACAGGTGCTTGAAGTACAGACTTTGAACTTTTCTACTTACTTGTGGGAGCAGTGGCAGCGGTGTAAGACGGTGGTTTGTCACCTGCAGGCGTTAGTGTCTGCTTTTCCATCCTTTACCGACAGAATTATTAATTTTAATTTTGTTAGACGGTACGGCGAATCGATCGGCCAATTAGATAATTAGCATTCGTAGCTTGACAAGATTTTGTTTGACAGCTAACAACCAGAATGATCTCTCGATCTCGTGACGCACTCCCAAAACAAATAATGCATCGCTATTTCCGCTCGGAAAGATTCACGGAACCTGCAAGATTAACAATTTCTTTTTCTCTCGCTGATTACACATTGGATCCGTATTGGTTACTTGATCGTGACGTCATGCATTATTCGTTTAACTCGATTGTACATTCGAACGGGATTCTCCATTTTATTTCTGTGATTCGTAGATGAAACACGCTTGCAGTTTGCTCAGAAAAATGATATAGGTGCTTTTAACTACGTGTGAATAAACGAACGATAGTATAAATTAAAGAGATCACGGATAATTTAGTATAAATATGCGTTAAATAAATGAAAAAAATTACTTTAAATGAACTCTATTTCATTATATAGTAACTACAGTGTTTTCAGATAGCTTGTATAAAAACGCATACGAAATTCCAGATATTTATATATTTCTGCAAATCCATAATTTTATAGATTAATTTGCAAAAGTTAAAATTAAATAATTGTTTTGCTTACTGGGAATTTTGTTAGGTTAAGAGTAAAATACATAGTTATCGAAAAATGTGTTTTGTAACACACAACACATAAACATCATACACAGATAAAAAATACACTTTTATTTATCTATTGTCTCATGTTATGTGATTGTTCGTTAAAAACAATTTAATGGGAGGAGATGTGGGTTTCGCGCCAGAAAAACGACGATTTATAGAGTATAGTTGGCAGCCATGAGCGTAATGTCTATCGCTTTCTACCATCTACGACCATCGATCGTTCGTTTCGAAGTGGTTTCATCAGTTTTTTTCACCGATATCGGCTAAAATAAGTTTCGTGAAACTTGGAATTATCTCGCGATATTTACATGAAGCGTGTAATTGCCCTTCGTTCCACGATTAAGTGAAGGAAACCATGACGACGGCACTGTATCTGGAACACTACTTAGACAGTAAGTATACAAATTTTTTTTCCCCTCGAATACAACAGCATTTTTTATGTATCATGTCAAATATAAGACCAAACAAATATTTGCCGTCAATGCTATGTATTTCAGTTAATTTCATTCCATTAACAAGATCTGTTTAGAAATTTAGAGATGCTACATTAATCATAGAATTAAGAGAGAACATAGATTATAGTAAACAGTGACACTACCTCTTGTTTAACCAGGGGAATTTTGAAGATCCGAAAATTCCGATTTTGTTAAAACTTTGCAGGTTTGTACTGCATCTTTTTCTATGCTCTATAAAACCATTAAATATTCGTTGTAACTATTTCTTTTTATATTTACTATAGTTTTCAATACACAATGAAATAGGAAATCACACATTAACATTTAAGGGTGTTTTCACTCTAAAGAATAAAAAAATTGAGAGATACTTCTATTGAGGTCCCCTTGAAACTGCAAAGTTAAAGGAAAATGTTTATTTTTGGGTTACCAGAGTTCCTTTGTAAGTCTGTATTGAACAGGGTTTTGCATAAAATGGATCAGAAACTTAAGAACTAGATAATACTCACTAACACAAATTGAAACTCAGTCGGCTGTTTTCAATCTTAGTAATCAAGCGATCTTCCTGCTTTTAGACGAATTCTAGTACATTCTTCAATGCTTAATTTATAACATAGTTTCTGTAATGTTTCAGGTCTGGAACATTTACCCATCGAGTTACAAAGGAACTTCACGTTAATGCGAGATCTAGATGCCAGGGCACAAGGGTTAATGAAAGATATAGATAAACTGGCGGACGATTATTTAAAAAATCTAAAGAAGGAATCCCCGGAGAAAAGAAAGGAACAGTTGACCCACATACAAAATTTATTCAATAAGGCGAAAGAATATGGAGACGACAAAGTTCAGTTAGCAATACAAACATACGAATTAGTAGACAAGCATATTAGAAGGTTAGACTCGGACTTGGCAAGGTTCGAAGCTGAAATACAGGACAAGGCATTGATTAGTAGTAGAGCACAGGAGGAAAGCAATGCTAGTAAAAAGGGTAGGAAGAAGCTGAAGGAGAAGGAGAAACGAAAGAAGGGCGCTGCAGGTGCCAGTAGTGAAGATGAATCAAAGACAGCTAGAAAGAAGCAGAAGAAAGGTTTGCTTGATTGTCCTTTATATTGAAATTGGTTTATCGATAATATAGTTGTTAACGTTACTTTGGTTCTACGCTTATTCTAGGTGGATCAGTTGCCTCTGCATCATCTGCCGGTGCTGTGGGAAGTGGGGCACAAGTCGACTCCGGTGCACTGGGACATCCCGCAGATGTTTTAGACATGCCCGTGGATCCCAACGAACCGACGTATTGTTTGTGTCATCAGGTTTCTTATGGAGAAATGATTGGTTGTGATAATCCAGACGTAAGTGCCCATACTATGATATAATACTTCTCGATGATCTGTTTCTCATTTTTTTATATATACGTAATATTATTGTCGTTTTTTTTAATGCAGTGTCCCATAGAATGGTTCCATTTCGCTTGCGTCGGGTTGACCACGAAACCTAAAGGGAAATGGTATTGTCCTAAATGTACACAAGACAGAAAAAAGAAATAAGTTCCGAAGGAGTGCGCACGCACGCACTGGTTCTATCTTAAAGAAAAGACTCGTACATTATTTCTAAAATTAGTGTATACAAATATTTTTCATGGTTTCACATGAAATGAAAACACATTGTGTAAAAAGGTAGAAAATTTGTAAAAAAAAAAACAAACAAAATGGAGATAGGAAAAAAGTGCTGTTGGTGGAATATATATTGTATCCAACGTTGTCGCGAGGAATGTTCTCTCATAGGAATACATACAGACACTAAACGTGTTCTATCGTCAACACTGTGTGTTGAATAGTATTGCCACGTCATCGACAATGTTGGATATTAATGGAAGTACAGCGAAATATTAGGCTGATCACGGAAAAATGATTTGAGAATCGGCCATGATTATCGTCCTCTTTCTACGTTTCCATTTTTTAGATGTACAAAGTAGTAATTTATTATAAACAACGGAAATTCAAACGAGTGCTTTACATTTTTATATGATTTTTTTCCCTTGGCCGTTTTTCGAACATCTGTGATTCGCTTGTGAACGTTCTGTCATTAAATCTAAGTATTGACACGTAATTGTAGTATTGAAATTATTACTGTTTTTATATTTTATAAATGTAAATGACACTGTATAGAGAATAAGTTTTTTTGTTGAAATAAAACATACAATCTAAATGAATCTTCTATGTATAATTATGAAAAATATATTTGATTTACAGAAATGCAGGTATTTAATCGCCAGATTTATACAAATGTATATACAAACTATATTTACAAGCAGCATATAATATTATGGTAAGAAAGCACTAATAGGAAATGCAAATGTTTAATAAGGACGAATATTGTTCGAGTTAACAATATTTTCTTTCTAAAATATATAACTTAAAAAACCTAGTAAGCTCTATTTTTAGTGATAAATGTTTATCGCTTTTTTTTCATAGGAATACTTACCAAACGAAATGTTCCGATTATATATTGAATAAGTGCAATTGGATAAAAACAATGACTAGAATATTGACTGCACCAGAACGAATCATTTGTTCGTTATGGAATGCCAGACTGTACGTTGCAGCACTGACTAGGTGGAACAGTCCAATTGTAATGATAGCTCATTCGATTCCTTATTTCTTTCGCGCACAACGCTCCAGACGCCTGGTAATATTCATATATATTTTTCATGTTTGCTACTGTTTGTTTGTGTGTAACTATATACTGATTAGAACATCCACGTGACCTATACTCTGTATCAAAACGCACATCGTGCTTTCTTTCAATGTTCGCCAGAGGAGCTAGCCAGAGGCCAACAGATACATCCTCCGCTTTATGCAACCTGAATATTTACAAAATGGATAAATATACTTCAGCCTTAATTCGTAGAACATACAGAAAATACTTCGGTAATTCTAGACTGAAGCCTAGGTTTCGTTTTATTCATAAAATTGAAAAATAAAAATATCTTCAACTGACAAATACATCAAATGCTTGAAATAAATGTACAGAAGTTAATATATTCGACTTACTTGAGTATGTCCATGTTCAATGCAATAAACTTAACTAAATTATAAGACAGAACGTATCCACCTCCAAGTGCATAAGGAAGATAATAATCGCATAATATCCAGTCAGTCTCTTTCCAAGGTCCGCTTCTCTTAACTTGCGCCTTTCCATTGAAAAAGCCCCAATATAATTCCTTTCTTGTTCCCTTGCTCTCCCACTTCTCCAGTTCTTTCAGAATCTTGTGCACCAAGATAAACGTATCGTCGTCGGATTTCATCAAAAAATCAAAATCATAATATTCGTAGACTTCCTTCAGGGCATATAAAACTTTTTTTGTCAATGTTCCATACGAATCTGTCAATCTTGGTAGCAAAAGCAAGTCGTTAAATTTGTATTTCTCTGACTGCAGAGTTTCTCTTTGCTCTGGCAATATGTCTAATGTCCCTATTACAAACAGGTGTCTGACCGTGGCATATTTCTGTGCCAGCCACGTTTTCCTGATAGTTGCTCTCTGCTCCAAGTTATCAGGACTGGAGAGTACGAGTATCACAAGCCTGTACTTTGACTTTGTTTTCGTTTCCTGCTCATTGGGCGAACACTTTGTGGAAGGCAGAAAATGAATGCACAGGACGATAACAATCAATATTATTAACAATGTCGGAATGTTCGGTTTTAAGTACAACTTTTTCCTGATCATTGAACGAAAATTCTTCGATGATGATCTCAGTGGTAAAAGTGTCATAGAATCCATTTGAAGGATTTCTGACAATAAGTACGCATAACCCTGTTAATACTACCTTCGTGCATTCGCAAGTCGAAGCGTTGTCATCGTTTCAAAGGATTTCCTTTTGAATAGATTTAATTTGTTAATTTAACATTACTCCTTAAAAAACGTATTATCGTTTGTGTTATGGAATTCGAACCGTGAATGAGGATCAGCTGATCGAATTAAATACCATCTATAAATCATCCCCTCTACTAACTAAAGATAGCACACTGCTATCTTTCCTATCCCCACCCGAAAATTGAAATTCAATGTTTAAAATGGAATTTCGTTTAATTTTCTGTGAGATACTTAATACAGTTTCTTTCTAATAATTTAGTATTTTCGTTTTATTATTTCTTTAATGAATATCACGTTGCATTTTATTTTTACTAGACAGCATATGCATTTATGAATATTATTCGAATTTATTTATAAATATTATTAATGAATCAAGGGTGAATAACGAACAATGTGTATATTAAATAATAATCTTTTATTTTCTGCTTCTTTTCTTAGATTACTTTTAAATGGAAAACACTTGTATAAAAGAGACTGCTTTACTTTCTTACTGTACAGAATTTTTCTTAGTGTTTACATCGGTGTCATTGAGCTGCAATAACGTCTATTATTCAACTAAATATCCTGTTAATAAATAACCGCCTGTATCACTAGTCAAGACGTCAGGATGTGTTCTGTCTGGTAACACTTGGTAAGAGCGTAAAAAGTTTGAAAACAGTCTTAAATTAACAACGTTCTGTTGTTGTTTTAATGCCACGTATGTCTCTTGTAGCGGTTCCCGATAATTATGATAGATTACAAAAGGCCTGGATGCACCCAAAAACGGCAGGAGAGCGGTGACAATATTCAAAGGGTGTTCTTTGGCTACAATAGCCAGTCCTCGAGCTTTTGAGTTATTTACTAGATCCACAGCCTGTTGTGTTTTTAATAACCATCTTGGCTTTTTTGAAGGTACAGCCTCTGTAGATTCACATTCGTTAGATTCATCTAATTTTCGTTTGGTCCCTGTTGAACAGTTCTGCGCACTATGCTCTCTGGAAACTTTATGACTTTCAGTAATTTCATTCGTATGATTAATACATTCTGAATGTTTGTTATTAGTCTCTTCATTCTGAGGAATCTGATCATGTAACTCGACCTTTGGGGACACTTCATCATTTGTATGACTTCTCTCAGGGGTGGTTACTTTATTTTGTTCAATCTTACTGTTCAAATTATTCCTTGCTTTTTTTGATGCCAAAATATTAGTGAAAACAGCATCTTCACCCTGGTAATGTACCCTCAAAAAGCTGTAAATATTGACATTTATTAACCTGTTTAATTGTTCTTCGGGAAAATTCATGGCATGAACAAGCAAAATCTGAGGCACATTTCCCGGGTGCATGTTGATCAAATGTCCTTCTGTACTTGCACCGATCCTATTTAACAGGGCAGTTGCCGGCAAGCCTTGTGATCCACTGTCATATAACATAAACAATCCATCTGATTGAACATCGCTATACGACAGTAACTGTGCCAATGCATCCATTCGTAAGTTTCCAATTTTGCCATGATCTAACTTAAAGTACACGTCATGCAAGGAACTTATATTTGGCTTTAATATAGTTAAATACCGAAGATACTTTCGTTCTTTCTTCTTCAGATATTTTTCCTGCGAATACTCTGTTCTATCTAAAAAGGATTTATTGTTCTCAATCAAACTACCCACTATCTCCTTGCCACTTTTACCAGCTTCCTGAAGTTGAAGGATTTCTTCTTTGGATAGTTTTTGTGAACTCCCGTCATCAACAATGGAACGATTATCGTTACCACTGGGTAGAGTACTTAACAAATCATTCCAAGATTCAGTTTCTGGTGCTTCTTTTAGAGAGAAGGACCTTTTCCCACTTTTCGAGGGTATCATTTCGAAAGTGGTCCAGAATCGTTTCCCAATAATTTCACCCATATTCACAAGGTCTTTTCCTAACATTAACTGACCATTGCCAGTTACCTTATAAATCTTCTTAAAATTTAATTTCTTTACTATAACATATTTCCCTATCGTAATTATATCATCTTCGGATTCGCACATGTTTGTTAATTTCATCGGTTTCTTCGTACACGTTTTTCTATTTTAGGTTACGGTATCATTTTTAGGTTACGGTACTTGACACACAACCGTACATACTTAACATCAACTTGTGATCCTTTGACGTAAATTGATTTCAAATTAGTATACCAATCCTTATATTATTTCATAGGTATGTGATCAACTGTACAATCTTTAGAAATATGTACGTGCGATCGAGAATTTATTTAGTTTACAATCTGGTATAACCTAACTATGTGATATACATAACCTTAAATTCAGATATACAAAATCAACACATCTGTCAGAAACAGTGTCGTAGGATTGTTGATACATGAATATTATTTAGTGTCAGAAATTATTTCATTTAAGCTACATCGGTAATACTTTCTTTATCTTTTATTGTTACATTTTTATTCATATTCTTGTAGGCACTAGGTATAAAATAGTGAATTGAGTATATAAATATCTAATGTCATTTTTTGGTTAAACCTCAAAAGACCATTGTAGTACTACAAAAAATGTGTATTTAATCCAAGACATAGTACTTTGCAGTACTTAGAAAAAACATTGTTTACGACAAAACTCAAAATAATGTAATCTTAGTACATGGAGTTTTATTCTTTTTAAAATTATCTCTTTGATATACGTAGAGGGATTTTAATTATAATTGTTTCTTGTCGCAGATAATTCAGACATGTTTCTCTACAAAGAATTCCAAGCAGTCGTTCTTGCTGGTGGAGTAGGATCTCGAATGACTGAACTTACTTATGGACAATATAAATGCTTATTGCCAATTGGAAATGTACCAATGCTTTGGTATCCTCTTCAGTTGTTGGAACGTGCTGGTTTTAAAGAAGCCATTGTTGTTGTATCAGAGAATATGGAAACCAATGTGTCATTAGCCTTGAACAAATTGAATCTTAAGATTAAGATAGACGTTGTCCCAGTTGAGGATGCGGAAGACCTTGGAACCGCAGACTCAATTAGACTTATTCACGAGAAGATTCACACTGATTTTCTAGTGATCTCCTGCGATTTGATAACGAACGTTGATATAGGCGAAATTTTAAATTTGTATAGGAAACACAACGCCAGCATCACTGCACTGATGCTGCCAGCGCCTAAGCTACCAGACGATTTTGTCACTCCAGGGCCGGAAAACAAGCAGAAACCTGAGACTGATTTAATTGGTATCGACAATGAAACGGGACGTTTAGTTTTCCTGGCTTCTGCCTCGGATTTCGAGGAAACTATTAACATTTCTCAAGCGCTCCTTCGAAAGCACACCAGTTTCACTATCCACTCAAAGTTATTGGACGCCCATTTATATGTTTTCAATAAGTGGGTCTTAGATTTCTTAGTGCACAATAAGTAAGTGATATCGAATTAAAAAACTTCAGACGTTCAATATATCACGTCGTGACAAATTATGTTCTCGTTTATAGGAATTTTAGTACACTGAAAGGTGAACTTCTTCCATATATTGTCAGTAAACAATTGGCTAAGCCTCCCAAGCAATGCGTGGATGATAAAAATACGTCGATAGTACGGGTGAATTTAAAGGAAGACATCTTCCGTTTTGCTGTTGAGAAACCACTAGACGAATTAATCAGGAAAATGTCGGCGTACAATGACCATAGCACTGATTTAGAGGACGCATATCATGGTGACATAGTGAAGTGTTACGCTCATATTGTTAATGATAAATTTGGACTCAGAGCTAACACTATACAAATGTACCATTTCGCTAATTCCAAGGTGAAAACAAAGACAGTCACATAAAATATGAATGTGAAAGCAAAACAAATACAAGACGTTTAATAACATGTAATACCTACTTAAGGAGTGGACAAAAGTTACGAAATTTGTTTTCTCATCCTCCATCTCCTATTGAAGGGGGTACCATGTGTTACGAAACACCCTGTATATTAATGCTAACTTTAATCAATAATGTTAGATTAACAGAATAAATGTTTTAGATATCAGAGTGGTGGAGTAATGACGATATAGAGCAATCTAATATCCCGAGCATTTCAGCCACAGCTACAATACGTAGTACACAAATGCAAGATTGTCGTGTAGATGATAATACTATCGTAGACGAAAAAACATCCCTTAAACAAAGTCATTTTGGACCAAATGCAGTTGTTGACTCAAAGACTAGAGTATCTCAGAGTGTTATAATGGACAATGTAACGATTAAGCAGAGGTACATTAAAGAATAATTAAGTAAATAATATAATTTAACATTTTATACGTGTACTTTGTTATTTACAGATGTGTGATACATAATTGTATATTGTGTAATGGCTGTGTCATCGAAGAGGGTACAGAATTGAAAGATTGCGTAGTTGGTCCTCAACATATTGTAACAAGTGGAAGTCAACATTCTCGTGAAGTTCTCACCGACGCTGACAAGCTCATAGAAATTGAATAATTGAACAAAACATATTATTTAGTTATTTAAACTTTAAACAATAAAGCGCCGTATTTAAAAATGATTGTTTTCTCTTTAAAATAATATAATTGCTTTATCTTAATTCAGTTTTTATAATGATAGGGTTATTAACCTTCCAAATTAGAGTATATACGATATCAAAAGTACAATGAAGATTAATAATTTTCTGTTTATAGATATTTAGAATTTATTAACGTAGATACAAAGTCGTACGATTAAAATTATATTGAACTGAGAACCACTGATATATATATGATTCGACCTTCTTCAGACTTCAGACTGAACGAAGGAACGAACGGTTTCGGAACGCAGTTCATCGTCTCTTTCGAAGTGTTCCTTCGTGCAAGATGGTGAGTGAAAATTTCAGCAATTAATATCTGTTTATTACACAGTGATCTTAGAACTTTATCGCGTGAAAAGTACGAGAAACGTTACGATAACTTTTACAAAAACAATATATGGCAATAGTTCTGGTGGAAACATTCGGAATAAATAGATAATACGCGTTATATAGTGCCATAGGTTATACGGGGAATGTTTACGATTTGCATGCGGCTTCAAGAACTGTGACAGAACAGGATAAAAATATCCAAATTCGATCAATTTTCGAGTGTTACGTTTTAATAGTTAATGTCGTCGAAATCGAAATAATTTGATGTCGCAACTGTATTATGAAATTTTGATGTTCACAGACGAAGGGTACGTCAAGTTTTGGTAAGCGGCGGAACAAGACACATACGTTGTGCAGACGATGTGGTCGTAGCTCGTATCACATCCAGAAGTCACAATGTGCTCAATGTGGATATCCTCAGAAGAAAATGCGATCCTGTGAGTTTTACTGGCTGCTAATGTCCATACAAACATAGATTTTTATAGGTCAATTTATAGAGTGGAGTCAAACAGTAGTTCGTTTATTTTATCAAAAGTTTCCAGAGGCTTCAATAATATAACTAATCTCATAAAATTTGCTATTCTGGAAGTTACAGATTTTTTCTAGCACTTCTAACATGAAATGGCCACTAGTGCCTGAAGAGTTACGATTCCTAAAGAAAACTTAGTCTCCAGCTTCGTATTACAGCTAGAAGCTACAATTTTTCAATAGCATTATGTGTTTTCAGATAACTGGTCAGTGAAAGCAAAGAGGAGGAAGACCACCGGTACTGGTCGCATGCGTTACTTGAAAATTGTTCGGCGTAAATTCAAGTAAGTTTAAGACAACTTTCCACAGGTTTACATTCAAACACAGTAACACCAAAATGAAACTTTGTTAATAAAATTAAGGACTACTTTCCTCAAGTCCTTCTCGATGTTTAAAACACTTCACATTTTCAGGAATGGATTCAGGGAAGGTTTACCGAAACCAAAAGCTGTTGCAACTATATAATTCTGACTTTTGTCGATGTGTTGTATATTTGTAAGATTTTGACTGCTAATAAACACAAGAAAACTGTAAGAAGTATTTTACATTATCTTAAAACAATCGTATTTTAGTAGGTAAACATTTATCTCTGGTAAATAAACATGTATGTCGCAAGATGATAGTTCATTGATCGCGTTGTTAGCATTTTTACCAGGTACAGTGAAACAGATAACGCAGAATGCATTGCAGAATGGGACTGCGTCGACTGCGCAGTCGCGGTGGAAGTTTTGACTGCGACCGACCTTATAATTGCCACGGCTTTCCGAATTTCTAGCAGTAACTCGCGGATCTGTAGTGCAACATGATAACAGTCGTCCGCTTGTGAAACTTGGTTTAGTCTTCGCCCTTTACCTAGTAAAAACGGTATGTTCCGCTGCCGTGTTCAGCCAAGATTTCGCCTTCACAAACATCAGAAGATCAAGAATAGGTGCATGATCATATAGCAGTAACAAGAGAAATAGGAAGAAGAAATTTAACTAACTTATCATTGAGGCGAACAGAGAGAAGAGCTGAAATTTCTAAAGAAGAAAAACCATAAGGATTACCAACGCAGATTCTGTTGCACAAATGACCATTTGGAGGAAATTATTTGGTAAATAGTCACTGGACTGCTTCAGTTCAGTCGTAAGTCACTCGAAAAAATTATTATATGTCTTCGTGGGTATTTAATTGCTAGGCAAGTACCTGCTGGTCACAAACACGGTCAGTTGCGGCTTGATGATGGCAGCAGCAGACATGATCCAACAACGCAGTGAACACTGGAAGAAAAATAATGGTCTACCAGGGGGAAGTCGTGTATTGGCTGCATCGTTAGAGGACCAAGAACGAAAGTTGAACGCTTCTAGCTCAGACATATATATGCACGATTATATTAGGACTAAAAACATGACGACCGTGGGTCTGGTTCAAGGTCCCTTTCATCATTGGTTCTACTTGGTGTTGGACAAAGTTATACCTGGTAGAACCGCATTATCAGTCGTTAAAAAGACGTGTCTCGATCAGACGATTGCTAGCCCTACCTGTTTGGGCATATTTTTCATTGGTCTTGGTGTATTGGAGCATCACAAGATCGAGGAGATCTACGAGGAGTTGAAAGTAAAATTGTACGACACGTGGAAAGTATGTATTCTATACCATAAGGAGACTTTTATAAAATAGCACAGCCCCTATTTAAAAAAATTAGGAATTCTTACATGTTCGCTATAAGAAATTCGAAAATATTAGGCAGAGTACTTTGTTTACTACGTGATATATTTGTTATTCAAAAGAAGTTCAAGAAAAAATGAGCGTGATTTACGAGTTAGTTTAGTATTTAGTCTGAAAAAGGTACACGGACATCTGCTTGGATAAATAAATAAAATAGCTCCTTTTTTTAGGTGGATTGCTGTTTCTGGCCTCCAACACAGTGTGTCAATTTCATTTTTGTACCCTTTCGGTACCGAGTTTTATATACAAATTTTATGACAATGATCTATGACATTTTCCTGTCGTACATGAAATATGTAAGTGCCATTCAGTCCTCGGTTGTCAATTTTTATACTCTGATTCACCAACGGTTGTTCCTTTTTACAGGACCATCAGTATGATTAATGTAAAGTCTCAGGGCTAGTCTACATCGGTGTAATTCTGTTCACTTCATCTTCAGTCATCCATAGCTGATAACATACGTATTGTTCTTAGGAGCATGGTGACTTACGAAAATTGTAACACCAATCAATCTTCTATGAATTAATTGATATCGTGTCCAGCATATGTAAGACACCATTGTTTTTGTAGATTAATCGAGCGTTTTATGTTGTCGCCAGTCCTAGTAACAACACATTTGAGAGACAATGGACATCAGTCGGTAAGTTAAATATTTACCATACAAATCACATTTTTTTGATCACAAAGTTGTTTTTGTGTCGTTATAAAATTCCGTTATCACGTTCCGGAAGTTTCGTTATCCTTTTTTATTCAACATGACTGGATGATATATCTAAGATGTAGCAACTAAGTAATCGCTCTGTGCTGCATTGTTTGTGATAAGAGTTAAGGAGATAATCTCATTAACGATCGAAAGAAAAATGTGTTCTTTTTCGTGGAGAATTTTCAACAAAATTAGCTACGAAAATTCATCAAGTCGCGTATTTTTAATAACCATCATACATTGTGGATTAACATTAAGTTTCAAGTGGAAAAAATTTCGTTTTTTATTTTCCATTTGTAATTGTGCATGGAAAAATATTTAAAAAGCATGCGTTTTTCAGTTCAATGAGAATATCCTCTTAGGCTAAAAAGCCAGTATAAGACTTTTGTATGTTATATTGTGATGTCTTTATTTTGACGCGCTGAAAATCTCCGAGCATTATAGTTGGCGTCGAAGTTTCGCAACTTATCGGTCTCGTGCATCCGAATGATCCTTATCGATATTTTATCGTCACGTGTGTTGTATGCAACCTCGTGTCTGGTGCATCCCGACGGAATTTTTAATTGTTTTCTTATCGCGCGTAAACGGCCGTCCATCGAACGGGAATTGTTTATTAGGCTGTGACTGCTTTTGTTTGGCGTTCGGCGTCGGTGGGGGATTACGGGAGTCTCCTGAACCGTCAGTCGCCGGTGAGCAAACAAACGATCGTTGAAACGCAAACACAAACAATAAACTGTGCGAAACAATAAACAAGAGATACCTCAATGTATTTCCCAATCGAATCTTCTGGAAAAGCGATTAAAGCGTTTTGTTTGTGTCCACATGTAAGCTCGCCCTAAACCAAAATTCTGAGTATTTAAGCCAAGGCGTTGTAAAATAAAACTAGAATCAAAATATAATTTATGAGTGCGATGCATCAATCATTCACATTGTGATGTCATACATGTTTTATCATTTCTGATACTTTTTATTCCATTTGTAAACAGATATTTCTCTATTTTAAGGTGTTGCGTCTAGATTATTTTCTATTTTTGTACAATTTAAGAAGTTTAGACGAATAGTTCAAAACAGAGAGTGAATATATCCCTCTTCTAAGATGACAGACATCTTAAAGATTAATTAATATATTTACTTAAATTATCTTATTTTTTTGAGATTTAAATCTTGAACGAGGAATTTCGTTTTTTGCTTTTACTGTTCAAATGGTCACTAATTTGTTGGAGAATAAATATTAAAGATTACATGTGTAAATAAAAATTCTATTTTACTTGCTATAAAAAACATTACTATAAAAAATACGTAATCCGTAGTGACTACATCTGAATAAAATCACAAATTATAAGGTATATAGACAAAAAGTTTATAAGAACAACATTTCATATAAATAACAAAAATCTGGTAAACAGACATTTCATTGTATTATCCATGGTTAAATTGTTTATGAAATGGTGGAAGATCCAAAATTCGAGCAGTGCCAAGGAGTATTAACCCTGGAATACATGATTAAAATTTTAATTAAGAACTGTACTGAAGTAAAATAAAAAATTCGCAGCCAATGTCAATTATAGTTACGGTTAACGTTTAAGTGCTACTTAATCAACCGTTCAGGTTAGATTGCATAAAATGCAATTTTTTTTACGATATTCTTTTTAAGTGAATGAAAAAAAGATGAATTACCGCTTCCAATAGTGTACATCATAGATTTTCCGACAATTTTTTGGAATTTCTTCGAGTGGTACGAAACATATAAACCGGAACCAATAAGTCCACAACCACTAAAGATTCTACATCCAAGACAGTCTCGATCTCGATGTTTAATTATGTTATTCACTGCGCCTGTTGTTTCTGTCATTTTTGTCTTGAAAAAATGCAACACAATATTTACAGAACGTTTACAGTGGAACCTTTATGATACACTCTTGTTAAGTTGTTTTTGGATTATGTTGGTTATGTTTCGACCGCCATATTTTATTATGAAATCAATAAAGATCGGAAGTACATTCAAATTTTTTTATTTTAGTAAAAATGGTAGATCTTATTTGGATTTGTAAATAAATACACACAGAGAAGTTGTATAAACGCTTAATTTCGTTTAATTAATCAAAATAAATTGAAGTACTAAACATATGACCTTCATCCCTTATTACATATTTTATTATCTAAAAATAAGATTTAAATAGCATTTATGTAAATCAATCGCAGTAACTTATATTTATTTTATTTTTAAAAAGGGAATCACGCTTCTGAAAATTTCTTTTATAAACCTTCAACCCAAATGTGCAAATGTCTGAAGGAGTATAAAAGAAAAGTTTAATATATAGTGTACCTATTCAATCTGACTTTATCTGTCGTTTTATTCCAACGTAATTACTAGACTGTGGATGTTTATGCAAATACACATGTTTATAGATTGATTTACGGCAACTGAAATTTATCGATATCGTTAAGGGTCTTATCAGGTCTAAGATAAAATAAAAATCTAACTGAACTTTATTGAATTTTTTACTGTACGGAGTTTCAGACAGAATCGTGTACGTTATAAATGCATAACATCCCCACTCTAATAATCAAATATACAAAGTACAAGTCTACGAAGTTTCCTTATCAAATCTGGTGATCTTCCTTCACTTGTTCATCGAACAGATGAATAAATAAAATTATGTAGGATGTAAAAATTTGTTAGAAAATGGAAAATCTTTGCTGACTTTCTCTCTATTTATTCGATAAGTTTTTTCGCTTTGAAGAAACGCCTCAGGTACAAAACTTGCCAGGTAGAGAGTGCCAAAAGCCATAATGTGGAAAATATACTGAAGTGCAGAACTCGAGTGTTTGTGGTCTCTGAAATTTTAGAAAAAAAAAATTAATTGATTATTTACAGATTCAGTAAGAGTAGAATGGCAATAGAAATTTGTATTTGTACCATTAGTATCTCTCATCTCTTCCTCATTCTTTCTCATTCGAGCAAAGTCTTGAACAATTGCTTCGGATAAATCCTCCAAACGTTTCAATTCTACTTCGGAAGGTTTCAATTTCGCAGCTTCGCTTATCTATCAGGAAAAAGGTAGATGGTTATTTTAACTGGGTTGCTATAGAAAGCAGTTGGAAACTCGAACTCAAAATAAAAAACTTCAAACTTTGTTAGAAATAATACTTAATTGCAAAAGGAAGTTTAATTTCTCGATAATTATGGTGATAATGTTTCGAATAGGAAACGATCTACAGCAGGTGATGGAAGTGCAAGTGAAACTACTATAAACACTGAAATAACTCATCGCGTTTTGTACAAAGTGCACACATTAATTTTTAGTATCTACAAAATGCATTATTTCTTGCAAGAAAAAATGAAACCCATGCTGTTAAAAGCCACACTAGTGATAGCTATTGAAACCAATTTCTCTACATTACCAACTGTGCACCCATATAAGCCACATATAGAAAAAAAGAGAAGAGATGAAATATCATGAGATTGTCGATCAAACAGGTCAGGGGTTGGCAATCTACAGTAAACATTACTATATGTGAAAGTACGATGGATTGCCAAGTCCTGCTGTAAACTAATATAGTGTGTTAAAACTCTTCCTACTGGAAGCCTATTAATAGATTCTTTTATTTGGAATTTTTCAAAATACTTAATGGTCGAATATTGCCCTGCAGGTAAAGAATTAACACTAAACTAGAACTGCCGAATAAGAATGACAGAGTAATAGAAAATTTGATGAAAAACATAATCTGCCACCAATCAAAATTAGGTATCCAATAAAAGAACTTACTCCTTCGTAATTCTTTGCTTCAATACCACGCTTTGTAACCAAGTGGACTTCTTGTTTGATCTGTTTTATATCTGAAAAATTTCACTTGTAATTACAAAAACGTAATGTTAAAAACATTTATGGGTTCTTGTACATACTGCCTGAGAAAGACGGCTGTATGGCATGGGCCATGAAGCAGATCTCGAATGTGTCGTATGTCTCCATAACAAACGTGAATTTCAATATCTTCCCATGTGGTATGTTATCATTTCTAGAAAGTATTTCTCCCTTGGAATCTCGAATCTACTCAAGAAAGTAATCATAAGCCGTAAAATCAGGAAAATCTGATATTACATGAAACTAACAATATTGGGTCAGTGCAAAAGTCTTGATATAATATAGGTATCTTGAATTCTCTTGTGACAAAATGAATAAGAATAAAAAGTAATAATAATCAGATAAAGTACATATTGACAAAATTTTTGAAAGTAAATTTTTTTCTATAACAATTCGTGTATCTTAACAAGATCATTTCAAGACTCGCATCGACCCAACATTTCAACTTTTTATTTCGTAATGATCAAACGCGTAATGTGTGACATAGTGAGATAAGGTTAATTGAACATAACCTCGAAAATTTCAAGAACGTCAAATTAAGTTTCAGCTTCTTTTTTTAAAAAAACTTACAACGTATTCGGTTTTAACAGCCGGCGTTTCAGTGACTTCGTATTCTCCAGCGACCAAAACATGAGCTTGCGCTTCCTCTTTCAAACATTTCATCGAGTTCGGTTCAAGAAAGAATCTAATAGAATGTACGTACGCGAACAGTGACGCGAGTATTAATAAAACGCCTCGCATATTGGGACAATTTCTTGCGATCTCGTTGAATAATATTGAACAACAAACGTTACGATTAAACGAACATTATTAGAAAACCGTCAACATATCGATGAGTTGGCAGCCATTAAATATTTCGGGCGAGTCACGTGACGTATCGAGCAACACGTGTACATTTGAATTTCATTAGTTTTTTCCGAAAATCGTTAGATGGCGGTAGCTTCTTGTTCTTTAGATTCGATTTCATCTCTACATAGATAAATCGAACAGACAATAGAGTATCTTTGTAACAACAGTAATGTCTCGATGAGTGCAACGTACTCGGTTCCACTTCGAAGCATTTGTGGCAAGGCGGAAAGGTTTCAGCCCCTCATAAATTTGTCTTTTGCTCGAAGCCGAGCCTCTACTTAGTTTCTGCTTACTCTGTTTTAATTGGATCCACAGGGGCACTCCCCCAGTGATGAGAACAACGCCGTTGCTCGTGTCGCATTCATCGAGGAATCACTGAATATATTTTATTCAACTTCTGCATCGTATTCAGATCTCCCATAATTCTATGACATTTGAACTCAGAAGAAATCGAATCTCAACATATATAATTTGAAATCACGATTTCCGATCGGTCGAGTCTGACGAATGGCAGAGGATGTATAGTAGAGTGTCAGCGTAGCCATCGCTGAATGCGAAGTTGCTCGAATCGGCTGATATTACAGTGGAAATAAACTGTTTCGAAACAAGAAACCGAAGACAGTTTCCGTTGGCGGAGACAGTTCTGTGTTTTCTCCTGGGTGTTTCTTTCTTTTTTCGCTTTAGAAATAATGTCACGAAAAAGGAACGACACGACGCGATGATTCAATGAGGAAACTCTCAGCCAGAATTGTGATGATCTGTTACGGGAATCAAGTCCAAGAGATTTTAATTACGCGTTTCAATGTATTTGGTCAATATGCTGCGAATGCGTAGGTAAGGTTATCCATTATCCGACCTGTTTTGCTACGAAAATCCCGCTATAAACAGTTCAACGCTTACCAGAGTCTCGCGACACTCTTAGGAGAGCTTTAATATTTTTTTCTTCTATTTTTTTTTCTTTTTTTTCGCTGCGAATCTCGATTACCGCCCCTGCCTTTCGTGATGTTGAGTGAACATAATGAGGAATAAAATGCCACCGTTTCGAAGGAAAAAGTCCGGAAAATCTTTCCCCGTTAAAGTCTGTACCTTAGATGCTGAACTGGAATTCAGTTTAGAGGTTAGTTACTCGAGTTGTGCAGCTACTTTCCTATTATTCCAATATTATGTAAAGATTTTTGACAAATACGTTTTGTCTGTAGTGGAGATCAACGGGAAGGGATCTCTTTGATTTAGTCTGCCGTACAATAGGATTAAGGGAGACATGGTATTTTGGACTACAGTATGAAGATGCCAAAGGATTCATATCCTGGTTAAAATTGGACAAAAAGGGTGAGCTTTCAAACATATTCGTCGATTCTATTGTCTGTATGTACAATTCGCTATATGTTTGTTCTAAATTTATTATAGTCCAAGATCAATGCATCTCCCAGCAACCTACTACACCCTTCATGTTCTTGGCAAAGTTCTATCCAGAAGATGTCGCCGAAGAATTGGTTCAAGAAGTGACACAACATTTATTCTTTCTTCAAGTAAAACAAGCCATTCTGTCGATGGATATTTATTGCCCACCAGAAGCGTCCGTGTTGTTAGCTTCTTACGCAGTTCAGGCGAAGGTACTTGAATGTTATTACCATATAAATTCTTTGCTAAAGCTTTTCCTAGCTTCTCACAGTATATTACTGTTTCTCCTGAATAACACTCTTTTTAAACTGTGAATGGTTAAGCTGCCAAGTTATAAATTTGTGTTATATATCTTTCAGTACGGCGACTACGATGAAGTTTCTTACCGTCCTGGAATGCTTGCCAGCGAGGACCTACTGCCACAAAGAGTTATAGATCAGTATCAGATGACACCAGAAATGTGGGAGGACAGGATAAAGATCTGGTATGCGGATCACCGTGGGATGTCTAGAGACGAAGCGGAAATGGAATACCTTAAGATTGCTCAAGATTTGGACATGTACGGTGTTAATTACTTTCCTATTAGCGTAAGTATGGTAAAAATCAATCAACTGTCTAAATCTTGGTTCACTTCATATTTTGAAGCACGTTGATGATATCAATTTCATTGCATAATTTTGTAACGTGCCTTTCATTTGCCTGTTAAATTTCAGAACAAGAAAGAGACTGACCTTTGGCTCGGAGTCACGGCCCTGGGCTTGAATATCTACGAAAAGGAGAACAAGCTGGCCCCGAAAACAACGTTCACGTGGTCGGAGATACGGCACATTAGCTTCGACGACAAGAAGTTCGTGATTAAACCGGTGGAGAAGACGTCGCCGAACTTCGTTTTCTTCTCGCAGAAAGTTCGCATGAACAAACTGGTAAAAAAACAGTCAGATGTTGGCAGCTGGGTGAAGGGTTTGATAGCTTTAGGGTTCGACGAACATAGCAATGACAAAGCTGCTCACATGTTATTTGTTAAGATCCTGGACCTGTGTATCGGCAACCATGATCTGTTTATGAGGAGACGCAAGCCTGACTCGATGGAGGTGCAGCAGATGAAAGCACAGGCCAAAGAAGAGAAATCGAGGTGAGTCTTTAAATGCGCATACCTTACACCGTAACGATATCTTTTTTAAACATAAGGTTATATTATATTGTTAGATATTTGTGTAAATGAAAATTCTCTTAAAATTCTGATTAATACGAGTGTTATATGTTAAGCTAATTGCTTTAAGTAATTAATACAGGGACAAACTGAGCTCAATTTTGCAAAACATCGAATGCATGCAATCGAATGGGAAAACCATGTTACTCATCCTAATACATTGTTTCTTTGTTTACGCATTTCAAACCTAACAACGACATCCTCGTTTCTTCTTTTTTTTTATTTGAAATTTTGTAGGATCCGAAATCTAAGAATAAATAAATAAATGTTTATCCAGGTTAGTATGTTTATTTATATAAATAACAAGGTGACTTTGGGACAAACGTATCTTTTAATAAACAATATTTCACAATTTCCTCTCTATAATAGTTCCCTTTTAATAGGAGACAAATCGAAAGGAATAAGCTGGCACGAGAGAAACAACTAAGGGAAGCTGCGGAGAGGGAGAAGGCAGCTATGGAACAACGACTTCTACAATATCAAGAAGAGATTCGTCTGGCGAACGAAGCGCTTGTAAGAAACCTAACTTTGTTGTTTAAAAACTGTCCCGGATCATTCAAACAAAATCCATTGCAGAGGAGATCCGAGGAAACCGCAGACCTGTTAGCTGAGAAAAGTCGCGTCGCTGAAGAGGAAGCGATGTTGTTGAGTCAGAAAGCTTCAGAGGCCGAACAGGAGATCACACGTATACGATTGAACAACATGAAGACGGAGGAGGAGAAGGTTCACCTGGAGAGAAAGACCAGAGAGGCCGAATTGCTCACTGAGAGACTGGTGCAGGAGTCGGAGAGAAGAGCTGCTGAGGCTGAGAAATTGAAGGACGAATTGTTACGCGCGCGTATTGCGGAGAAAGAAGCGAAAGAAAAATTGCTGGAATTCCTCAGCAGAAACGCTTACACCGCTACCATAGCTGTAAGTAGCCAGGCCGTGAGCTCCATTAACCCTCGAAGGTCTGGGACGAACTTGGCAGACGAATACAAGGTCATTTTAACCCATAGTATAATTTCCATTGTACATACGCAGATTTCAAGAAGAAAATTTTGCATAAAAGTTGATATGTTACATTTCCATATATCCTCAAAGAATACAGCCATAGCTACAGATCGGTCAAAGTGACCCTGCATTCCCTGTACGAGGGTTAAATTTTACCATTTATACGTCAGCTATTCACACACGTGCTTCTTCGCGTATTGCAGCCCGTGCCAAATCTATTTCCATCAACGCAAGTACTTCCGTCGGATTTGCAGGCAGACCTTCAAACGTTGCAGCTGGACGCGGAACCGTTGCCAGCCGACCTAACCTCGTACGACTTGATCGCGGACGGGGACGTTGACCAGCTGTCGTTGGAGATCGAGAAAGAACGGGTGGACTATTGGGAGAAGAGTAAACATTTGCAGGAGCAGCTAAGAGAATTACGCACGGAGATCGAGGTGATGAAGGTCGGGGAGAAACAGTGCGAATTGGATCAGTTGCACGAGGAACAAGTGCGACTCGGTGAGAACAAGTACAGTACATTGAAAAAAGTGAAATCCGGATCCACCAAGGCGAGAGTTGCATTTTTCGAGGAGTTATAGGTTATGTATCGTTGAAAATGAAAAGTTTCCACGCTTTAATTCCGCGGACGCAATCTACGAGACGAAGTTATTACGGCGATTCGGTATGAAATATACTCTGTGAGATTTACGAATCGCGTAGACACGTGCGTATGTATACGTTGTAGAATACTGAAAGCGTACGCTTCACTCTATACATAACAAAATGTACATTCTGCTTCATCGTATGCATAGTGACAGTTGTATCTGCATGCTAATATTTAAACCAGTCAGCGTTGTTATTAGGCCGTACTTGAGTTTTCTCGTTGAACGATTATCACAGTAGAATTGTCCCCTTTCTCATTTGAAAGTAACACTTTGCTTGCCGGTGGTTATTTAATGGACTCTTCAGTACCAACAATTAATCGCCAAGAGCCTGTTGATCTATTTTTTCAAACTCTGTAGGATATTATAATCATATGAACAAGTAGTTTTGGAATTCTTACTCAAAGGAATATTAGTAGGCCTCTTATAAATAAGCATCGATATCGAAAAGCCTGTTAATAGGCTTCCAGGTGGAAAAGTGTTAATAGTTTTCTCTGATCTACGTATTTGCATGTAACTACTGAGCTAACTCTGAATCGTAAGCGACCCGTAGAAGGTGAAACTTTTACACGGAGTACACACGCAGAAATCAAAATTACAACTACAATCTCTAGGTATTATAATTACATAGAAGTAAGTAATTCTTGACACGCGTCGATATTGTTTTTTTCATAAATGCGATGTGTTTGGATAAAGTTTAAGTCAGTAGATTAATGGCGAAAGTATACACGCGTAAATAGAGAATTTTATTTTTTTCTTCTGAAAGTATTGTCAGTGAAACACTAGTGTTCGATGTCGCATGTGTTGTTTGATGCTTCTATATTTTTTATATGAATTTTCGGTTACACAGGACTGACAATATTGTAGCGCATGCTTAGATACTGTGTTGCTATCAGAAATGGTAATACTCTCAGACGTGAAATTATCGAATGCCGGACCATGTGTCCTATGGATCGCATGATTATAAAAAAAAAGGAGCCCATGGAGAAACGCGTCTAAGCTGCAGTCTAGTCAAACAACTCACGTGAAAGAACTGGCTGTCAATCAGGATCTTTACTAAAAAAGAATGGCGATGAACCTGGTGTGATTTCGATAGACTGAAATTTTCATGCTCGTTCGCCACACAAATAACATTTCAACATTGAAAATTAATTCACTTTCATAGCCTGGTATGCAATCGCTGTAAAGTGCATATGTGATATCTAAAAGTTTCCAAATTATCAAAGGAAGGATCAAGTTTGTTTTAAAACATGATGTATGGGGACTGTGTACAATAATGAAGTGTTAACCTATACTTCTGAAAGTCTGATAGTAGTGAAAACTATACATACTCGTGCATGGATCGATTTTACAAAAATAAGTTTTTAAAAACGCTATCGATTTTTACGTAATTTTTACATACAGACATCGGATGTACTGTACTATTGTTTATATGGGATTCTTTTTATATTTCGTAATGTGCATTCGTTGATGTCACTCGAAAACAAATGTGTTTGTAAACATAAAATTTTGACAAATGTGTACGTGCATTGACATTTTATTAGGAAAGCTGTATAGATGTAAAGCAAAGCATTGTGAACAATTTTTATGCCATGAGACTACATGCTATGATAGCAGTTAGTTTGATTAGACTAGAGCGATAGAATCTTTGTGCATTAATTGTGGCCTTCGATGAGAAATGTTCCTATCGACGTGATAGAGAACTCAGTGTTCGAGTATTCTACTATAGGGCTTTCCACATATTTTTCTACGACAAATCTATAAGAATTTTTGTGAACTTTGGACGTTCGATGCGAGAATAAATAATTAAGTCGACTCTTTTGTAGAAATAGGATCAACGTTCCTAGATATTTTTATAATTACAATTGATTGGGAAATGATTGCAACGAAACATATTTTTCATGAGGAAATACATAGAATACTTTTTTTAAAAGAAACAAGGATTCTAACTTTTATGCAATACCAAGTATTGTGTACATTTTATAATCCTGCATTCTCCTGCTTTGTCCTTCTCCTTCTTTGTCTCACAATTAACTTTTAATGCTTCGAGTTAATTGAAATAGTTTCATTCGTTACGAAGCTGATAATCAATCATTTTTATCGGTGAGAATCTTGGATTTTCCATGTTTGGAAAGCTCTTTAGAAAAGTTTCTTATTCAAAGCAATTCGAAAGTGCCTTACATGCTACCAGTGTATTTATACAACTGTTACTCGAACACTGATTAATTTAATCATATGAAAGTAATGAATACAAAGTCTTTTAGATGTTGCTCTTTTATGTCACGAGCTAATATTTTTATTTTTTTTTCCTAGATCGTAGGAAATGTTGAACGTTATTAGTTTATTCAGTATTGAATATAATTGTGTTGCGTAAGATTTTTGACCAAAAATCTGGTGCGAGTGTTCAATCGGAGAATCGATAACTGGAACTTTTGGCGCCGTTGTCTGTGATTCGCGTGACGCGAGTGTATTTGGATGCTAATCGAAAAGTGCTTCGGCCATAATCAGTATTTTCTGTAATATAGAGGAATGTACCTGTAAATGTAATTCGCAAGTGCTTAATCAATTAGTGTACTTTATAATCCATGCCATGTTTTTCTTCCTTAGAGTCCAGATAATAATATTAAATTTTACATCATAATATGCAATAAAATATACACCAATACTTTCATGGTATCGGCGACAAAATTCTATCCTCCTTATAAATATAATTATAGAACATTTTAAAAATAAAAACCCTCTTTATTCGTATTTACACCGTGTTTAAGAAAATATTATGTATATATTTATACACATCGTTTAGTCCAAGTACAAACGTATCAAGTCGTCCTCCTTAGCAGGGTAGTTTGTCACTGGACACTTCCCAGTCTTACGTATCACAGGAAGAATACACTGATAACAAAACGCGTAACTGTAAAATAGAATGTTTATAAGATCACTGGCTACAACTCTTTTTAATATTGTTTTCTATGAAACACGCATACCCAGAAATAGGAAGCACTGTGGGCACCCTTGGTGCTTTACAACAAACAGGACATTTGCCTTTATGCTGCCTAGCTGTTTCAGGAATCTAATAATAATAAAGTTTAATTAATAAAGTATGACTATTTTGGATCGTAATATAGTTTGGAAAGATTTTTACCGTCGGTGGTGGAGGAGTTGGTAGTGTCATTAAACTTTTGTAATGATGCTCTTGAGTCCACCAAGAGACAAACTGAAGAAAAAATGCCCCCAATTCTAGGGACGTGGTTACCGTTCGTTGAAGTATATCCATGCCATCGGTAATATTAAAGGAATTATTTCTTATCTTTCTTAATAAATCAGAAATGCTAATTATTCGCTCTGGTTCAGCATATGTTAAAGTAACAGAAAGAAGCCTTAGAAGTGGCGATTGGTATACTGATTTTCCAGCAATATAAAGTATATAATTATAGAGTACTATGAATTCGTATATTATGAAACTTATCGTGCATCCCTTTACAACACAATGACGATATAGCTTCTGCCATTTCTGTAATAGAATGTCAATAATAAACTTTACCAAAAAGCAGTAACTTTTAGCAATAAAATTACAGGCATCAAATATTTACTGTTTGTGGCGCAGAATCATCTGCTTCTTCAAGCCTGTACCTCTGAGCTAGCTGATAGAGTTTACTCTTTAAATATGGGAATAAAACTAACAATACTAATGATAATTTTGCTCGTTTCTTTGGTAATTTTTGCCTGATTTTGGAATCTATTATTGCTATACGTTTTAAACCATAAAATGCCTCTGAAAAGGAAGCGGCTGAAATAGATTGTAGATTTGTATTATTCATGGTTGACTGAATAATTAATTACGAGTAGTAATAATTATGCAGTAGAAGTCAGTTACTTACAATACTTTTTGAAATAATGTTTTTGAAGTATTACATTAAATATTAGGTACCCTTCATCTGCCCATCTGAGAAGGTGTCCATATCTTTCAGGGTTGAATGATACGACAAACTAAAAAAAAGACAATAATATAAGCTGTTGTCATTATTACGCCAATTTAATTTTGAAAGAACAAGATTTCTGCACCGGATTTCCGGTTGACTGACGAATAAAAATAGATCGTAATTTTTTATTTATTTATTTATTATGCAAACTACAGCAGGAAATACAGAATTATAGTTACATAAAACTATACATATTTATTTAATTCAGACTATATTAACGAATAGTCGCGATTAATGGAACAATTCAACAAATCCGTCTTGGAGACCATAACCTACCGACAAAAGTTTTTTGAAAGCTGGCTCGACAGTTGACGCAAACGATTCTTGTGCTATAATTTCGAATATAGAAGGTCTGATCAACGTGGTTCCCGTTAAATGCGCTCCTTTCTCAGCCATAATCGTTATATTTTCCTGAGCACAAGTGTGCAACTTTTCATTATTTGTGTAATGGCCTACGATCCCGTGGTAATTACCACTATAAATTACAGATGTGTCAAAATACGCGTAAGGTATATTTGAGATTAGGTTTATTAAAGTACTTGTCGCTTTAATTAATCAAGTATCATGATGAAGCGCGAAGTTAATAATTTTGATGATCACAAGAGTTGTCAAACATATAACGTCCGCAGATTGAGGTTAAGGCAACGTATTCTTATATGCAGATGAAAGGATAAAAAATGTATCGTTTGATATTACTTAATCACATATGCTACTTGATGCATCTTTTAATTAATAATACATTTTTTACTGAAACGTCATAAGGCAGCATAACACCATCTATTATTAAATATCGGTACTAATTGGCTAGTAGCTTGAGCACTTGGCCGTAGATGGCGCCACAAGTCTATTCGTACTACATTTTTAGTAAGCCCGTATTAATTTCAAATGACTGTTAATATGTGATTTCAATTCAGAATATTTCCACAAACAAAATTTTTACCGACAATTTGCTTTACAAATCATTGACCACACGTCATATAAGAGAAAGTTTTTACATTAGACGATGACTCTTATCAGAGTGCATGGACAATATTACAACAGTTCAACCAATAGTATATACATATACTATACATCGCAACTTGGACAATATTAACAGACAAAAATCGGGATTCCATAATTTTCTTCCTATAATACATACGTATATTTTCCTAAAAACAATAAGATAAATTTCTAAAAAAAGAAAAACTTGAATCGTATCCCTCTGGCGGAAAATCTCAGAGACATCACCAGCCCTCGGAACCGCTCGCAAACAAATCGAATGGTTCGCGATGAAATCTCAGTATCGAGCTGCTCGAACATCCGTTTTCATACGTAAAATCTCACGATAATAAGGGAAACACCGTACACCTTGTACAACTTGAAGTAATATCGTTTCGGAGAGAAGCAAGCGTTCCCGCGAGGGGGGGAGTCAGGAAAGATGTGAACCCGAGGAAGCATCCGAGATTCGAGCTTGCGGCAGAGGGGAATCGAACGGTCCCGTAATTTAACCACCAATCACCAATCCGACGTTCGAAGTGACAGACGCCTCGCGCCTCATGACGAGGAGAGGATCTCCTGTTCCACCGTCCTGCGTCATCGTAGAATGGGTGAGCAGCATGGGCGGAGAGCTCGAAAATGGCATATAAATAATCGTCTATATTTGAAGCTCGCGGGGCGTGTCTCGCAGGGAAATGCAACGGATTCACCGCGACCCTCTCTTTTTCCCTCGTTCGATGACCGACAATGACATCAGACGAAAATTTTCACCGAATGATCGGTGACTAATATATATGTAGGAGCAGTATATATAGGGTGGTTCGGAATTCGTGGTGTTTTAAAAGTCAGTTTTCGCGCGGTCCAAAACGAATAAAATAATATTTATTATCTTTGTTATATTACTTTCAATTATTCTATAGTACTCTTAAATTTCACTCGAATTCAATCTGTTGGGAGTAGAAGTATCGTTGACGTTCAATCTGATCGAAATTGTGATTTGTACGTTAGGGCGATCTGATTGACGATATTCTCGTGTGCCTAAAGCATTGAACAATTTTCCGACGAAATAAACATTCATAATTCTATTACAAAAAAGTTCTTCAGAGGAATGATGTAAAAAGAACTATATAGTGTAGTCAGGCAGTCTCAAAGTATTGTAAAATGTCTAGAATGAAAATGTTCATTCAAATAACAAATGGTAATTACTTTTCTCACATGACGAGTATACTTGTTCATAGCTGAGAGGTTAAACATTTGAGAAATGAAAATTCGGTTTTGCACAAAGCCTTAGTGGGACAAGTAAATAATTCTAAAGTAGAACCCCCATTGAACGGAGTGCATATCACTCTGTGCACACGGTACACATACACCGGGGGCCCCGGCGTCGCGTGCCAGGAATTTCGTATCCCCACTCCTACCATCTTTATTATTTCCTATTTTTCCCTCCCTGTGGTGGTCGTGCATTTTGTGCTTTCCTTCCGCGACAGAAGCCTCGAATACATCCTCTGTGAAGAAAAAAGAAAACACCTCGATGTTTGGCCGCGATTCTTGACAGATAATGAGCATTCGAGCAACGATTGGTGTTCGCGGGGATATTATTGACTCCCGATAGTGCTCGTCGAACCGTTGGAAGCGGAGTTTCACGTTCCGATTGAAGTACCCTTACGCCCGAGAGTTTCATGAAGTAAGCGAAATCACCGTAACCGTGAGTGAATTTCCTTTCGTTTCACGAACGTAGCGTTCGTACCCTCGGTTTGTTTATCGAATAAAACCTGCTGCAGGAAGCATATATTCGTCTGCGAACCGTTTTCGATAACATCTCGCGAGCGTACTGATTCTAATCTCCGCGGTGAATAATTTTATATAACGTTTTATGTAACGATGGGGGGGAATCCTTTTGACGTTTTCGTCGCTGTCATGTAGGTTAGGTTATGTGGCGGGCGGTGGTGCATCGCGATGGCCTTGCACAGGGATGGTCGAAGTGTATCCCGAAAGGGTGTTCAAACGATAGATATCTTAGCAATTCGTAATCTTATTTGCAGTCGAATGTTAAGTGTATCGGGCTAGTTAGTCACTGGTGATCACTGGGAGAAAGAATACTCAGGTAGTTTGTGACAGTTCCATTGATGGATACAGAATGCATCAGTGTTTCATATTCTGTTGTTGAACATACAGGGAATAGTTTTGTTCATTTTATGACTTAGACTTGTTTCAATTTCAAAACCATTGGAACCCATCTTTGACGTTGTACATCGAACTCAGTGATGTTTAATTGTAATCATTCGTATTTCGCAGACACACAAGGAGGAATGTCCCGTAACACTGGACCCGGTTTGTACGAGTTCCTTATGGAAGCTGAGCTTCAACAATATTATCCTGGGATTCGAGGTATGAACATTCAAGAATGTGCATTCTGTATTTCTTCCTTGTTTCTGACGCAATGTGTTTCGACAGGGGACTTGAAGGTACAGACGACTGCTCAGTTGAAGTATGTAACAGAAGAAGATCTAAATGCCATTGGAATGAGTAAGCCTGAGATGCGCCGGTTGAAGAAGTACTTCCAGAAACATTTCCCCCAGAATTACCTGTCCAAATTCAAGAAGATGCTCCTGCCGAAACGCGAGGAGCAAACCTCGGGCGCTTTGACAATGCTGCCGGAGGAGAGGCAGGATCGACCACCGATTCGTGTTCCTAATAAGCATATGATACCGGCAGACGCTATTATTGTGAACAAAGAACTGGGAACAGGAGAGTTCGGAGTTGTGCAACAAGGCGTATGGACGAACGACGGAGAGAGAATACAAGTGGCGATCAAGTGTCTGTCACGTGAGAGAATGCAGAATAATCCTATTGAATTTTTGAAAGAAGCAGCGATAATGCACGCGATCGATCATGAGCATATTGTGAGGTTATACGGTGTAGTCTTAGATACGAATTCTTTAATGCTCGTGACGGAATTGGCGCCGTTGCGATCATTGCTGGAATGCCTGAAGGAGCCAAGCCTGCGTCCCAGTTTTCCAGTTCTTTCACTCTGCGACTTCGCTGTACAGATTGCGGATGGTATGCAGTATTTAGAAGCGAAACGATTAATACATCGTGATCTCGCCGCACGAAATATCCTGGTCTTCTCCAAGAACAAAGTGAAAATATCCGATTTCGGATTGTCCCGCGCTCTGGGGGTCGGGAAGGACTATTACCAGACGAATTTCAATGTGAACCTGAAATTACCGATCGCCTGGTGCGCCCCGGAATGCATATCTTACTTAAAATTCACCTCGGCGAGCGACGTGTGGGCCTACGGTGTGACACTTTGGGAGATGTTCAGTTACGGTTTCCAACCCTGGGCGGCGCTGACGGGTCACCAGATCCTGGAGGCGATAGACGAGCCGAATTTTCAAAGATTAGAACAGCCAGAGTGCTGTCCGAAAGAATATTTCTCGTTGATGCAACAATGTTGGCAGCACGAGCCATCGAAGCGGCCTAAGTTCTCGGAATTGATCAATCTGTTGCCTGATTTGAAGCCAGAGCAAGTTCAGGCGGTTCAGGATAGCACAGAGACGGGCCAGCTTGTTTATAGGCAAGGCGACGTCATTACCGTACTGGACAAGGGGAGCAGCAACACGTTGTGGAAGGGCGTTCTGAACAATGGGAAAACAGGCTTCTTCAATCCTGCTCACACGATAGCCTATCTTGGCTCGAATTTGCCAAGTAACAAGCCTGGCGAATTTACTCGCGGAGATGGTAAAAATGCATTCTCCTCCCAGCGACGGAAAATTCGCACGGACATGATATCTTCGCCGCAAGGCGATTTGAAGCACACCGGCCATGTTGGATTGGACGGTGCCTATTTCGGCGATATTGGCTTCCTTGGCGGGAAGAATCCCCATCTACCAAGGCAGGTAGTCACTCCCTACAAACCGCAAGAGGATGTCACAGACAATTCTAGTCAGATCGTGAACCAAGACGCACGGAACACAGAAACTAACAGAGATTTATCGAGGGACAACCGAAATGTCCAGCAGGATACTCAAAACAAGCACGGTATGTATATTAACCTGTCCACCTACGAACAAACTCTGCTTCCATTAGGGGAAACAGTGGCGTAGGTGAAGGGCCTCCTATCATTTGGTTTTGGGATTTACTGAAATTTAACCAAATTGACATTCGGTTCAACATTTATTTCAGTACTAGAAATAAATTTATTAAGTGGTAGGAGACTTTTCTTGCAGTAGGGGAAAAAGTGAGGTAGGCGAAGGGTTTCCTATCATTTGGTTTTGGGATTTACTGAAATTTATACCAAATTAACATTTGGTTTAATATTTATTTCAGTACTTGAAATAAATTTACTAAGTGGTAGCAGGCCCTTTTCCTATGGTCACTTTTTCACTTGGTGGAAGCTGAGGTTGCTTGTGAGGGTACAATAGGTATGGCGTGATTTCTGATACTATTGTTTTGTGTATCATGCAACAGAAAGCTTGTGGTCGGACACGAGTTCCGAGGTGTGCCATATGGGGACAGTGGCTAACTCGAGTAAGCACTCTGTCTCGACAAACATGGCGAACAGCACGGACGCACTTGGAGCGGACCACGAGTACCATGAGATCAGCGACGAGGAGAATCAAGAGAGTCCGCTCCGATTCGACCAAACGTTGAACTTCGATTTCGGTCCGAGTTTGTTGGCCGAAATGGATCAAATGTTCCGATCATTGGGTAAATTTCGTTGACCACAGTGTCCCAGGCATTACGAGGTGTGACAATAGAGTTTCGAGAGCAATTCATGAAAACAATCCTTTGACCGGCGACTTTAAAATGGCTTCTTTTAGTCGGATCCATTGATTGCAATAGTTCTGGCACTCAATTTTTTGTGGCAATAGTTTCAAGAGTAATTTTGTTCCCGTCAAAGTGAAATCTAACATTGTCGTCTGGTGTTTGGTTGTGTTGTCATTTTGACAACGAAATTATTCTCGAAACTATATTGGGGGTTCAACTATAAATCGGGTAATAGATTACGATGGCCTAATAGATGTTTAATTTTTCAAATGAAATTTCTAATTATTCTTAACACTTTATTGTCACGCCTAGTGTATTAACACCTGTAGTAATATTTTTACATCCGTTTGTAGGGTCTTCACCACCGCCGCCGCCACCTGTTCATCCCCTGTCCGCTGAACACGAGTCGAGTAACGTGAGAAACGAGCTGAGGGAGATACAGGCGAAGCAGTGTAACAAGAAAAAACAAGCCACCGTGAGTCCAATAAATGTACAGTAATTTTTTTTTCTTATTTACAATTTATGCTTTTATGTGTCATCGGTTGTAATTCATATACTTGTAAACGTTGAACACAGTACGTTTTTCTCGACAATAAACGATCACGCAGCGATCACACGTCGCTAAAAAGCAGAAATTCTTCGTACGGTCGTCCACTGCGTCGGAGATGGTAAACGTTTCCTCTTATATTTAGGTGAAGCCTATCTCAGCAGCCGATCAGAAAACTCTCTACTCAGCCATTGCTATGGCACAGGAATTGACGGCACGTTCCATGACAGATCTTGAACATCCACCGGAGTCTCCCCGAACACCCGCCAGTCCTTCAAGACGCAGAAAGTTCTCTTTTAAGTTGCCACATCAACACAGTCCTAAACCAGACAGACGACACTTTTCAGAGGAAGCAGCCAGTATACCTGACATACAGGTACATTATACAGTTTTTGTTCGACCACTAAAACCATTTTTCGCACACTGAAAAGATTACACGAAAACTAACCTAATTCAACACAATCTTAACATTGCACCTTGGAATACAACAATTCCGATTTACTTTTTATCGAAACTGGTAACTAATCCAACAGGGGCGAATATGTTAGTGACTTAAATTGAATTCGTTTATTCATCCGCAAGTATATAAGCGAATAATTAAGGCACAACGCTTTTCTATCATACATAAATACATCTCGAAGTCAGTACATCTAAATCAATATCTTGTCGAAACTGTTATGGAACAAAGTTAATTCCTGATGCCACACAGAAGAGTAGGTATATATATATATATATATTGCAGTCTTGCGTCTGTTCACTTATTCATACCTTTTGTTAACTTGATACGATGCTTATTAATTTTACGAATAAGACTAATCTTGACTTTCCTCTGATCCTTTCCTGTCTGTTTATGTTTCGTTTTGTTTCTCGACTTTTCAATTTTTCGTTATTTCTTCATATTTTGTTCGTCGTTGCATCGCCATATATTAAAATACTAATAATACCTTTGTTATCTGTGTGAACAATGTGATCGTTGAATGGAACCTTGGAAAAAACTAATGTGTCTTTATGCGGTGCTTTGCTCTTACAAACTGTGACGTGTCCTGTCTCATGCATGCCCAATAATCATTCCACTGCCACTGAATCCAACCCTCACCCGCCCCTTTGAACGAAATTGCATGCGAACGGTTCATCTCGATGTGGAACAATCAAAGTGGTTGTGCTCGAGTTTGCAATCGCTGTCGTCCACTGTCTCCAGCATCGAGTCGCTTGGCGCACCGTCCACCCTGAAACTGCCACTGTGGGACAAAGCATCAGCTGAATTTTGTTTCGCCAAGTCGCGGGAACTTCTGACAAAACCGAGCGCCTGGACCTCGTACATGGACGTGGAGTTCGACGCGCATCTGCTGGACAACGCCGCCATGAAACAGAATCTGGTGAAGTCGACAGAGTTTCTGGAAAACGGGAACAAGAAGAGCAACTACAATTGCGAGCCTGTGACGGACACTGACGGCAAGGTGAACGTTTTCCAACAGAATGGAAAAATCGCCCTGGAGAATTCCAATTTCGACTTTCCACGTGAACCGAAAAGGGTGTCGACCAGCTACGTGGATCGTTACTTCGAGCAGCCAAAGTACTTCGACGACGACAGCTTGGGCTGTCCTGGCGAGAAAGTGTCGTACTTTGGCGATGAAAAGTTAGAGAAGTATGATAAGATTAATAATTTGGAGCAACCTGGCAGGTCCGCCTGTTACTCGAATATCCAGGATCCAAACTCTGCCAGTGCTAACAAGGCCAATCAGCAGAACAAATACGGTAATTCTGATCAACCAGCGAAGGACAATGCGGCGAACTTTGATGCTCAGTGCGAGGAGACAGCCAGCTTTGACTTGGGGAAAGAGAAGCCTTCGAATTTCGTCGACTTTCAGAGGGCCAAGCCTATGAAATTCGAATCGGCCAAGGTAGGCAATCTTGATATCGGGACGAGGCCTAAAGTTTCTAGTTCCTTTAGTGACTCGTCGAAGATGAACATACCGGAATTCGCGAAGAAAATGGATATACCAAAGGCAAGAGGCGGTAAGATGACGTTTGTCCCTAGAAACGCGAATCAAGAGACCAAGAGTGTTATCTACGGTTCGACGGACAGCATAAAGACCAATATGAAGACAGGAGGAGGATCTGACAGTCCCAGGGGAAACATGGAGGCTGTGAGGATTAATATACAGAGTTTCCGTAAGATCGAACAGAATCAGAACGGCCACGATGGTTTCCCTTTTCTGATCTCGAACAATCCACTGTTCATCGCTGAATCCGAGAAAAAGGAATCTCCTGTTTACAGTAGCTCGGAGAGTTTAAGGGTGAATTTTCAGAGACTACGGAGAAAGAGTGACGCGGAGGCGAACAATCAGGTGGAGCTGAGCAGCAAACTGTTGGCGGAGAAGTACCAGCGTGAGGTGTCCGGTTTGGAAACAGTGAAAAATTATCTAGACTCGAAGAAAGGTCAAGGATTGAACCTGGGTCTGGGTAAGTTGACGCAGAACATGATCCAGCTGGGGAAAAACATTGCCCAGAACTCCAGAAACATAGAGGGCAATCCATCCAAGTCGTTGGTCGCCAATATGAGGAACTTGGATCTTTCAGGTCAGACACAGACACCGCTTAGAAGCCTGAATATTCCTATCCAGAAGCCTAAACACTTGGACTTGAACATTCCACTCCAGTGTCAGTCGCAGATCAGCATGAAGCTGAATGTAACACAGAAGGCGAACCCTCCAACGAGTCCCACCATACACCAACAGATTCTGGAGCCACCGAAGCTCTACCAGAATGACAATTCAAGGAAAGAGGTGCCCAAGACCGATGTCCTACTGGAGAAAATGCCAACGGCTGCAAGTATATACAGGCAGAGAACGTCCTCCTTGTCAGAAAACAGGAAACCACCCCTGAAGAATATAAGAAGGTCGTTTCATCCGACAAACGATTCCAGCGAGGATTCAGACTCTATATCGCATTCGGAGACGGACATACGAAGTCGTTTGCGTTACAAGCGTCGCCACAAGAAACTTCCACATAACCTTCGTTTGAACTTCAAGAACAAGAGCCACTTTTTGCATCCAGACACAGCCAGAGGATTCTCGTCGATCGAACTGTGCGGGAAGTCACCTCCACCGTCGACCAGCTTTCTGAACTCGTTGTCGCCGCCGTTCTCGTCTAGAAACAACCTGCTCTCCTGGCCGGAAAGTGCACCGAGTTCTAGTTTAACGTTCACCAGTAACTCTGATCTGGACTCGGATACCAGCTCGGAGTATCCGGAGTTCACCAACGACATACTGACCTTCCCTCCATCCCCTGCCCCATAAAGTTCCAAGTTTTCGAATGGTTTTTTTTTTTTTTTATCAATTGGGATCTGGAGCTTGGAACTGTGCAATTGTTTCATCGTCAGGGACGTCAAAGAGTGCATGTTCTCGGTCAGGAATGTCGGGACAGTGCCAGAGTTGGGCGGTATTTAGTGAATTGTTTTTGAATAAGTGACAGTTCGAGGGGCCAGCGCCATTAATTCTCGGCCTGACTGGGTTAGGAAACAGCAGTACAGATGGAATTTATTTATATTTATATGGTCATGTATAATTATGTGAAAAGTTTGCCTGTGGCTACTGCGAGAAAAAAACTAAATAAGTTAGGTTGAGAATATTTGGCACGACCGTCAGTTTCTTTGCAGATGCGTAGTTTTTGAAAGGCTCTGTTTGCAAAGAACTCTTTTGTATCATGTAGTGTCTTTCCTGATACTAAATAATCAGATTTTCTCATACTATACAAATACAGCCTTGGCCAAGAATATTAGACACTGTTATTGTTACAGCATGCTGGGAAAACTATTTATTTGAAACCTTTCTATTGTTCATCATCCTTTGTCGGGCAGTTGAAAGGAACTTTAAAACAGTTGTGACAAGGTTTGCTGTGGGTCATAGTAACTGAGTGGGTCAATTGTCTACATTTTGTGTTTCTTCCTAAAAGTTACAGTCTATTGTCAGTACTGGCTGCTAATACACAGCAAATTGTCTTCAGTTTTGCTGTGAATATTTTGGAAGTTAGAAGTTTTTCCTTGAAATATGCTACGCAAAAGTGAACCGAGTGACCATCAAGGCAGGTTAATTCTTTTTCTAAAAGAACAGGGTACAGGTCAGAAAGAAATTGCTGTGATTGTCAGTTATTAGGGCAAAGGATGGCCAAACAAAGTATTAGCAAAATTAATTAAAAGTGATTCTTGTCACATTTTAAGATTTTGATTGCCTCCTAATACAATAAATTCATATATTATGGGGTGCCTAATACTTTCGACCAAGGCTGTGTACTGCAGCCACTGTCATAGCTAGTGTAATAATATTCAAGCAGCTGTGTAATATTTACTAGAATCATGAATTGTGTGATTTGTACGAATATTGCTCAACAGTGACGAGAATGGCTGATACGATGAATGCAATTTTAGACTCTTAAGATCCTAGGCATTGCTTGGATCACAACTGGAAACAATAATCCGAAACAATACCCAACTCTGGACAATACTCAGTGTACTTAAAATACCAAGGAACTGTACAGAAACAGTTCACCTATGCATACGCTTAGCATGCTTGCATGTTACATTAATTACTAAACTAACATCTAGCGGGTAAACACGTTTGGATGCATTTACACAATTTATACTATTTGTACTTGGAAGGAGATTGGAATGGAAAACCCTTGGAGTGTGTAACCGGAACTTACGTATGTTGATACCTCTTTTCATGACCCGTGCGTACACAAGAAACCCTGTGACCCTGTGCTCGTTAAACCTTCCATCCCCCACATGTGCATCAGTTTTCATTTGGAGTAGCCTTGTGTCGTGTATCCAACATGGCCTTCAGCTGGCCTACAACGACTAACACATACCACGTATACAATTTTGCACTTTTTGGTAACACCAAGAGAGTTAGAGAGTGTGTGTTCAAAGCATTGTATTCACTTTCTCTACTTCCTGTCGGAGAGAGAACCCCAGACACATTGTACAACACAAGGAGATATTTCGTTTCGTACCATAGTCACTTTCCTCTGTTTGTTATTTTCTTTTTTTAATTTCTGTTCTCTTCTCTCCCGAATCTATCCCCTCCCACGAATTGTTTAGGCGACATTGTCGGACGAGGCCAAGGAGGTGTACAACAGTCTAGTGGAGACGCCCAGCATAGACACCGCACCTGACACGAATCCGTTGCGTATGCTGCGCTCCGGAGTGCCGATAGTCAGGCCTCGAATCCGCGGGAACAAACACGCCACCCTGTCCCATACTGGCTCCCATCAGGAGGACTTGTCCAGCGACACCTTTCACTTCGACGCTTATCACAGTGGCTCGAGGACCCTGCCCAAGATCAGAGCGCCGCCTCTACCACACGTTCCTCCCCCGTTACCGCAAACACGACACCTGGAGAGGCACCATTCCGCCTTGGAGATCGAGAACAATCAGAATCAGAACAATGTCGATGAGAATCCGATACCATTGCCGCCCAGGGACAGGTCGAAGACCCTACAGCCTAAGTACAGTCTGCCTAGGCATCAAAGAAAGCATCCCCTGATCATTCCTGGTGATGGGGTAACCAGAACTCTAGCCAAAATGGCGGTGACCACACCGCCCATCGAGGACCAGGTTGATGGGAGTCTGCAAACTGCCAGCTCATCGGTGGTCACTGCGTCCCATCAAGAGGGATACTCGTCGGAGACTTCGGCCAACAGGTGGGAAGAATTGTCAGCGATTACAATGATGTACTATGATCCAGTATTAACTTAACACTCTTGTTTCCAGTCCCGAGGAATTTGAACAGCGCATAGACTCCGAATTGGCCGCTCTGGATTCCCTCCCAGCCGATGAAAACAACAGGCTTCATCGGTTCAGCGTGATCTCCGAAGACCTGCTTGAGTTCTCCGACAATCTGATAGACTGTGACGCCCCGGAATGCCGAAGATCAGCGTGGAATCGAAGTCATCCGTGAGAAGCACCGCGTCCAAGTGTGTCCAAGAGAACGAAATCGGCGAGACAAGCAGGAACTCGACTCCTACCGGGTCGAGCAAGTCCGAGGAATCTGTAGCTTCCAGCAAACATCAAGCTACGAGGGCACCCCTGGTCCAGAGGCCATCCAACTACATGATGCATTTCGATTACGGGGAGTATTCCGAGAACAGCTCGCAGAGGGTCAAACAGCAGCCGGAGATGGTCGTGCAGTCGAAAGAGTCTTCCACTATAGAGACAACGGATAGCTTCCATTCCGCGACAAACACGTACAATCGGCTGTCCAGCGAGAAGCTACCGGGCCGTACCAGCGATCTGTCGCGTCAGTCCGATCACGTCAGTTGCGAGGACCTGCTGGAGTTCGCCTGCGACGGGCCGAACGCGAGGAGGACCCGTGGACCACGAAACGGCGAGCAGTCGGACGAGGTTAGGATCATGATGAAGGTGTTGCACGAACAGTCCACACCGGAGTCTTGCATCGCAGCGCTGAACGTCACCGATTGGGATGTTCTGGCGGCCATCAAGCTGGAACGTCTTCAGAGTTTGTTGAAAAAGGAAAACAACTTCGTCGGCCTCGAGGACTGTAAAGTAATGCTGAACCAGTGCGGCGGCGACGTCGTGAAAGCAGCTGCTTTATTACGGAACACGGACGACACCGCTGCTGTTTGAGTTGGTGTTTTGGTAACGGGCTGGCCCAGCCACCAGACGCCTTGGAGAGCGCGTTATTTCTGGCGGAGGATGTTGACGGCCAAGCCGTCGTCGAAACATGATTTGGGGGGGTAAATAGTATTCTCGAAAAATGACTTTTCTTCTCTCTCTTTTTTTTTTTTTGTTTTTGTAACGTTTTTGCGTTTGTCCCGCGTGTAGAAAGCTAGAACAATTGAAGGCGACGTTTATTTATTATTTTAGGATTATTAGAGACGGGAATAGTATTCGGACGTATTCTTTCTACTGCCTAGAGATGAGACAGGCACTCCGATTTAGTACGTCGATTGAGCTTCTCCTACAACGATACATGGCTGCGGGCTGGTCTCGCGGGAACAGAACAGAGTCTTTTATGGATGGAACCTAGTGACCTTCATTGAAATTCACTCGAGTGGGCTGTTGAACCCCTAGTAGGTACAAATTGTCAGTGTTGAGAAGTGTCGGCTCGAAAAGCGTTTTAAATATGATTAACTTTTAATTCCGTAAGTCTGTTGCAAGAGTAATAACTTCTCAGTTACTGTCTGCATCTCAAGTAGGGACTTTAAGTTAACCTTGAGAGGATCAACAAATTCTAACCTGATTATAATAATTTCTTAGGTCAACTTTTTAGGTTATCTTGATTGAGAATTATTTTTTCACATGACCCCTTTTTTTACCAGAGGCATTTTGCTAGGACACAATGATTTGTTAGGTTATCTGTAAGAACAGAGTACATCGTTCTGTGTTCTGTTTCCAGGTGACCAGTCTGTATAGAGTAATAGCTTTTTTAGTTTAATTTAACTGTTAGCGAAGAGAACAAAATTATGTTTCCTCTTCTTTTGCGTCTATACGAACGTAATGTGATAATTTGCACAATAAATGTATTTGCTGATCGGGTTTCGTAATCGGACGATCGTGGAATAGGAGCATAGCCGATAAAATATATTTTGCATCTTGAGTTTAGGCAAGCGTTAAGAGGAAAGTATTAGGGGGATGCCTACTGACTAAGCAGCGAATTAAATCATATGTATCGGCGTGATACAGTGATCAGAGACTCTCTATATTTTGCGTTTCGTTTACCACCGCTTATGGTTACTTTTAGGAGATCATATGTATTTTGTAAGAAGACAATCATTTTTGTAGTAATCGTCAACGTCGACTAATCATACTCGCGATTCGAAGCTCCGCCATTTTGAAGAAAAAAAAAACGAAAACAAAGCTTAAGACTTTTTTGCTGGATAGAAGCAAATTTTGATTCCAAAGATAATATTCTCAAGGTATTATTATTTGGTATCATACGCACTGTAGCTTAGTCTCTTCACAATGTATTTCATCGTATAACACACATACAGACACAGGACACATACAGTTTTTTGTAACTAGAGATTTCTCTCTACTAAGCGTGAGTTAATCCCATAGTTAAGTGGTAGATTTAGGCGTGTCTTGTATGCGTAATCATTGCTGAAAGTTAGCACAAACGGGAGAGGGAGAGATTAGCTTGTTACGCCATACTTTTTTCTTGGGGTGACAGCTTTGATTAGGTGAAACGTTTGTATTTTACCCGGTAGTAGGGTACAAGTAAGCACCAAATATTATCTATGAAATCTTTGTGTTCAATAAGATTGATTTTTATATTGCCTCTTGGTAGCAGACCTAGGCGTAAAAGTATTTGAAGTGTGTAATCAAAGATGACAGTTCAAGTGCAGTGTGTTGTTTAGAATCTTAAAGTAACTCTGACAATTATTTCCAAATTATTTATCTTTTTTCCTGAAGTAATTCTGTCAAATAAGATGAATGGTACGAACATCAAATTATCCGAGTAGTCACATTAATCTTACTCAAAATAGTATCCAGGTCTGCTTGGTAGAGAGCTCTTGCGTTATTATCTGTTAAGTTGTAAGAGATGCAGCGACTGAAAAGTATTCGACCAAAACACGTTGGAAGGAATTAATGTAACTGATGATATTAGTTGGAATCAAATTGAATTGTAATATGTCTGGGTGAACTCGCATCGAGGGAGGTTTTATACTGTTATGAATTTTTGCTGCTTCTATTGTAATCATACAGTGGACGTTACAGATAGAAGAGGCCAGATTTCGTTGAGTTTCTCTGAATTCATGCAATCTGAAGGTACAATTTTTTATATGATATTCGACGTAAGGTTTCTAAGCATACCTTTGGATTGCTTGAGTTTTAAGGCACTCAGGGGACTGACTGCGAAGAATGTTCAGCGAGTGTCGAGGAACATATCCGGGATCGAATGGACTCTGATTGGGGATGGAGACTGTTAGACTTGATTGAGAAATATTTTTCCATGTGTCCCCCGTTTTTTACACAGAGACATTTTTTCTACGACACAGACTTCCTTTCGAATGATCGACCCTCCCCCAGTCAAAGTCGATTCGATCAGTAAATTTGCTCAGTAGCACGTTTCTAAACGTTTTATTATAAAGGAGAAGAAAAAGAAAAACACGAAAATGCAGGGAGGAAAAAGTAATGTTAATCGAGGATAAGATTAGGCGAGATCCTTGCCGTACTTTTCATATTCTTCAACGAAGCCAAATAGGAGCTGACGAAAAACGCCTAAGTGTTGTTAACTTAGCCTTTTTTGTAATGACGTTGAACAATAAGGTTTTCGGTTCCTGAATAAAAAAAAGAAATGCGCATGTTACGTATTTTCTTATGCTGAATCCGCATTCTTTTTGTCGTGTATTCGCTTCAAGGGAAGTGAAAGTTGAAGTGTTCACTTCTATCCAACTGTATCTTGTATTAAAAGTGGTTCTTTAGAGTACGAATAGCAATATATCAGGACATGTAGGATAAGTTCTTGGGAAACCAAAGTACAGCGCTCTAAATAACTGAGACAAATAATTAACTCAGACAGTGGATAGACTATAGTCTTGCGCATTTAATACAATATTACAAGTGTTGAACTATTTATCTGTTGGAATTTTCAAAGAATATTGAACATCTCTTTAAGCGTTACACATTCAGTTACTTAGAGCAGTACAGTACCAATATTAATTGAGTCGCTCTCTTACATAATCTATTAGAGTATTCAAGTAAGCCACAAATATTACTTGGATAGATGTTCAACTGCTTTGAACTAATCAGTAACTCTAGCAATATGAATTCACCAACCGAACCACTCCTTCCTGAAGCTGATACGTGACAAGAAGAAGGTTTAGAAACATGTAGTGTTCAGTATAAAGAGATCAATTATTTTTGCGCTGGAACCACAGAGAAACTAATTAGAAGACTGCAGATTTTACACATTTACCTCGTACAGATTGTCTCGAACTCAATATGTTACAAGAGTTTAATGAAGTATTGCTTAGTGAGGCTTTTATTTGGAACTTAAAGACAAATGTCTTGATCAATATGTGGATTCAGAACTTTACCAAATCAGTACACAAAAATCTATGTATATTTGCATAGGCATCTGCGGTCCACTAATTGGAATCATCTCATTGTAATTGAGCCTGTGTATAAGTATGCACCTCGATAAGATTTCAATGAAGTACTTAGCTGATTCTTGAATAGGGGGGGGGGAGTCGATTGGGTCTGTGTGTGGAGAAGCAAGAGCTTTTCAATGGGTCTTACCAGTGCGTACGTAAGATTATTGCGCCGGATACGATCTCGACGCGCTAACGAGCACGTTTCCTTTTATGGACGAAAGATCCACCGACCTCTCGGGGGGATAATAATCGAAATCAAGCTCGACGTACCACCAGAACGGTGGAACGAGACGCTACTCGCACGGAGTAGGGTGTTTTAAGTTCATCCTATAACCTGTTTTTTTTTTGTTTTTATTTTTTTTTATACGCGATCTTACTAATAAAGCAACACGTTTGTACGTCTCTACATGATTATCATGCGCGGAAAACACGAGGATGTTTTATACCGACTGTATTTACGATAATATATACACCATTCATAAATCAACCACGATCTTCTGTCAGTTCGTGTGCGTGGTTTTTTGTGATTTGTTTCAGGACTGCATCATTTTTCAGTCTCTCTGAACACCTGTCTTCTGTAATTTGTGGTGACACACCTTTTTTTAGTTTATAAAGTTCCGCAAAAAATTATGTAAAATCGTCTGAAAAATTGTACAATTTAGGTTCGGTCTTAACCTCTTTAGAGACGATTTACCGGGACCAGAAATGTTTTTTTTTATTTTTCACCTGTATAGATATCCCTTTTTTGTTGGGGTATTTCCTTGGGAATATTTTTTCATAATATTTGTTGTAGAAGTACTAGTTTTTTGTGGGGTATTAGTAGTGCATGGTGATCTACGGTCACCCTGTATATAGAAAAAATATTTCTAGGGGATTTTTTTCGACAATTTGAATTTCATTTGAGACAATCTGATTTTTAATTATTATAAGATAACTGTTAATATTCTAAAAAAAAGGTCGATAAGGTGGAATATTTTGATCAGTGTAGTAGATAATCGACCTATCGAAGTAATCGAACTGCCGGTCTTCTTCAACGCACAAGGTGGCGACCGTTAGAAACCTCCCTTATTTCATAAAAGTTTTTTTTAATGTTTGTAGAGAAGTAGGTTATTATTTTTCCGGAAAATTACAGAGAAAGGTAAGAAGAACATAATATTCAACGTTTTCCCATTTGAAATTTAAAATATGATTTTGGTTTTCCAATTTCATCGTCTTCCGTCGCGTGGAATCAGGTCTATATTCAAATCTTTACGTTCACAAATTTCAAACTTCGTTAAATTCTTAATTAACAAAATAATTCTCTGAAATCATTGTGTAATTGTTCGAAGCAATTTAATATGTCAATGTCGTGTATCGAACATATTCAATCGACTCGTCCAGCGTTTTTTTTTTGTTTGGAGGTAATAATTGCAACGTAATTGCTCGAACGATCAGAAAAAAGGGTATACAGCGTGCGGTCGCCGTTGAACGTTGTTAATGCGTGTTCGTATTTTTTTTTGTGAGGGAACGGAACGGTCAGGCAATCGGCCTGGCGTTACACGTGACAGTGTGTCCGTATATTCTCAGTTTGCTTTAATCTCCGACCGGATAAACATCGTTGTGTTCTTTCTACGAGATAAATTGTCGATTTTTAAACTTGAGCGCCTCCAATACGCAATATTATGTGAACTTTGTTATCTAAAATAATTCGAATCTCGTGGTCCCATATCGTGATTGATGGAAGTATTAATTTGAATTAATTTCAGTTACATAACCAAAGTGTTTGAAGTTAAATAATCTTCGAATAGTCTTGAAGAATTTGAATTAGTCCTTGTTTCATTTTTGGTTACATCGATCGACGATAAAGAATTGCTTTTCGATTATCGTGAACCTCGATTGACCGGGCGGCGTTCGATACATATTTCGATTCTCGAAAGTTCGCGCGCGGGTGAACGGTGTGCACGCTTCGTGACGGACGGTTTGAAACTTTAGAATGATTTGTCGTGTGTGTCAGTGCGTATTGAG